TTGTAGCCCGGTGCGGGGGAGTGCCCGCGGTTGTCGTACGACGGCTGCTGCGGGGCGTAGCTGGGCTGGGACTGGCCGTAGGCACCGGGCGGCGCGGCGCTGTTGCTGTTGCTGTTGTAGTCTTGGTTGTAGCCGCCGCCGCCGCCGCCGCCGTTGTTGTTGTGGTTGTAATTGTTGGGCTGGGAGCCAGACGAGTACTGGGCCTGTTGGGGGTAGCCTCCGCCGTTGTAGCCGCCCTGGTTGTAGTTGGGCTGGCCGCCGTAGGGAGCGCCGCCGCCGCTGTTGCTGTAGTAGTCTTGGTTGGACATTATTTTGGGCGTGTTGAGGGAGGGGGGTTTCAGAAAGCCTTGTCACAGGTTTTTTTTTTGGGAGTAAAAGTCGAGGGTATAATGTGAATGATGGAATGAGGGAGTAGAGAAGGGGAGGGAGGATGAGGGGAATAAATACGTAGTTGGGAGGAATAGAGAGCCAAGCCCCCGTGATGACGATGGCGCGCTCACGTATTACGCTCAGGGAACGGAATGGAACCCCGCGGCGAGGCAGCCTGCCCGCGCGCCAGTCTGCGCTGGTGGCAGTGAGAGAAGGCTGCCTGGCAGGCTGCAGCCGGTGGTGGCGCAGCAGTAACACAGCACAGCACAGCACAGCACAGCACAGTGCGGCTTCGGCGAGGGGGGCAACCAATCCCGACCAAGTAGCCTTGGCTCTTTTGGAGCACGCTGAACCAACCCCGACCAACCAAAGCCGCAAGCCGTTCGCTCACGCCGTGTGGCGCAGCAAGGGCAAGCCTCGAGGTGAACTGCGGCTCGTCCGGTGCCCAAACAGTTTGGACCCTGTGACGTTTTTGTTGTTTCTGGGATGGGGGAGTTCGTCTACTATTGGAAACACAATCTCGGCTTCTCGGCTTTGGGACATTCTGGAAGCCGGTGTCGCCATCTAGGGCCGAAATCGAATCTGTCGCATCCGCGTGGGCAGATGACGTACTAAGTGCTACTCTCGTTGGGCTTGTAACTACCCTGATGAATATTGACATCTACTGAGGCCATTTTGATGGGATCTATAATTAAATTTGTTATTAACAACAGTGTGATCTGCGGAACTAGTTGTCCCGGTTCACTGCGGAGGAGAAACAGAAACTAGGTCACGAAATCCGGCTCAAAAATAAGCTCTTACCACTAGAAAACAAAGAAGTTATCACCTATATAGCTATCAGAGACAGTCCCTGGTATTCGTCTACTCTCAAGGCGTGCGATAGCAACTACCTGTGCTCAACCGAGGTTCTTGATGCACGCACCCTCGAGAGAGTGCCACGACATCTGCGGCCTCTGATTGGCCCTATTTACCCCGCTTTCGTTACGTTGAATCCCAGCCACGGACCAACCGCTCTGTTTCCTGCCTTTCATCATGAATACTCGTTTTTTTCATCGTCGATCTGACGTTTTTGATCGCCCGAATACTACAAAGACACTAGGGGCTTAGAAGTCTGGCCAATACTTGCCCATTAAAAAAAGTCCGCGTGCGCCCCCTCTATAGTGAACAGAATGGGGGAAACAACGATCCCTTTGGATGCGAATGGCCTCACCTACTTGCCTACCTAGGTACGTCCGTACACCCACTGTTTCAATATACTAGTCGCTGTAAAGGGTTTCAACGTGGATAAATGATTGTGGTGGAGTCAATCCCCGTGAGGTATAGGTAGAGTTTGGGGTCCAGAGCACTTTGAAATGTCTGTCAGCCTCTCCTATGAGTTGCTGCTGCCCGATTCACACAGCCTTGCAAGATACATAACACGCACCTAACGGGATACGAACCGTCTTTAAAAATACCCCATGTTCGAATTCGATGCGAGCTACAACCTTCATCACCGCTTCCTTCCTTCCCTATGCTGTCGCCGCCGCGAACGTTCCATTCCCGGCGCGTTACCGGTTTGCTATATAAGCGATTTCGCTACCTTCGAGAGGGCAGGCACGGAACACGCACCTAGTCCAAAATGTATTATCAAATATCTTGTTTGAGTGGGGACAGCTCCCAGCCTGCTCATGTCAAGCACGGTGACTGCGCGTGACAGCTGACATGCACCTCACAGGGGAAGCCTTTCGGTGCCCAACCATGCTTTTTCCTGTTTTCGCAGCTATACAACCTTCGTTCTCTCACAAAGACCAAACCACTTTATATCCCAGAGACAGAGATACTTCGCACAATGGCGCCATCTTCGGAAGAGGGCGTTCGCCTTGAAAACATCACTGCCCAAAGAGACAAAAGTAATACGGACATCGACATTGTTGCGATTCACGGCTTAGACACAAAATCTCCAAATACCTGGACGTTCAAGTCCAAGGACGGCAAGCCAGATGTCAACTGGTTGGCAGATTCAGACATGCTCCCGAGCCAGATGGACAGAGCACGCATCTTGACATGCGACTGGCCGGCAAGCCTATTTCAACCGTCCGCGCTGACCTCCAAGACCGTGGGAGACTATACAAGGCCTCTTTTGGCGGGCATTAAGCGAGAGCTCTTGGAAGACGATCATTTCGAAAGGGAACCGCGACCCATCCTTTTCATTGCGTCATGCCTCGGCGGCGTCATTCTAAGCGCCGCTCTCGTTAAAGCGGCCAGCGCCGATAGCGACTACCATCGCATTTTCCGAGCCACTCGGGGTATTGTTTTCTTGGCTACGCCATTCCGAGCGACCTCATTTAAAGATGTCGCCGACTGGGCCGAGGTTGCGCTGCGGTTCCACGCCTCGTGTACAGATCAGAAATTGACCACGCTCATGGTCCACGCGAAAGAAACCGATCCCGTAATAATCGAAGAATTCACCAGATTATATAGGGGGAAAGAGAACCCATTGGAGCTGGTCAGCTTCTGTGAAGGCAAAACAACGAGCCTAACAAAAAAGGTAGTTTCTTGGCTGTCGCTGCCGCGTCAGCTGTGCCAAGAAAAGCTGGTAAACAGTTCCAAATGCACCCATCCTGGGATGACGGCTAATGGCTTCTAGTTGGTGGACGAAGGCTCAGCGCACCTGGACATAGTTACAAATCGACTACGCCTGGATAGATGCCATTCTCTGATGAACAAGTTCTCCGGTCCTGATTGTGCTGATTACCGGACGGTTGCTGGCGAAATAAAAGCCGCAGCTGCAAATATACTACGAGGAACACTACTGAACCAGGCTGATGACTATATCCGGACCAACTGCTACCCGGAAGCCACGCAAATTACTCGTCTTTCAGGTGCCCCGCTGCCAATGGATCAGTGCTACATAAACCTCACCCTGGTAGAAGCTGACCGGGCCGGTGAAGTGGTGAAACACAATTCATTGGATACGGCACCACACAAAAGGCACGAAAGGGAAATGGTCATGGAAGTCAGTTTGTCGACGTTGTTCAACGACCGAAACGGTAAACTGCCACGCAGGATCATGATTCGAGGCAGCGCGGGAGTTGGAAAGACAACATTGTGCAAGAAGATAGTCTACGACTTCCATTATGGGACATCCACAGAATTGCACCGCCTGTGGACGAAACTCTTCGACCGTGTTCTCTGGATACCTCTAAGAAACCTCAAAGAAGAATTGGTACTCAGCTTCAACAAGTTGCTTTTTTATGAGTTCTTTTCTATCCCGCAGGAACGACAAGACCTTGCAAATCATGTAGCGGACTTGTTGCCTATGATCAGCAGCAGGACGCTTTTTCTTCTCGATGGCCTGGATGAAATCTTGCCCGACCTTCATGTTGGAGAGAAGAGGTTTAAATTTCTTGAGGTACTACTGGGCCAGAACAATGTGATAATCACATCACGGCCGTCCGCCAACCTGCCTGACCTGCTTAGACCATGTGACCTCGTGCTCGAAACGATCGGATTCTACCCTTTACAAGTGAAGGAATATATTCAACAAACCTTTAGCCGTCTCAGCAGTTCATCAGGCGTAAATAGAACCACTGACGAAGCTTATTCCATCTTGCAGCTTCTCGACAGACACGAACGTTTGCAGACTCTTGTGCGAATCCCAATTCTGCTGGATGCTCTGTGCTATACTTGGGATGAACGACGAGACGCAGACCGAGCCGGCCCTCCAGCTACCATGACTGAAATATATTCAGCCCTGGAAATAAAGTTGTGGAGGAAGGACGCAGTCAAAATGGGCAAGAGGGCTAGAGGTACACCAGTCACAGCCTCTGATGTTGCTACGGGCGTCACTGGCCTCATATCTGATGAGAGACAATTTCTTGAGCTCCTCGCATTTTCTGGACTTGATGCAAACAAGATTGTATTTTCTTCCGTTGATTGGGAGCACATCGCGTCTCGTTTAAATTGTCGAGAATTCTTGCCTAGTAGGCAGCTTCTTCAAATATCTTTCCTACGCACAACGAACCGAAACCGAGAATCCGGACCCTGCCACTTCATTCACCTGACGTTTCAAGAATACTTTGCAGCCCGGTACTTTGTGAGGAAATGGACGGCCCCGGACGCGCAGCTAGAGCTGCTTGGACGCGGCCGCGCCAACACGATGTTGGTCAACCCCAAAGAATACATACGCAAACACAAATACACGCGACGCTACCTCATCTTCTGGCGTTTTGTTGCCGGACTGCTTGACCAAGAATACCAGGCGTCATTGGTCGGCTTCATCCACACTATCGAGCAAGAACCACTTGACCTCCTGGGTCATGCACACCATGAGCTGCTTATGTATTGCTTGAGCGATATTTCGGATGCATCAGAAATGCGGCGACGCTTGGAATATAGGCTTACCCAGTGGCTTCTATTTGATGATAGGCAGCGCGACCGCGTCGAAGAAGCTCTAGATGCGTATTCGAGCTTTTTCGAACGGTTTAGGCCGGGGATAGACAGTCAAGCTGAGTTTCCCGAAAGAGTCCTGAATTCTGCCATACAACAAAGCGCGCCGGGAAGTAGTTTTCGAGAGCGAGTTTTACTTTCACTACAACAACGAGCGTTGATACCGGACAGCACTCTAAGGATAATATTTTCCTGGCTCCACAGCAACCACCCTGACTACAGCCTCGCCTTGAGTACCTTGCGTAGGCAGCCTCGTTTGCCAGACGCCGTCCTTACTACCGTGGTAATGCATCTCTCTGACGACGAAGACAGCGTACGCAATGACGCAGCTCGGATCCTGTGCTCTCAGGAATATTTGCCCTACGAAATCTTTGATGCGATAGCGAAGCACCTGGACGGTCACTATTTGGACGTGTGTAGTGCGCTCCAGGCTTTGAGCGACAGAAGGACTTTACCGGACCAAGTTGTATCAAGAGTTGCCATGTGTATGACGCATGAGAACGAAGAAATCCGCGAAGACAGTATTAATACCTTGAAATGCCTGGATCCCGCACCTCTTGCGATTCTGGCGGCGATGGAGGCGCACCTGGACGATACTGCCGTGGAAGTCTGCCAGGCGGCCTTCTTTGCTCTCTGTGCACGATCATGCCTACCTCAGGAAATTGCTGAACGCGTCGCGGCAAGGTTTAACCATGAGGACCCGCCCTTCGTATCCATGGGTCCCTATTATGACAGTGGGTGGGAATGCCTGCCTCCCAACCTTCTTGCAGCGATACTGGAGCGGCTTGATTTTGGTGAATGGATAATGTGGACTGGCACATTCGAAATGTTAGCCAGCCAGCCAGCATTGCCCCCAGGGGTTCTATATGGTATAGCCTTGGGGCTTCATCACGATGACGATAATGTTCGTGGCCAGGCCATCAGCATTCTAGATATGGCACCGAGTTTGCCAGAAGACTTACTTCTGAAAGTAGCAGCACGGCTCCACGACAAGGACGATGAGGTGCGTTCCATCGCTTTTCGCGCTCTAGTCCGGCGCTCAGACTTGTCAGAGCATGTCAACAGAGAGTTGACGGCCGCGCTTAATGATGAAACGTACTGCGTACGCGCGGCCATTGCTGAGAAACTACCCAAAGAGCTTCCCTTGCCTCGAGCAATTGTGCAGGGAATAGCCAGCCATCTTGGTGATATTGAGCCCATGCTGCGGCTGAAGGCTATGACTGTACTAAGCCGGCAAAAAGAACTACCGCCTAAGATTTTGGCAGCCATAAAAGCAAATCTCAGAGATCAGGAGTATTGGATCCGACAAGCCGCCGTGGAAGCAGTATTTCGCATAACATCACCAGTCTCACCTACCGACAGCGAATTCTTCAGTCTCGTTCGGAAGAGCCTGCACGACGAGTCCAGCCATGTGAGACACACTTCGTTCATGTTATTGTGCACGCTCCCGAAGGTCCCTGAGGACATGCTTGAAGAGATCGTCGCAACGTTTGTTGAGAATGACCCACCTGTGGCACAAACCGCCCTTCGTTACCTATGCAGCCAGCCTGTCTTGCCCGAGAGGGTGCTTTCGATGCTCTCGGTTAAGATCTGTTATTTTTGCGATGTCTATGACGTGACGGTAATTTTGGAAGATACGCTCCGAGATGACGTGCATCATTGCTTTTTCCCACATCTCCTCAACAGCCGTCATGCCGCAGCCATATTAAAGCCCCTGAGACATCTGGCCTTGATTACTCATTTAAGCTTTTACATCAACGACGGCGAATTTTGCTTTAATATTGACGACGGCATCAAGAGGTTTCCCATTAGTGTAAATCCCAATGTCTTGCAAGATGTTCGGCCCGATTGGTCACCAGCTATTAACGAGACACACGTGATCCCCTGCCCTGTGTATACAGGGAGGTGTTGTGATTTAAGTGGCGATGAAGATATGTATGATTAATTAATTATATTTCTTTATTGCATTACACTAATTGGACAAGACGAAGATATAAAACGATATGTGCTTGAGCAGTGCGATGTCGCCAACATCCATCAGATTGCGGATCAGCAGTTTGTAGACCAGCTGGTAAATAAGCTCACGCAGAGTGCAAGCGGAATGTACGGGACCCTACTGCGGGCTGCCCGCGGATATGATTCGAATGTTGATCGCATCACAGGTTCCTACTCGCGGTACTGCAGCTACGCACAGTATTAAACGAGCCGACTATTGGTGAAATGGAAGACAAGCTCGAGCAGCTTACCGACGCCTTGATCGACGCTTTCGACGACACTCTGTCCCGCATCCAGCGCCTGCCAGGGAGTCGAAGCCGGCTGGCCCTGTCGGCACTTATGCATCTCGCGCACGCCAAGCGGCTCTTCCAGGCCGCCGAGCTCAGCGACGTTCTGGCGCTCCGCCCGGGCAGTACCTCAGTCAACGCCAAGTATCGACCCACGGCCAAGATGATCCTCGACTGCTGCCAGGGCCTCGCTATGCTGGATGAGCACACCGGCCAACTGCGCCTTGCGCACTACTCTATACAGGAGTACCTCGTCGCCGCGTCCGACACGCTATTTCCCCAGTGTGAGGTCCGGCTGGCGCTGGACTGCCTCAGCTATCTGCTGCTCGATGACTTCAAGTCGGGACCGCTGCATACCCGCGCCGAGATTGCCACGCGTGTTGCAGCGTACCCGTTCGTCTCCTACGCCTCCGCGTTCTGGGGTCGCTACGCGCAGCCGGTCGAGACCGACGCCGCAGTGTGGGACGCGCTGCTTCTCTTCTACAAGTCAGTACGTGCCACCGCCGCCGCGACGCAGGTTCTGTATTACCAGAAGGGCTACCACGAGGGCTACTATGGCGTGCGTGAGTCCGTCAGCACCTCACCCCTGCACCATGCCGCCATGAACTGTTTGACGCACTCCATTCACACCCTTCTACCGCACTTTGACGTAGACGAGGCCACCGCCATGGGCACCACACCCCTCATCAAGGCGGCCAGCAGCGGGCACGTCGCCGTCGTGGCGCTGCTCCTCGCGCGTGGCGCGGACCCCCACCGCTGCAACTGGTACGGCGACGCGCTGCAGTGCGCGGCCGAGGCGGGCGAGTGCGCGACGGTCCGGCAGCTGGTGGACTGGGGCATGAGCCCGGAGGGGGGGCAGGACGGTGAGAATGGCGAACGTGGCCGAGCGCCGCTGAGCTGCGCGCTCGACAGGGACCGCGCGCACACGATCGAGACGCTGGTGGACCTCGGTGCGGACCTACACCTAGAGTCGGACGATGAGCGTGAGAATGTATTCTTGGAGGCATGCAGTAGGAATGGCGAGAAGACGGTGGATGTGTTGATAAGTCGTGGGTGGGTGGATGTGCGCGCGGGTGGCCATCATATGGTGCAGGCGCTGCGCGTGGCGACACTGCCGATGCTGCGGCACTTGATCGCAGCTGGGGCGGATGTAAATGCGGTGGACAAGGATGGCCGTACAGCGCTGTGGTATGCGAAGCAGGAGGATGACGAGAAGGCGATTCGCATCCTAGAGGAGGCGGGGGCAACACTAGGCGGAGATGAGCAATCGATGAATGTGGAGGGTCGTATTCCGGACTTGAATGGTAGAGATGAGTCTAAGAACGATGCGTCGGCCGGAGAAGTAGAAAACCACGAGGTTGTGGCGGCAGGAGAAGCAGCAGGCCACCCGCCATTGCCCATCCAGAGCCAAGGCCAGATTCAGGGCAACACAGAGGAGCCACAAACACCAGAGTATGGACACATACCCATCGTAAATGAGTTCTTATTAACTCTGACGTAGACACGATCCGGGACTTCATGACGACAAGCACCCATGTCCATTCGGCAGCTGTGGCTGGGGTCCGGGGACCAAGACGCTCCGGGACCGCCACATCACGGAGCGGCACGAAAAGGGTGGCGTTGATGGCAAGTTCTTTTGCTCCGTCGACAGCTGCGAGTACTCACCGAGCGGCGGCAAGACATTTCCGCGAAAAGACAGCTGGCACCAACACATGGTTGAGACACATAGAGCCGGGTAGGTGAGTACATGAGAAACGAATCAACGAGACTGGTGTGCGCTGATGGGTGCCGTCTGTTGAATAGGAGAACCAGTTGTGATTTTTATCTTCATCTATCGTATTAGCTCTTTGTATGTCAAAACTCTTGCAAAAAAAACTTTTGTCTTCGTGTCCTCCGTCTTTTCAAGCTCATTCCTCCCGACAAAGCAAAACATTGCGTCTAAGCCTTGGGGATGACAATGCCGTAGTGCTCATAGGGGAAATTCTCCAGCGTCTCGAGATACTCGGCCCAGCCGTCGTCGATCTCGCCCACCTGGTGCAGGTCCACGTCACCCGCCTCGCCCGTGCGCCCGGCCAGGATCTGGGCCTCGCGTCCCTCAACCTCCTTCTTGAGCATCGGGTGCGGGCACCACACCACGCGCATGCCGGCGCGACGCCCGGCCTCGACGCCCGGCACCGAGTCCTCAAACACGAGGCACTCCTGCGGCGTGATGGGCGGCTCCCCCGCGGGCAGCGAGTCGTTGACCGTCTGCAGCGCCAGCAGGAAGATGTCCGGCAGGGGCTTGCCGCGGCCGGCCGCGAGGCGCGTGTCGTCGCCCTTGACGCGACGCTCCTCGGGGAACACGGAGAAGAGGTCTTGCAGGTGCGTCGTCTTGAGGTCAAAGTTGGCGCGGTGCGAGCTCGTGGCGAGCGCCATGTGGACGGCATGCGGCGGCGCGCCGGGGTTTCCTGACGGCGCGCCGGCGCCCTTGGTGGCGTCGAGGTCCTGCAGGAGCTGGGGGACGCCGGGCAGCGGCTTGGCGGTGCCGAAGAATTGCTTCTGGAAGACGGACAGCTGCGCCGAGTACTCGGCCGTGGAGATGGGCAGCTTGGCCCAGTCGCTAAAGATTTGGTTGGCGGCCGGGCCGGGACGCCCCTGCAGACGGGCCTTGACGGACCACGGCATCGGCGGCCGGTCGTACTGGGCGAGCACTTTGTTGACGCACAGCGTGTACAGGTCCTCGGTGTCGAGGAGCAGGCCGTCCATGTCAAACAGGCAGGCCCTGACGGGGGGGAAGCTGGAGAAGGCGTTAGCGCGTACTCAAAGCATAGTTGCGGGGAGCGTGGCCAGGGTACATACTCGGTCTTGGGGGCCATTGTGAGTGAGACGGAATCGCGGATATTGAGAAGCAGGGGAAAAACGTGGCAGTGATAGAGGCGCGTTGAAGATGTGAATTGGGCAGTAAAATGCAAGTTGCGCGGGGTGGTGGGGTTGCACGATCCACCTTGCAGCAATGTCCGAGGGCATCACATTACACCTGCATCTCACCAGCTGGAGAATCGAATTTGTCCAAGTGGGCTCTGTAGCTGTTTCACTGTCTAGCCGTACGATTTATGGCATCTCATGAGTCACCCGCAGCGTCGGCACCGCCAGAGGCTGGTCTGAAGCAGACCGACGAGTCGACACAAGCTAGCACGACACGGTTCTCTGCTGAAGAAGAACAGGTGCGTCCAGGGCAGTACAACAGGTTCTTGGTCAACACCGATATACTGACAAAATAATGGCAGGCACTTTTGGACGAGTCAGCACAGAAAAAGACCAAAGCCAACGAGTTGTTCAATGCTGGCGAGTGCGATGCCGCCCTCGTCCAGTACCAAGAGGCGCTGGAGTCATGTCCCGACTACAGACACTTTGAGCGAGCCGTCATCCACAGCAACGTCTCGGCCTGCCAGCTGAAGCTTGAAGAGTGGGTGGCGGCCATCAAGGCGGCCTCGGCCTCGCTCGATGCCCTCGTGGCGATGGAGCGCGAACTCGGGCTGATTCCCGAGGCCAAGCCGGAGCCCGCCGCCGGCAAGAGCAGGGAAAAGGGCGCGGATGCCAAGGTCAATGAGGGCGAAAACGCAAACCACCCCTCAGACGGGAAAGCGGAGGAGGGCGAACCAACCGGCGCGGAGCCTCCGCCATTCATACCCGCTCACGTTCCCGAGGCGACCAAGAAGGACATCCAACGCATACGCATCAAGGCGCTCCTGCGGCGCGGCCGTGCGCGGGCCGAGGCCGGCGGCTGGTCCAACCTGTCCGCCGCAGAGGAGGACTACAAGGCGCTCTCCGTGACGCCCGGCCTCGCGCCGGCCGACGCCCAGACGGTGCGCCGGCAGCGCCTCGCGCTGCCGCCCAGGACCAAGGCGGCCCAGGAGCAGGAGATGACGGAGATGTGGGGGAAGCTGCGCACGCTGGGGGATGGCATCCTGAAGCCGTTTGGCCTGAGCACGAATAATTTCCAAATGGTCAAGGATGGGGCGACGGGTGGCTACAGTATGAACTTTCAAGGCAATAAGGAATCATGAAACTGCTCGTTCTCGAGGGTTAAGAAGGGAAAGAAAATTTGATACGGGATCAACGGACGTGAGCCATGGTTTATATCCACATGATTGCTTGCTCTGTATATTCATGCCCATTGTTCTTGGGGAATTTATTACGAGTCTCCTTTCAAAGAACCCCAATCTCTCAATATTCGGACCATTCTGACATCAACCAGCGCACCCTGTTTCCCGGATTTGGCAACGCAACCGGCTGATCGTCGTCTGAATAAGTCCCGGAAACAACACCAGACCCAAGACACAAAGGTGATGACGGGCTGTAGGCTGGGAGACTAATAAACAGCATATTAGCGAGGTCAATACAATAGAGGTAGTTATTGCAAGCTGATAGACCAGAAATATTGAAAAAGATCCTGATACTCTGTCATTTAAATTACTGTATATTTGGCGACCAACAACAGAGGCTCTCGCTGCGTCTTTACAGCAACCGTCACCATGGACCAAAATAGCTAGTAGATTATGAAAAAGAAAACGCGTCGATTATAAAACCACCTTCGTAAAGAGTACACTTTTCAATACGCCGATTTACCCAAGCTTGATCACCGCGCAGCGCAGCCTTTGCGTTACGAATGCGACTCTCGTGCGGGCCATTGTCTCTGAACAGAATCCCGTCCTTGAAAAGCCACATCCTGTCAAAAAAACTCCGAGGAAATCGAGATATTTATAATCAAATTATAAAAGATGAATCAGACAACTACGTATTTACTGATGCTAGTTTTCTAGGAAGATGTTGAGAGACGAATTGATGCTGGACATTGGCCTGCGCGGATTTTCCTTGCAACCTTTTTTAGTGGTTGGGTAGCTGCCGGGAGCTGTAGGAGTGTCGGGCTGCATTGCCACGCTGAAGGTGGCGCTGTGGCGGGCCCCTACATGGATGAGGTGAGGCCTGTAGGGCAGGACTGTAGCACAATAAGAATGCAGTGGCTGTGGCCAACGGTGGTGCTCCTGTGGGAACGATGAAAGGCTTTCACAGAGAAGACACCAGCCGAGTCTGAATTTTCGTAACTGCAAACCCAGTCTAGCCGAATTCACTGCGATGCTAGTCCAGTCTAACAATATCACCATCTTGAAGCCTAGCCATCATTCTAGTAGTGGCATACCAAAAGTCGACCCAGCCCATGGACTCTGAGTGAGCGCAATTCCCGCTCTTGATTCGCTAGTGAGTGTCCAAAGTTTCAGTTTCAGCTGCTCTTACTGGAGTCCTCCTTCAAAGCTACAATGCGGTTGAGCACAATCTTATCATCCGTACTGTCCGAGTCACAGGCCTGCCAGGGAACAAGACACGCACCATTAGCATGATTGAGGGGAGCAAGACAAAAACAAAACACAGCAAGCAATCACTCACAAAGTAAGCGACACGCATGCCCTGAAATCGGATACTGTCAGGTCCGCACTCCCTAGTTTTCTCACCCTCTGCCTCGGGCCATGGCGCACGACGGCGCACTTCGTAGAAGCCAGTTTCGATCATGGCGTTCGGCCATATAATCTCACTGTCAGGGTTGATGTCGTTCATAAACCCTCCGGGCACCGATTTGGGCTGGTCTGATTTAAATAGGGCCGCATGAATACGCACTTCAGCCTTGGGCGAGCCCTCAGGTACCCACTGGATAAATGTCTTGGGCTTCTTGCCATCCTTGTCAAAGACTGCTTGAATCTCTGTGACGGCTCCAGTGGCCTCATCCTTGGTAAAAGAGATGGCCTTGATAGGATATGGCATGTGCAGGAGACCAACGATCTTGCCTGGGGCGAGACGGAAGTAGTCCTTGCTATCAACCTCGCGGAAGTCAGAGCGGTCGATGTAGACACTCTTTGTCAGCCGAATTTTATGGGATCCCATCTTTGGGTCCCTCGGCAGAAAGGGTATATCGAGATCCTGCTCCTCGGCGTCTTCAATCACCACACGCACAGGGTCGAGAACCAGCATAAGACGAGGAACATCCTTCTCAAGACACCGTCGAATAGACTGCTCAAAACGTTTGATGTTGATGGACGTCAGGGCGGTGGTCACGCCAAGCTCATAAATAAAGGCAAGAAGAGCTGCTGGGGGTATACCTCGTCGCCGTATCCCCTTGAGGGTATACAGACGCGGATCATCCCAGCCGCGAACGACCTTTTCTTCTACCAACCTTCTTAGGTCTCTCTTGCTCAAGACCGTGCCGTCAAGTTTCAAGCGGCCATATTCGCGTTGCATCGGCTGGTATTCCACCAGAAGCCTGCTCTCGTATAAGCTAACACCACGTCACGCAGGCACGGTTCAAATCTAGAAGCGCGTCTTTCCCACATCGCGACTCAAGGGAGGAAGGCAATACATACTGGTTGAGCCATTCGTAGCTCTCTCGCGACATGATGAACTCGGTGGTACATAGGCTGTGCGTGATGCCCTCAAAGCTATCACACAAGCAGTGCGCAAAGTCATAAGTCGGATACACGCGCCATTTGGTACCCGTCCGAAGATGAGGATGCTGATCCTTGGGAATTCGGTAGGCGGCAATATCCCACATCTGGGGGTTCGGATTCTCAATATCCTGCTTCATGCGGAGCCAGGCGGTTTGTGGAGCGTATTCGCCGTCACGCATGCCGCGGAATTTCTTGAGGTTGGTGTCGACATCCTGCTTTGCATGCGCGCAACGATATCTCGGGGTCAAGCCATCCTCGCCGCCACGCTGCAGCTTGGTCTCGGATTCATTGCAGTGGCACACGTAGGCCTTGTCCTTCTTGATCAGCTCCTCAGCGAGGTCGTACATGCGCTGGAAGTTGTCCGACGCATATGTGATCTCGGACGGGGTGAATCCCAGCCACCGAATCGTCTCCTCAATGGCCAGGTAGTACTCCTCTTTTTCGGCGTCTGGGTTTGTATCATCAAATCTACGTCGTCATGTAAGCGAGAATCGGAGGTCTACTACAAATCCGGGAACTATGCACCTGAGAATCTGCCGGTGTTAGTTGGCTACATGTCAGAGACCCTGGAGTCCAACTTACTGTTTTGCCGCCATGATGTCTGGCAAACCCAAAGTTGATAGCAATGGCCTTGGAGTGCCCAAGCTAGCTCCTATGTTAGCTTCCTTTTGGGGAACGCAAGAAATCAGCCAAAGAGGAAATGTATACATGGAGGTAGCCATTCGGCTCTGGTGGGAATCGCGTCACGACATTTTCCGATTGGCGAAGCTTGTAGACCTCTGCCAGGAATCCCTGCTTGAACATGGCGTCTGGGTCGAAAGTAGCCTCATCGGTCTTAGCGGGTTTGCCGCCTGGCGTGTTGGTCAGATCCTGACCTCCGGTTGGCAATGGCGTCGATGCTTGTCTGCTGTTGCGCAACACGGCGGCGGCCGTCTTCTTGGCCCGCTTCTGCGTACGCTTCTTGAGCTCATTCTTGGAGACCATTTCCCCAGTCTCCGCATCAAGCTGGAGCTTGGCAGTGTTTTCAGCAATGGTTTCAGCCATGGTGAGTTCGCTGCCAAACTGGGTCTGACAATGGAATAGGATCGAAATGGCAGGTAACGAGTGCTCCGTCCCGTTATGACTATAGTCTGGTCTGGAAATCCGGACCTACAAATCTTTTCGCTTATAATTATGTGAGTCACAGTCACATCAGGTTTCTAAGAGCACGTGATATAACAAGGCTCGGCGTTGAAAAAAAGAAAAGAAAAACGCCTACGTAGGACAAACATTCGGAAGCCGGGCGGAAATATAATCCGGTATTTTGATCAAACAACCAGGACTCTTGTCAGTATCTAAGGGCATTATAGTAGTATTAGTAACTTACCTTATAATATAATTCAAATAAAACAAAACTATATTATATATGATTAGTCTCATTGAAGAATTTGCCGTTTATTCACTGAAGCGGGATCCTTTTTGACGGGCCGATTTCCTGTGGCGCGATAAATGGTTGCGTTATCTTGATCTGGAATCCGTTTCTAACGTCACCGGTAGCATGAGTCACGACGTGAATATGCCCAGTGGTCCTTCCAGGAAGATTATTATTATTATTATTACTAATTAACGCCGGTGGGAATCCCTGAAAAGGGCAAACGGCGCCTGCGGGGACCTTAAAACCAAAACCAAACCTAAATTTTACAAATAATTCTGATTAAAATCCATCCAACAGGCCTCTATGGGGCTCTCGCTGGTTCGTCGTGGGGTTGAAAAGTCCTTCCAGGAAGAGCCACTGTAAGTAAGGACTTACAAGGAATGCTCCTGCAGGTCAATCGCCAGGATAATATTTCTCGGTGGGGGAATGTCATCACCAAGCTTATACAACCAAAACAAGTGACCATGTTCTTATGCGCCACAAGCATAAACTTCGTATCTGGAAGCAAATCAGTCAAGTTTAGGATGGCAAGCAGTAACTAAATGTGTATGGGTAACGGGTAACGTAATACAGCTAAGATGCTCAGTGCTGATCAGAATAGTGGGTCGGTAGCAGCCAGCTGGGTACCTATTTAATCCGACAGCCATTCATTCAATAACCTCAGATCTGCATTAAACTCTGGGCTGCAAGCAAGAGAGACATCTCTACACCGCTGCCATGAATGACATTCCAGCGGTCAACTCCGTGTTACCGCCCCCATGGAGCGTGATCGAATTTTCATTCTCCAATTTCGATACTAACACGGAGCTAGTAGTAATGTGCAACTATGTGCGTTTTGTTATTCACGCTAGCGAGGATGGCTTCACCTCTTCACCTCAAATTAAAGAAAAATACATTTTTTTTCTTCAAGTTGCCGAAAACTATGAACTTGATGGCTATACGGTCGACGATTTCTACGACTGGGCGCTTGAACCTCTACTCCCTATACTCTGCGAACAGACACATGTGTTGAAGGCTGGAATAGCAACTCTACACGATTTCTTATATGCCCCAATACGAGAGTACACGCTGGAGGCCGAGTCAGATAAGCTAGTCTTACGACCTAGGGAGGAGCATACCGAGACACGCTTGATGTTTGGTGTTTCCCAGGCAGATAGCAAATGCCAAATCTGGCCAGGCTACTTGCCGTCAGAGATTCAACTCGATGAGGAAGCCGCGTACGACTGTTTTCCTCAAAGAGTCATCTTGCCGAATGGTACTGTGGCATTTTTCAAGCTCATGGGGCGTGGGGACAAGAGCATTCTCGACAAGGAGCTGAGCAGTTATGAAAAGGCTCGGAACTCGGGGCTTCCAAGCTCAGTACGCACATCTCGCCTCCTTGGACTGGTCAAGGGCGAGAGCGGTACGGTGTTTGGTCTGCTTCTTACGTACATTGACTGTCAAGGTCAGACTCTGACTTGTGCAGTAGAAGCAGATGCACCGGGATTCCTACGGCGACAATGGGTAGCGGAGATTAGACAGATTGTCTTGTGTTTGCATCAACATGGGTTGGTGTGGGGTGACGCGAAACCGGACAACGTCCTCATTGACGGAAACCAGAATGCCTGGCTTATTGACTTTGGTGGTGGATACACAAAAGGTTGGGTTCCAAAAGACCTGGCTGGCACCGTGGAAGGTGATCTCACGGCCCTCACGAAGATGGTGGACTACGTTGAAAGCGGCACTGCTGTTTTAATGTAGCTTGGCTAGTTTTGATGCATAATGCACAAGTAGCTGGCCCAGTTGGAAGCATGCTACATATTGACAGCAGTGTGCCATCTTTGGCAAACAACCCGGGTGCGTCTGACTCCCATGACAGAAGCTACTCTATCTATACCGCATCAATAGAAGAGTGCTATTCGACCACTGTATGGCCGAGCTCAGTGTGCTGTGCTAGGCCTCTGTAGCACTACCTGTAGCGGCCGTACAGTGCAGGTTAACTTTAGAGTTATGGCCTAGCGTGATCATGGCTTGGAATCTCCTCCAACACGGTAATCCGCCGTTGGGGAATTGGCTTCTACAAACGACCAACACGCGACATAACAAAGGTACTTGAAATAAGTTCTTGGTGAGTGTGCAACAGGGTCGTTGAAAAGACAGGCCAAAAAATAGCACTGAACCTGGCAGCGCATGTGGGGCGGCAACCCGACTTGTAAGTTTTAGAACACCCGCTGTAAATTCGGCTCTTGTAGCTAAATTCGGCTCTGGTAGAACTCTTCCACCCGCGATCCAAACTGTCGCCAAACGTTCCAGTCTCAACGCCCTCGGTCAATGATGCCTGAATCCGGTGGAATTTCATTATAACACAGCGCTAGCCATGGCGGAACCGACGCCCGTCAACATCTTGCGCGGCCACAAGTCCCAGATTCACGCCGCGGCATTTGTTCGCAGCAATGACCGCCTCGCCACCGGCGACGCTGACGGCTACGTGATGCTGTGGGATCTCGCCACCATGCGACCCAAGGCAGTGTGGCGGGCTCATGAGAACGCGATTCTCGCTATTCGAGGCTGGGGCGAGGATAAAATCATAACGTGAGTGCATGTCGACAAGACGCATTGGTTCCGCCCTGCTCATGAGAGACACGCAGACACGGCCGAGACCATCGTCTTCTTGTGTGGCAGCTGCGCTTCGAGGATGAGCAGAATTTGGCAACGACATCACCGCTGGAGCACACAGGAGATGCGTACCCACAGCCGTGGATTTTGAATGTATTGGGCGTCAACACGATGAATTTCTGTGCTTTTGCCGCATGTCCGAATACGCCGGGTGTCAGCGCCACCCTGGCAGACGACACCAGTGGCAGTATTCTCGTCGCCGTTCCTAATACGTTGTTGGCCGAATCGGTGCGTTTTATTTTGCCCAGCCATATCGGTTCCCTTGCTGATCCATGCGTCCTAGATTGACATTTATGAACTGCCAAGTCAGAAGCGTATTCACACGGTCAAGCCTGGTGGAAAACACGGTATGGCCATGACGCTCGCCATTCTCTACAAGGAACGTCACTTGGTGTTGTGCGCTGGCTTCGAGAATGGCATGTGCTCCGTCTTCGTGCTTCGTGAAAACGCAGACGAGTGGGTTACGACGTATCGCGGCCAGTCACATTCACAGCCGGTGCTGTCACTGGACGCCGACGCGCGCGGTGAATACTTCATCTCCTCGGCAGCCGACTCGTTGATTGTCAAGCACCCCATTCCGACCTCCCTGCAAACCAAAATACCAGAAGTCTCCGCTCCGCCACATACCATCACGACGACAGACGAAGCCGTATCCGCACCAGCAACGACCACTGGCATCGGAGCCTTGTTTGCCGGCCAGCCAGCCGCCCAGACGAGTGGCATCCCTGAACTTACCACCAGTGTCTGGGAGCACCCCATCAAGGTGGCCAACACGAAGCATTCCGGGCAGCAGAGCCTGACGATTCGCTCCGACGGCCGTGTGTTTGCGACGGCCGGCTGGGATGCCAGGATTCGCGTCTACGCGACCAAGTCCCTCAAAGAGCTTGCCGTGCTCAAATGGCACCAAGTCGGCGTCTACGCTGCCGCTTTTGCGCACGTGAAGCCCGGCGCAGACGAGGTTTCGATGGAGAAGAAGAAGCAGCTGCAGTTGGCTCCATCGACGCAAGAAAGCACCTCGGATGCAGTCATTTTAAGCCCTGGCAAGCCGGACGGAGCGCGGGCCATGACGGTCAAGGATAGGCGATTGCATCATGCGAAGCATACCCACTGGGTGGCCGCCGGGGCCAAAGACGGTAAATTAAGTCTCTGGGATATATATTAACTATGAATAATGACTGCAACCTTTGCTCTTCACTTCCATGAGCAATCACATTCAGCGGCATACCCTATCGGGTGTGATTCGAGCACCGTCGCCACGCCTCTTGGCAATGATGCCTAAAACACGCAGCTCGGCCAGGGTCACGGCCATCAAGCCCTAGGCGGAAGCTGCACCACATTCTTCTAGAAACCAAAAAAAAATCGCCTCCCTTGTTCTTCTTGACATGTCGCAGCCATTCTTTCTTGACATGTCGCAGCCAAGCATTCCCCGTTGTAGCCAGATTGGGCAGCTGTGTGTGTTGCCTCGACGCTAACCGGCGGGATCGCCAATGGCGTTTTCGCTTGGCGGCGGTAGTGCAAACACGATTGTGCCCGGACTTGGGGCCAAACTAGGAAGGAACATGGCCTTTTTTGGGGTATCTTGTCACAAGTGGTTTGGAATTGGCAACGCAGTCATAGCGTAAACTCAAACTTGGGGGGGTTTTGTGCAGGCCATCTTGGTTGTGGAACATGGGCTCATCTGCGCCAAGAGCCATGGTTATCTGGCTCGCTGGAAGATGATGTTCCAGAACTTTCTATACATGGCACATGGTCCACACAATACAGGATGGGGTTTTCAAAGACTTTGTAGGACAAGTTTTAAAACAATCATGGCATTTAATCATATCGGGTCAAGGACCAGCAACTAGGACAACCTTGCCCGTCCTTTGGCACATGGTTCTATATCGAGACACTAGCATATTTGACAGAATAGACACCGCGCTCAATGCTGTTGATGAGAATGTAACCGCTCTTGAGGTACGGGTAGACGGACCAGGCGCCGTGGAACGTAGCCTCGCCGCCAACCGCGTCGTCAGCAGGGTGGACATCGAAGAACCCAACCTCCTTGAAGCCGGCGCCGGTCGGGTCCTGCGCGACCGAGGAGACGTTGACGATGCGCAGGCCGGAGCCGTAGTTGGACTGGTACGAGAGCCCGTCGAGGACGTACTGGTTGTGGTCGATCGACTTGGCCGGGCTCTTGTACACGCCGGTGAAGACGGGCTTGGTCAGGTTGATGATGTCGACAATGTACGTCGTGGTCTTTTGGTCCGCGGCGGGGCCCGTCTTGCGCGACTCGTCCAGCTCGTCGTCGAGCAGCAGGTAGCGCATCTCCTTGTCGGCGAGCCAGCCCTGGTGGGTATATGTCGCGCCCTTGTACGTGGTGCGGGAGAGCTGCTTGGGGCTGGCGCGGTCCGTGACGTCGACAATGGTGAGCGTGTCCTCGTTGTAGTTGAAGCAGACCTCGCGGCCCTTGTACCGCTGGTCCGGCCCGGAGTAGATGACGCACTGCGCGTCGTGCACGTAGCCGTCCTCGCCGACGCAGCCCGCCTTCTTGGGCTTGCTGGGGTTGGACACGTCCACCATCCAGAGGCCGGCGTTGCACCCGGCGTTGCGGCCGGTGCCGACGGCCGACACCGTCTTGGTCGTGCCGTCGTGCACGACGATGTTGTGGCTGCTGCCAAACTCGGCGTAGAGCGCCGTGAGGTCGCTCGTGGTGCTGAACGTCTTGGGGCTCGCCGGGCTCAGCGTCAGGAGCTTGGTGAGGTCAAAGATTTGCAGCCCGTGGTTGGCCGCCTCGGCGCCAATGTACGCGTGGTTGCCGAGCACCTTGATGTCGCGCCAGGTCGAGGCCACCGTCTGCGTCGGAAGGCGGCCCAGGTACTGCAGGCTGCCGTCCTTGAGCACCTCGACAAAGGCGGTGCCGTCGGTCTGGCCGACGAGGCCAAACTCGCGACCAGTGGAGGAAGTCCACGCTGGAAAGAGAACACGATTGTCAGTATACACTCAAGTTCACTGTCAAGGGACAATATATATATATGTATACGCACCCCAGACGTCGTTGCCTTCGCGCTCGACGCTGCCCATGTCCTGGTGGCGGAGGAAGCCGGCCAGGTTCACGTTGCGGCAGCTGTACTCGCCGGCTTTGCCGCTGACGCAAGGGGCCGCGCCGGTCGCGGCGTAGCGGTCCACGTCAAAGAGGCCGGCGGCGCGGTCGTCCTCGCGCTGCTGGATCTTGATGCCCTTCAACGTGGCCATGGAGACGGCGTTGGGCGCGCTCGAGGCCGCCAGCTGCTGGGCCGAGAAGGCGACCTTGCCGCCGGGCGCGACGAAGCCAGCAGCGAGGCCAGCGAGAACCAGAGTAGCCGCGGAGCCTTTCATGTTTGGGGTCTACGGGAAAAGAAGTTTGAGGGTATGTTGAAAGACAAGATCCTGTGCGTGGGCGTGTTTGGCCCCCAGGAGGGATGGGCCTTCTTTCGCTCTCTTTTTATACTTGTCTGGTTGGCTCTGCTGTGTACGGCAAATCTACATCAAGGCTACCTCGCGTGCCATACCAAGTCTAGTCTTGAGCCTTTCGGGCAGGTGCCTGTGAAGCAAACAAAAGGTATCATCAGGACTAGAAGCTTACAAAACCTCAGAAGATCGACTGGCGTGGGCTGCTGGAAAGCAACGTGACTGTGGGCTGCCAAGCGTTCGTGACGACAGGGTACTGTTTGGTTATACATACCAAAGCTTATCGTGTTGAGATATTCACATTCAACAGGGTTAAAAATGACGCTTCCTTGCCACTCGTTGGGCAAGTCGCCATCTTCCAGCATCAGGGCGGCCCCGCCCGGTCGTATAAACTCGCGAGCCCTGACAAGAGAGCCATCATCGGAGCATCAGTGGCACCGTCGCCATCATGTTTGTAACTGGAACCAAGTCCATGCTGGCTCCAATCGAGCACGCGCCAAGCTTTTATACTGGAGACGACTCGAGAGACCCTGTCGGCTTTTGTCGTCGCCGGTCGCCGACCTTCCTATTCTGTATAGTGCGCCCGCATTGCGGGGAGACGTCCTCAATGCCAGCATCACATCGCCGCGAATCAGGCTCTGCTTGTTCTCATGGCCAAGCCAGAAACGGTATATGGAAATAGAGTTGCGGACTAGGGTTATTAGTCGGCCGGTTGATCAACACGGCTCCTCTCGACTACCTAAGCCGCATGTATATTGACCATCGATTAAGATGTGGACGGCTCGGTTAGAGTTGGCTCGGCACGGCGAGTTGCCACCATAATCAACTTGCTTTGTAAAGACAAAAGTGTCCGGTCTTACAGCCGCGAGTAGCCTGGAACAGAGGGGTGTTGGTGGTGGGTGTGGCGGCTAGTGACTGCAGGGTCTTGTGGTTGCAGAGTATCAAGAAAGACATGACATGAAAGCTGTGGGGATCCAGTTCGATATATCGAGGGTCGTAGAGGTCTCTGGATTGGAATGGATTGGAATGGATTGGAGTGCTTTTTAACGTTGGTGAGTCTAGTTGACAATGTCTCCCTCGAAAAGAGATCCTGTGGAGGAAGCGTTTAAGGGGTGAGGGGATGGACCCGCTTGAGCACTCTGACCAATTCAAGGGCCCCCTTTTCTGCTTAGGGTTTCTGACCAGAGTATTAATTTAATGGAAGAATATTCCAATAACTAGAGACAACTGCGAAGTTGCTACATATACACGATAGGGCTTTTAGATAAGAAAATCCTCCCCTAGTAATACTTAGATTAGTCTTCGATTGGTAGGGCTTAGCACGAGCTTGATAAAGAAATTGACGTCTTTTCTAATCACAAGATAGATTTCCTGTTGGTCTTGCTCTTCTGCTTTGTCCTCCGTGATGGCACTATGTTGCCACTGGGACCTGGACAACGGATTATTGAGTCATCCCATTGCGCGTGCTTATATTTCAATTTTTTCTAGATTTTTAGGTTCTCGTGCAATGTTTTTGACTGCTTATTAGCGTCATGTACATTTGGTGTAGATAAGAAACGAACAAAGACCGGTTAAACAGCCAGGGCTGAATAGGCAGATTCATGAGCGGATTGAGGCTGAGCAGCTTCAAATTCTACAAGTTATACTTTTACAGTGTCAATGCCATGCACCCCCCCTTGTTCCTCTTTCCTTTTTGGTTTATTTTATGCTGAAATTACTTGGCGCTTTCCATGAACTCCCCCGTGCCTAGAAACATCATTCTTCTTTTGGTGGCCATTTTCCTCTTCAATCTTGATTTTGCGAGCCCGTTGCTGATCTCCCCCGCATCATCATCGTCGCACCTTTTACCCCGCGGCAACATCACTGATGATGGAAGCCTCTCCGACCCTCTCGTCACGGTGACCCCCGTCGCCTTTGATATCCGACTGCCATGGTGGACCGACGTTCCCGGAACTGCCATTAGCCTCCTGATCGCTGCCGTGACCGTGAGCGGAGGCTGGGTCCGCCCCAGCAAAGGCGACGTCCCGCTCGCAAAGGCATCCTTTGCATGGAACTGCTTCACCACGGTCCTCCTCTTTTTCCAATCCCTATCTGGCCTCATCCCTCTTGCTGTCCTTCCGGAGCTGCGACCGGTACTCCCTCGGACTCGTCCAGCGCCTGGGTGGGAATAGTTTTGCGGCGCTGTTCGCAAACAGCATCAAGTTGTGGGATCAAGCACTTCTGGAACACCCAAAGACGCTCCTCGTCGCTGGCTGGATCAACATTACCCTCTCGCTCCTCGCATTCGTGCTCTTCTCCCTTCCCGTCATCGGCTCGGCGCCCCTCTTCCAAGTCTCCTCTCCGTTTTGTACCTGGGTCCTCAACGACGGCACCGGCTTCCAGACGACAAGCCACGTCACCGCTTCCTCCGATGCCGTATGTGGCGTGTTCAACTGGCTGAATCAATCAAGTGTCTCGCCGACCTCGACCATCTCACAGACGCAAATCCGCTGCGCCAATGCAGATGCTCTGAGGCTTGGTTATACGGGCGCGTATAATACCCTCACCACCATTGGAGACTATGCACACTTGGCGCAATCACCCTGGTTAGGTTGGGCCTTTGCCGTCATTGTTGCAGTGCTCTTGATTCTCACTGCGAGGATGCAATGGCGGAGAAATCTCTATCGCCCTGTCCCTTTTCGAGAAGACGAGACAGAGGACAGAACAGAACGTTAGACGAGCAAGGTCATGATGGCGTTATTCATCTTGTCGCTGGCCATATCCCTTGCCGTTTTGATCGCGCAGCATGATTACCAGGCGGCGGGGTTTTCGGGCAGTCTTGTTGTGTGTCCAGACGTAGCGAATAGCACATCCTATACGAATCTTGGCAACACGACGTGTATGTGTGTAGATATTCTGAGAAAGTACGACGCAAGTGTACAGAGCGTAGTGAAGAAACAGAAGCGGAAACTAGGGAGGTTCTTTTATAATTTCTTCTAAATATAGCGTGCAGATTCGGCCATCTTGACGCATTATATGAACCGGTAGCAGAATATCCGCATTTACACTGCTGAAAGTCTATTGCAAAAATATTGGCCAATTAATGTATATCATTATTCATTTATTAATTCTAATAGCACATGTATGCTGCAAGCAAACCCCAGCCAAAACGCCGCGAGATGGGAGGGTAAATCGTGTATGAGTCTAGATTCCACCAGCACCGGCACTCTGCTTAAGCTTGGTCCAGGGAGTGAATAGGCTGGCCACGGTAGCCACACCAGTGGCAGCAATACAGAGAGCAAAGACGACCTTGAGGCCGTGCATGTACCCGTCAATGACAATGGGAATCTGATCGGCAGGGAACGCGTGTCGAATATTGGTAGCGCCGGTGAGAATCAGAGTCGCCTTGTCAATCTCGGGTGCGCGCTGCAAAACGTAGCTCACCATTTGGTTCAGGAAAGCAGACTGGGCGGCCGAGACGAGGAACGCTCCGCCGAGGCCCTGGAAGAAGAGAAGCATGCCCGTGGCCGAGGCGAGGTCCTTGGGCTCGACAGTGCCTTGCACGACAATCATGGGCAGCTGAAAGGCGATGCCCCAGCCGGCGCCAGCCACGATCTGGTAGCCGATCCAGGCGCCGGTGGACGTGTCGACGTTGAAGAGAAAGAGCAGTCCGGCGCCGACCGTCGCCAGCGCGCCGCCGCCGACGAGCAGGAACTGGTAGTAGCCCGTCGCGGAGACGATGCCGCCGCTGGCAATGGTGGCGATGGTGACGGCGATGATGAAGGGCAGGTTGCGCACGCCGCTCATGGTCGGCGTCGCATTGTGCACCGACTGGAAGTAGACGGGGATGTAGTAGATGGCGGCGAAGAAGCCGCCGGCAAAGATGAAGCTGTACACCATGGCCACGACCAGCGTCCGGTTCCGGACCAGCTGCGGCGAGACCATGGACCGCTCCCCCTGGAAGTACTGCAGCACCGCCCAGGCGGCGACCAGCGCGACGAAGCCGACGAGGAGCCCGACGACGGTCGATGAGCCCCACGCGTGCGCGGTGCCGCCGTACTGCACGGCGAGGATGTACGCGACCGTGGCGCCCATCATGAGCACGACGCCGAGCGGGTCCATCTGCAGCACCTTTTCCCGGAGCGTCGCGCGCACCGGCACCGCGGCGCGCGGCGTCTGGAAGAAGAGGAAGATGACGCCGGCCGAGATGGCGCCGATGGGCAGGTTGATGTAGAAGCACCACCGCCACGAGACGTTGTCGGTGAAGGCGCCGCCGAGGAGCGGCCCGATGACGCTCGCGAGGCCGTACGAGGCGCCGAGGATGCCGGTGAAGGCCGGGCGGCGCTTCGGCGGCGCGGAAAAGGCGATGATGGTGTAGGCGCCGGCGCCGAGGCCGGCCGCGCCGAGACCGGCAATGGCGCGCCCCGTGATGAGGGCTTCCGCGTTGGGCGCCGCGCCGCAGATGACGGAGCCGACCTCGAAGATGAAGATGGCCAGCAGGAACGACGTCTTGAGCGGGAAGTACTTGTAGATCTTGCCCCAGGTGGACTGGAACGCGCCGACCGTCATGAAGAAGGCCGCGCCGTACCAGCCGACCTTGTCGAGGCCCTGGAACTCTTCGGTGATTTTGGGAATGGCCGTGGCGACAATGGTCTGGAGTCGAGTTAGCGGGTGCATGTATATGCTATGGATGGGTAAATACGGACCATGTCGAGAGCGAGGAGGAAGATGGCGAGAACGAGAGCGACGACGATGAAGACGAGCTTCGTACCAGAAGGGTATTCGTCTTCGGGCTGCTCGTCAGGCTGTGGAGTCGCTTTCTCGGTATCAGAGTCTATCTTGCCGCTGACAGAGATGCTGTCGGGGATGTGCTTCTCGTGTGCGTGGTCTTCACCGGCCAGGGTTGATGTTGTCGAGGTCGCCCAGCCGGCTTCGCGGGGCACCTCGAGGGTGTTTCGTGCTGAAGTCATTTTGTCACAATGATCAACTGGATATCTTTGAAGAATATTGATTCCAAGTTTTATCGGAAGTGAGTACTATGAGCAAGGACTCTCTTCTTGTTTGCCCAGTTTGCTTGCTGTAAAGAATGAGCTGTTGGCTGGATCTTGGGATGGCGACTCCTTTAATATACACACTGCTCACAATATACCAGCCCAATCTGACACCAACAAAATACCCATGTGCCCGAAACATAACGGTGGAGCGCAGTTTACCTCGACAATAAAAATCCGACCAGGTGTAGCGGTGGCCAGGCCTGGGACGGGCGCAACCGTGCTAAGTCCATATAAGTCCGCCACACACAACCAAGAACTCCATCGTTCACGGTGTGCGGGGCCGCAACAAAGGATGATGACTGCTAAAGCTCCGCCAATTGGCGCCGGCGTAGCCCACAAGGTAACGCGTTATGCTGGCTGTGGCGTCAGCGTTATGGGTAAGGCTTGGGCTGCTTTGGGAACAAGGCGAGACAAGAGAAGCTGGTGCATGTGGAAGAGGTGGAAGAGGTGGAATAGCTTTGAAATCATTCCGCACATCTGATCTTTCACCACGTATGTGCGGGCTACATGCTTTGACTTGCAAGGGCTAGTTGGACTCTGCGGGATAACACGGGCGGATTTCTCAGCCTAACCTCTAGTCTAAATCGAACAAGACGAGGACTAATTCTGCATATACACAACAGGTTCTTAGGCATGGCGTTGTATGATGAGTTTCTCCTTTATATTTGTCCCAAATTTAGAGAGCTCCTGTGAGCCTTTAGAGTAATACCGATAACAAAAACAAGGCTTACACCAGAGCATCTTCCCTTGTCTAACTAGTGGAGCAGCCAGTGGAGTTGCTTCTGTCGGAGCTTGCGGACATTCGCTGAATAATCTATCCGGCACCATCATCTTGTAAGGCTGATCGGAGAACCATAGCAGAGCCTCCTCGCGGAGGTTGCGACGGGGATCCAGGAATGAAACCGCTTTGACAAGCTCTCACAACTCGCCGGGGTGACGTGCCCTATGAGACTAGCAGCCCGGTGCATGTCGCCATCCATGTGATACGTTCCGCGCCCTTGCAACTTACCCTGCGGACTTGCTGGATGATTAACAAACCTCGCAGGGATGTATTGATGATGGAATAAAGACAGCCGCGGCGGAGCAGATTCTGAAAGCTCGAGCGACAAAGGGAAAAGAGCCAAGCTGTGGTCGCACAAAAAGTCTCCGAGATGACGGATTCGGTCCCAAGTAGGACAAGAAGCATGACAAGTCCAAGGCCGCGCCGGGCTCCTTATCTCCGGGGTGGTGCAACTATGTATAATTGTCCAGGGTTCTGACGTGGGACCGGGTCACCAAGATTCAGTAGAAGACGCAGCTTGGATGGAAAACTTGACAACCACAGTTCCTTGTCCCATTTGCACGCTTCGTTGTGATTTATTGTAGTTGATACATGGCTAGAGGTGTAGGGTAAGATGCCCGCGGTGAGGACGCGGCGGACCTACACGGAAAGCTTCATGCTCATGTTGGCAAGGTTTTTGATCCCAAGAAAGAACTGATACGTATTTTGATCTTCAACATGAACATGGCCCTCAATAGTATCCAGTCCAAGGATTTATTTTTTATTGTTTTTTATTTATAACTTAAATAATCAGCCTTCTTCTAGTTCTTGTTCTGGTTTCTGTCCCATTCTCAACCCCAGACAAAACCCCTTCTCTAGTGAAACTGGCCTTCCGTATTGCCGTCGCCCATGCTCTTGCTGCTCGAGCTGCCGCTCTGGATCGCGCCCAGAATGCCGTCGATATACTTGGCGCCGCTCCACTTCTGGTGCGTCAGGACGTCGCAGCCGAGCTCCTTTTCGCGGCGCTGCACAATCTCGACGTACGCCTTCATGCCGTCCGTCTTGAAGCTGCGCGCGAGCTCCGTCGAGATGGTGGCCGTCGAGTGCACGCCGGCGAGCGAGACGAGCTGCAGCACGAAGCCCTCCTTGGCAATGTCCCAGATGAACGACTTGAGCGTCTCGGGCGTGAAGCCGTGCGCCATCCAGTTAAACGACGGCGAGAGGTTGTACACGAGCCCCTTGCCCGGGTGCGCGGCGCGCACGGCGCGGCCCAGCGCCGCCGCCACCTCGACGTTGGGGTCGCCCGTTTCCACCCACAGCAGGTCCGCGTACGGGCCGAACGCGAGCGCGCGCTTCGTCGCCGCCGCCATGCCCGCGCGGAAGTGGTAGAAGCCCTCGCGCGTGCGCGGCACGTCCCAGTTGAAGTAGACGGGCGTCGCCGCGTAGTGGTTGGCGAGCGCGCGCCGGCGCGTCACGCCCATGTTGCGGTCCGCGGCCGTCGCCGCCTGGAACTCGGCAATCTTGTCCTCGGCGACGCCCTCGCTGCGCATGTGCTCCACGGCCGCCTCGTCAAACGTGACCAGCCTCGTCTTGCCGACCCACTCGGCCTCGAACGCGTCAATCTCGGCGCCCGACGCGCCCTTGGCCTCGAGCGACTGGATCGTCTCGGCGAGCGGCTCGAGCGCCGGGTCCGCCACCCCGAGGATGAACTCGTGGTCGCGCACGTCAATCGCCGACGAGAGGAGCTTGCCCGACTCCGAGTCAGTGCGCGCGATGACGAGGTTCTCGCAGCCCATGATGTCCCATTGGAAGCGCGCCGCGTTGAGGCGGTTGATGTGCTCGCCCGTCGGCACGAGCACCTTGCCGGCCAGGTGGCCGCACTTTTTGCCACCGTGCAGCTGGTCCTCAAAGTGCACCGCCGCCGCGCCGTTCTCGGCAAAGAGCTTGGCGAGCTTGAGCACGGCCGAGAGCCCGCCGTGGCCCGTGTCGCCGTCGGCGATGATGGGCCGGAGGTAGTCGACGTACGGGGTTGTGCTGCGCTCGGCCGCCGTCATGGAGCGCCGCGCATCCCACTGCTTGCGGTCGTGCATCGACTGCGCCTTGGCCAGGCGCTGCACTTGGTTCGGCACCGTGTTGTAGGGGTAGTCGCCAAAGTCGGGGGAGACCTCGTTGGTCGACGTGAGGAGCGAGGAGCAGGCCCAGCCGGAAATGTAGAGGACTTCTTGGTGCGGCGCTTGCTGCGTCATCTGGACGGGGTCGACGGCGCCGACTGTGGCATCATCATGTTTAGCTTCGGCACCGGGACTGCTTGTTTGCAAGGGTGTGGTACGTACGCGTGTGGATGGGCTCGCCCTTGGAAATGCGCTCCCGAATCAGGTTAAAGAGCTTCGAGGCCATGACGGAGCTGGGGTACTGGATGGCCTGGCTGCCTCGCTTGGAGACGACATCGGCGGCCGTGTACGGACGCTTGATGCCGGCGTACCGGGGCGACGACCACCAGGCCTCGACCTCCTTGATCTGCGCATCGTAGAGAGCATCCTCGGCCTCGCCAGCCTTTTGAGACTCCGGCAGCAGCTGAAAGGCGTCGGCCGGGGACGACGCGTAGGGGTTCTTGGCGGGCGCCGACATGAAGGCGGTGCTGCTCACAGTTCGGATAGCCGCGGGAAAGGCAGCTCGGGCGGTCGTCGTGGTGCGGGACAGGGCGCGCTGAGGAATTGCTCGCTGCAAGGATCTTCGAATCATTGTCGCGGGTAGGATATGTGTCGAGGAGAAATGCGTGGATAGATGCGAGAACGAGGGAATTGGAGCCGCCTCATAAGGATGACGGAGCTGTGCGGCGTCCTGTGGCTAGAACGGTTATAAAGGCAGTGGCGGCGGCGTTGCAGCGGCGCTACAGCCGAAGACAGCCGCGGGCGGAGCGAGGGGCGAACTGTTTGGCTGATAAATCCGGGCGATAACCGAGCACACGCTCGGAGGAGGGGTGACCGGCTCGTTATGGATAAATATATTGGAATCATCAGGAAGCTGATAGTAGGGAATTAATTGATCTAGATCGATCGAATGGTCTGGAGCATCGCAAAGTGCCAGCGGGGAAACGTCTCGAATTGGCTTGTACGTGTAATCGTCCACTTTGTGATAGGCCTGAAAATTAGTTGTCATTGTACTAGTTTTTATCTTCCATCATCTTCATTGTGCTACTTTGTCCTCTTGTTTTATACCTTCTTGAATTAATTGCTGTATACATGGCCAGCCACAGAGATGCTGCTGGTCATCGCTGGGTAGACGAAACACGACGAGAATTCAGACAGAGACTGAAACGAGAAGACGTTCCTTTGGCTACCTAACGATCAGGCCTTACTTGTATCGCACTGCATTTCATTCTGTCTGCCAAGTATCCAGCCAATCCACCGAGTCAAGTCCCGACCCATCAGCCGCCAATAGCAATCATAAATTTGCTAAAGTACTCCGTCACACTCTGCAATCCCGTCAACTCGGCCACCATCCCAACATAGCCATCCGGTCTGACCACGACCAGCGCACCCACATCATCCATCACACCCAGCTGCGAGTGCGCCGCGCCGTCCACATCGGCATAGATGCGCATCAGCCACTTTGTCGAAAACGGGGCGGGCAGTTCATCCAGCTGCACGGCCAGGTGGTCCTCAGAGTGCACCAGAAACAAGTCAATCAGGTACTGTTGGTTGGTGGCCGGGATCGAGGTCGAGGTAATGTCCTCGTGGCGGAACCGGTCCGTCTGACCCGGCGGCGGCGACTCGTTGAACAGGCGCAGCGGCGACTGCGCAGACTCGAGCGCCACGGCTAGGTCCTTCAACGTGGGCGAGCGCAGCTTCTTGCCAGCAAAGACAAACAAGTGGAAACGCCCGTTGGACGGCATCACATCGAGCAGTGGGGACCGGGTGCCGTCAATGTGCCGGACAAGGTCTATGGGCAGAATGCGCTTCCCAGCGAGCAGCGGCTCCGTGGCCTTGCCGCTGATGCTGGCTGTCACGCGCCCGTCGACGAGCATGCCCTCGGGGTACTGGTAGTGGAGGCCGCTGGTGAAACCGTGGCCTTGCTCCCAGGTCGCTTGGATGTCACGCGCCGCAGCCGCACCGCGCTGCGCAAACTGCTTGGCAAATACAGCGTCAAACTCAATCAGCCGCTGCGCGACCCAGAGGCGCTCATCCTCGTACGTGCGTAGCAATGCCGGCACCGCGGCGCCGCGAAGCACGGCTGCCAGCTTCCACGTCAGGTTGTAGGCGTCGCAGATGCCCACGTTCATGCCCTGGCCCGCCTTGGGGCTGTGCGTGTGGCACGCGTCGCCGAGGAGGAAGACTCGCTCGTCGGCGTCGTGGAAGGCGTGCACGACGCGCTGCGAGACCCGGTACTGGCTGATCCATACAATGTCGGTAATATCCATGTGGTAGGGGGTCAGCACATTGTTAATGCGCGTCTGCACGATGCGCGCAAGCTGGAACGCTGCATCCGAGGTGAGGGCGTCGCTGCCGTTGCTGCCGTGGCTACCATTGCCGTTTCCGGTGCTGCCGTTGCCGTTGCCGTCGCCGGTGAGGGCGTCGTTGTCGGTGCTGCTGTTGCCTGTGAGGGCGTCCACATCGGCGCTGTCCACCTGGAGAAAGATGCGCACACCCTCGTCCTTGCGGGGAATCAGCATGCACCCTCCGTCGGGCGTCTGAATGGCGCAGCGGCGGCGGTAGTCGAGGAAGTCAGTCTCGGCGTACACATCGGCAACGGCCCAGACGTGCTCGCCGCCCTGCGAGGACGATTGAATGCCGGCCTCTCGTCGCGTGGCACTGCGGGCGCCGTCGCAGCCCAGAATGTACTTGGTCTGCCAGGATTCGATGGCACCGCTCGCGTGGTTCTTGATGTAGGCCGTCAGCGGCCATGCGCTGCTGTCGGGGTTGTACTCGTAGCGGAGAAGCTCCAGGAATCGGTGGACTTTTTGGCCCCTGGCTATGAGCTCATCTTCAAAGATGCTTTCCGTTTTGCCCTGGTCGGTGTTGAACAGGTACTGGTATGGGGTGGCTAGGAGAGAGAGAAGGTGTTAGCTTGTCGCATGTGTATGCCATAGAGTAGGCGCTTACCGTGCACGACTTCCGCACCTGTAAAGGTGCGGCGAAGACTGCCAGTACCCTCACGGAGCCAGAAGGATGTCTCGGTAAGACGGTGCCCCTGCGTATCAAGGGAGCTGAGGATGTTGATGGTCTGTAGGATCTCTTGGGTTCGGGGTTGGAAAGCTATCGATGTATTAGATAGAGCCCACGCTGACACAAAACAGTGCAAATTTGAATGCACAAACCGCTGGCATGACCAGTCTGAGTCCTCGTCGGGCGTTTGTCAATCACACGAAAGTCAATCCCGTATCGCTGTAGAGTCACAGCAGACATGCAGCCAGCCGGACCAGCTCCTACGATGAGGACATCTGTTTGCTGCTTTTCAATGGTATACCCCTTGTGGATGACCTTGACTGTCATTTTGTAAACTCAGGTATCAATCTTCGAAAAAATGCTTGTCGACGCGTTTGCGAGGCTTCTGCTCGAACAAAGAGTCAATATACCTTCGTTCAGAGCGAGGCTTTTATACCTGCACGTTTGCCACCCAGCGCTGCGGAGAACGCGCATTGTAAATCTCATTGCGCGCGTGCTTCTCTCTTTTTTCCAATATCTATAGCATTCGGGAAGGGTAATAGTATTGAACGCCGCAGTACTGATGGCCATCACCAGTTCCAACCCTCTGTGCCTCGTTGTGGTGATCCTACTCCCTTCAACACCCCGCAAACATGCAGCGTCAAATGCAAGCTGTGAGACACGGTGGCAGCCAGTATGGAAAGCAAAGGCGCGACGAGATGGGCTCCTCAGCAGCGCCGCATTCCTCTCGGTTCAAAGCGAAGCTGAAAACGATCCTGACTGCATGGTCATCATATATTGTCCCTTGGCACTGCAGGACTGACGTGAAGCGGAGAGCCCAAGGTTTTCCGGCATACTTGACGGCCGGCGCCGGAAGCTACCCGGACAAGTTTCCCGCGTAATTCAACTCACTTTGTCGTTGTTTGCTCGATGGGCCCCTTTTTCACCCGTCATGGGCGTGTGGCGCAAATTCCTGCGGGTAGATCTGGCCGACTCCGCAGCGGAAAACGCTCCCGAAAGGAGACCCCCGACAGGTTCTTTGTTGTCCAAAAATCAGATGACACGTAGGGCGACGGCGGTCTCCGATCGGCGAAGGAAAAAAGTCGCAACCCAGCGTTTTGTGAAGGATGGATGATGGTGATATGCAGGACCGCCACAGTCCTTAAGACGTCGCGGCTGACACCTTTTCAAAGAGGTTCTGTAAACGTGACAGGCCCTGGCTCGGATCTTGTGCATAGAATCTTCTCGAACCGAATGCTATAGGTACCTATTGCGTGCTGTTGGATGCCCTTTGACCGGACAGAATGGAAGACGAGAAGCAAAAGGTTGAGAGCCAACCAGAGCAGCCGGAGAGAGACACGGAACAGTTGTCGGACACGGCGACTAAGGCGAACGTCAACGACACAGATTCCATCCCAAATGGAGGAACTATAGCCTGGCTGCAGGTTCTCGGTACTTTTTTCATCTTTTTCAACACTTGGTGCGTGGCGGCGCGGAAACTGCGTTTTTTTTTGTCCCTGTTCACGATTCCCTTTTCTTGCCTTTTCCCTTTCTTCCAAGGGCTTTTCGTATTCTTGGCTTCCCACGTTGTTTTCTTTGTTAGGACATCATTGCATGTCACACTTGCTCATTGACCTGGTGAGCAGGGGCATATTGAACACGTTTGGTGCATACCAGACCTACTACGAAACGGGCGCGCTCTACACGGCCTCATCGTCCAACATTTCCTGGATTGGCTCCGTGCAGTCATCGCTGCTCCTCGTCCTCGGCCTCGCGACGGGCCCCCTGTACGATGCCGGGTACTTTCATACGCTGCTGTACGGCGGATCATTTATGATTCTTCTCGGTCAGATGATGCTCAGCCTCTGTCAGTCGTACTACCAGGCTCTCCTGGCGCAGGGCTTCTGCATTGGAGTCGGTGTAGGACTCATCTTCATACCGGGCGTAGCGTTGCTTTCGACATACTTTAGCACCAGGCTGGCCGTCGCCAATGGTGTTGCAGCGGCGGGGAGTGGTCTCGGTACGTACAAGAGGGTGACAATCGACGACGCCAGCGCTGACAGTGGACGGCTAGGCGGGATTCTGTACCCCATCATCTTCCATAGGCTGTGCGATGAGATTGGCTTCGGGTGGACAGTCCGGGCGATTGGGCTCGTCATCTTGGTGACTCTTGCCATTCCGCTTACCGTTTTCCGCGTGCGTGTGAAGCCAGCCAAGAAGCGCAAGGCGCTCGATCTCGGCGCATTCAAGGAGCCAGCGTACACTTCTTTCGTCTTGGGTGGGCTCTTGACGTTTGTCGCGCTCAACATCCCGTTCTTTTATATCCAGTACTTTGCGATTAGCAAAGGCATTGCGAAAGGCGAGGTGGGCTTCTACCTCTTGTCCGTCATTACGACGGGCTCTGTGTTTGGCCGCATCGTGCCCAATCTGTTTTCCAACCGGGTCGGCCCATTCAACATTGTGTCGGGCTGCACTGTTCTGTGCGGTGGGCTGATGTTCTCGCTCATTCACCTGTCCAGTCTGGGCGGTGTGGTAGTGGTGGCCCTGCTGTACGGATTCTTCTCGGGGGCGTTTGTATCGCTACCGCCGACGTGCTTTGTGAAGCTGTCACCGGACCGCGGGGTGATCGGGACGCGGATGGGCATGGGCTACGTGGTGATGACGGTAGGCAACCTGATTGGAACGCCAGTGGCGGGGAAGATACTGCAGGACCATGGCTTCAACTCCATGTGGGTGTTTGGCGGCGTCTTGTCAATTGTTGGGGGGTTGACGATGATGGTGAGCCGGAATATCCAGGGTGGGTGGAAGGTGTTTGCAAAGGTCTGATGCAAATGGGAGATGGTGGTTTCGAGGTGGCTGCTCACCTACTAAGGTACTAAGGTAGGAATGAGGGGGTGCTCGTTTGAAGTAACAAATCGCGCCCAGTTTGGCCAAATAGGGACAATTGCTTGTACTATATATAATCTCGAGATTTTTTTTGGATATATCACAATTTCTTTTTATCAACAGAGAGTTGCAATACTGGCATAAATTCCCGTGCCGAGCAGCCATCCAGTCATCTCAGGTAGTGCACTGTAGATGCAGCCGCATGGTTCTCTGTTCCTCCACTAAACCTGCTTCTTTATTCTATTTCTTTTACTCTACCAATTGTATACTAATAATGAGTGAAAGCATGACAACCAATGTCATGCCGTCTCCTGGTGAGTAGTAGCCGCTACAACATGACTTGCGGTAAAACGTGGGTGAGAGGCTGACTCGGAATGGGCCTTAGAGGTAGGACCGCCCCACTATAAATAAATTTTATAGTTGGTGATGGCGATTATTCTGGTTGCTTTAGTGGCGGCAGAAAAATAGAAAATATGCTGTTGGTGCTACTTTATCCGGCTGTCCGGGTTTGTCCGTGACAGAGTCGAGAGACAGGTAGAGTGCATCTGTCGGCCCTCACGGGCGCTTTGGGCCTTAGATGATTGAAGTCATTGAAGTGCTGGTACTTGTTGTCTTTCTTGCATTGTGCCCTGCCTGTCACTTTATGCAACATAGGGTAGAACAAGCAAATAGAAGCGGACCATCATTTATTGGTACCAAGTCTGTAGAAACTAGCTCTTCATTTTGTCAAGCTTTTCAAATATTTGCTACTCTACTCAGCAGTGCTCGGAGTAAACCTAGATACATCTCGAGTGCAGCATTTGCAAAGCCTGTCTACAGAAACAGCGCTACATCACGCTACAGGCACTGTCGGCAGACATGAGGTACATGAGGTCCCCAGCGCACCCTGTAGCATCGAGACCCTTTTATAGCGCAGCCAATTTTAAAGGCGGGTGATGCGATGCCATTTCCCCACGATCTCTCTCCTGCAACTTTTTCCACTTCTCTCGCGCCTGATCACGGGCCGAGATTGACGACACATGCTGCCGCAAAAGGCTGATATTTGGCACGCTCAGGCATCTGAAATGTCCTGTGCCTGGTTCGCCCGACTCGAGTGGCGACGCTGCTGCCTCACCGCCCTTGGCCGAGTCTTTTTAGGTTTAGCGCGCAGCCTCTGATTAGCGATAAGCTGCCACTTTGTGTCCCTAGTTACAGCAGAGCGCCAATCGGAGGGACAAAGTTTGCAAATTAAAATAAGAAAATTCGGCTTCTAGCGTCTGCCACAGCGCACACTCTCCTCAAGCCAGCCCACTTCCCACCACCCCTCCTCGCCAGCCAGAGGGAAAAAAAAAGTTGTGGACTGGCCGACATAAAACTTGCCCACCATCCCTCCGTCCAGAGCCCTTTCTCCTCCACCTCCATATCCTCCTCCTTTTCAATTTTGGTCGTCATCCTCCAGACGAACCCGAGAACTGTCCTCCAAGCAGTCCTCTTTTGTTTACCTCTCTGTTGCTCAAAGGCTCCTCCTCCTTTCCGCAACAACCCAGCCACATAGAGCAGAACGACCCCTCCATCGTTTCTGTGGGCTTCGAATAGACCGACTTTTTGTCGACAACGAATAGACTCTCGATAGACGTTTCTTTTACGCTCTCGAGTCTCTTCTTCTTATACCCTCGGTCCTCGACTCGAAATATCCTTCAATTTTAATCCCGAAACCACAATCATGTCCGAGAACGCTCAGTCTGTCAAGGTGCTCGACGAGCTCTTCCAGAAGCTCACCGTCTCCAAGGAGGCCGCGGAGATCAAGGAATCCTCTGCCGAGCTTGCCTCTTTCATCAACGGCCGTATTGAGGACCAGGCTGTCCCTACCAAGTGAGTTTATTATATGATTCCTCTCCTCTTTTGACATGCACTGCGCCCAGCTTGCTGGCAGAGTTGTTCGCTGCCCCGCCACATGCTGCCGCGGGCACAAAATTTTTCTCGCGCCCACCCTGGCCACTTGTCCTGGAAAACCCCGCCACAGCTGGCACTACAACAGTGCATTGCAGTGCAAAGCCGGCTAGCCAGGATGCTCTGAGAAATGCCTCCCCCGCCCCCGCCAACCAGAATGAAGACTTCCGAGATGCTTCTTATCTTGATTCCATGCACAGCGCTAATACCTTCTCAACAGGGTCATTGACGACATCACCAAGAGCCTCACCAGCAAGAAGGATGCCCTCGCCCGTGAAAAGGCGGCCATCGCCATCCAGGCCATTGCTTCCCACTCTGAGGTCTCTGCTCACGTTGAGCCTTACCTCATTGTCCTCCTCCCCACCCTCCTCGCCGCTGTTGGTGACAAAACTCCTGCCGTCAAGAACGCCGCCAGCGCTGCCGTTCTTGCCATTGCTGGTGCCATCAATGCCAACGCCGTCAAGTCTGCCCTCGTCCCCATCATGGATTCCATCCGCAACGCTCAGAAGTGGGCCGAGAAGATGACTGCTCTCGACTTCATCGACGCGCTCGTCAAGGGCTCCCCCGCCCAAGTCGCTTACCGCGTCCCTGAGCTCATTCCCGTCATCTCCGAGGCCATGTGGGACACCAAGAAGGAGGTCAAGGAGCGCGCATACCAGACCATGGAGCAGCTTTGCCAGCTCATTGTCAACAAGGATATCGATCGCTTCATTCCTGAGCTCATCAAGTGTATCGCCAAGCCCGAAAACGTTCCCGAGACTGTCCACTTGCTTGGTGCCACCACTTTCGTTACCGAGGTTCAGGAGCCCACCCTTGCCCTCATGGTCCCCCTTCTCGACCGTGGTCTTGCTGAGCGCGAGACCGCCATCAAGCGTAAAGCCGCCGTCATTGTCGACAACATGTGCAAGCTCGTCGACGACCCCAACATTGTCGCTCCTTTCTTGCCCAAGATGATGCCCGGCCTCCAGAAGAACTACGACAACCTCGCTGACCCCGAGGCCCGTGAGAAGACCAAGCAAGCCCTCGACACCCTGACCCGTGTCGGCCACATCCAGAACGGTGTCATCCCCGAGGCCAAGCACGACGGTGCCCTCAACGTTGTTCTCCCTAAGGTCAAGGATATCTTCGCCCCCAAGTACAGCAACTACCTCGAGAAGATGGGCCCTGTTGCGGAGTACATTGCCGCCATCGCTGGTCAGCTCATTGACGAGAAGGAGTTTGAGCTCAGCATTTGGGTCGACAACCTCAAGGCATACATTGCTGTCATCACTGGCATTGACAACGCCGAGTCCCTTGTTGACACCATCCGCAAGAAGACCATCCCCGCTACCGCCGTCGAAAACGAGACCGAGGCCGATGAGGAGGAGGGTGAGGATCTTTGCAACTGCACCTTCTCCCTTGCCTACGGTGCCAAGATTCTGCTCAACCAGACTCACCTCCGTCTCAAGCGTGGTCAGCGCTACGGTCTTTGCGGTCCCAATGGTTCCGGCAAGTCCACCCTCATGCGCGCCATCAACAACGAGCAGGTTGAGGGCTTCCCCAAGCAGAGCGAAGTCAAGACCGTCTTTGTCGAGCACGACCTCGACTCTGAAGATACTGAGATGACCACCATTGACTGGACCATGAAGAAACTCCAGGAGGCTGGTGTCACGACCAGTCAGGCTGATGTCGAGGCCCGCCTCAACGAGTTTGGCTTCACCGAGATGATGGTCAAGGGTGAGATTTCCGCCCTGTCTGGTGGTTGGAAGATGAAGCTCGCCCTGTGCCGTGCCGTTTTCGAGGCGCCCGATATCCTCCTGCTCGACGAGCCTACCAACCATTTGGATGTCAAGAATGTCAAGTGGCTCGAGGAGTACCTCATCAACTCCCCCTGCACTTCCATCATCGTCTCCCACGACTCCAGCTTCCTCGACAACGTCTGCCAGCACATTGTTCACTACGAACGCTTCAAGCTTAAGCGTTACAGGGGCAACCTGATGGAGTTTGTCAAGCGCGTTCCCTCTGCAAGATCCTACTACGAGCTTGGTGCCTCCGAGATGGAGTTCGCCTTCCCCGAACCCGGTTTCCTTGAGGGTGTCAAGACCAAGGCCAAGGCCATTCTTCGTGCCACCAAGATGTCTTTCCAGTACCCCGGCACCTCCAAGCCCCAGATCGACGACATCACCTTCCAGTGCTCTCTCGGCTCCCGTATTGCTGTCATCGGCCCCAATGGTGCTGGCAAGTCTACCCTGATCAACGTTCTTACTGGTGAGCTTATCCCCACCCTGGGTGAGATTTACCAGCACGAGAACATCCGTATCGCCTACATCAAGCAGCATGCTTTCGCCCACATCGATAACCACCTGGACAAGACTCCCTCGGAGTATATCCAGTGGCGTTTCCAGACTGGTGAGGATCGTGAGACCATGGACCGTGCGAACAAGATCATCACCGAGGATGACGAGAAGGCCATGGACAAGGTCTTCCGCGTCGAGGGCACTCAGCGTCGCGTCATTGGTATCAACAGCCGCAGAAAGTTCAAGAACTCTTACGAGTACGAGTGCTCTTTTGCCCTGGGTGAGAACATTGGCATGAAGAACGAGCGCTGGATTCCGATGATGACAGCTGACAACGCTTGGCTGCCCCGTAACGAGCTTCTGGCTTCTCACCAGAAGATGGTTGCTGACGTCGACATGAAGGAGGCCCTCGCCTCTGGTCAGTTCCGTCCTCTGGTCCGCAAGGAGATTGAGTCTCACTGCGCCAACTTTGGTCTCGATGCCGAGCTGGTTTCCCACTCCCGCATGCGCGGTCTGTCTGGTGGCCAGCGTGTCAAGACTGTCCTTGCCGCTTGCTCGTGGCAGCGTCCTCACTTGATCGTCCTCGATGAGCCTACCAACTATCTCGACCGTGACTCCCTCGGTGCTCTGTCCAAGGCCCTCAAGAAGTTCGAGGGTGGTGTCATCATCATTACCCACTCGGCTGAGTTCACCAAGGACTTGACTGAGGAGGTCTGGGCCGTCATGGACGGCAAGATGACTCCCTCCGGTCACAACTGGGTCCAGGGCCAGGGTGCTGGTCCCCGTCTCAAGGCTGACGGCGACGACGAAGAGGAGCGGTTTGACGCCATGGGCAACAAGATTGTCACCACCAAGAAGAAGGTCAAGCTGTCCTCTTCTGAAGCCCGCAAGAAGAAGAAGGACCGTATGGCTCGCCGCAAGCGTGGTGAGGAGGTCTTCACCGATGAGGACGAATAAACAACTCGCCCCTATGATCAACGTGCGATTTCGTCTTGTTTCTCCCTCATCGGTCACCCTTCCTGACGCTTTGCAGCACATACACCCCTTACATACTCTTTTTTTTTTTATGTTTGCTTTGTTTTGATTCATGCGGGATTTGGTAAAAGAAAAGTTGCAATGATTTTTATGGTCACGATTATTGTTTGCATTTCAACGCAGACTACATCTAGATAGACAGGAAGCGACGGGAGCAAAGAGAAACGAATTAGGTGGAAACTGGCCTGTTGGTTTCGTTGATTTTGAGGAATTGTTTTGGTTTTTTTTTTCTCCCTTATTGACCCTGGTGGGGGGTAATTTTTGTTTTCTCGGTCTTGCAGAGGTCTTTTTTTTTTACTCCCTCGATTCGACTTGTTTCTTTATAAAGGGGTTGGAGGACCTCTTGGGAAATGACGAAGAGTCTTGGGATTGGCCGTCTTGCAGCGCCGCCTCTCAATGGGATGTCAATGGAGGTAGACTAGAACGAAAAAGGACGAAGAAAAATATTCATTCAAATAGAAATCTTTTTGACAACTAAATTATGTACGGAGTTGAGCTGGTTGCCATGCAAAGGAAAGGTTGTTTGTTGTAAATACCAGGGACTGTTGACTGGCAGGACATTTGTTGCCCCATTTGCATCGTGTGCTGTCATGGACATGGGTATAATTTGTCTCACTGGCAGTACATCTCATCAATACGTGCAGCAGATTATTTGTCAAGAGTTTCATTCGTCATATATTGGGTATAGTAAAGCAATAAAATCGGCACGTCCTGATGCAGAACTGCAGACAATTTCTCTTTCTCAGTACAGATTACCCCTCAATCTGTCGAACCTTGCTCTTCTTATAGCCAGAGAGAGCCAGCATTTCAGTCCAAAAACCGACAGGAGGGTCGGTGAAGCGGCTCTCGTAGGCATCAATGGTGGCGCGCTCCCACACGAGATCAACCTCGTGAGGCTTCTTGAGCTTGGTGCCCTTGAGGAACTTCCAGCCAAAGAAGAGAATGGGGGCGAGGCACTGCATGGTGTAGTTTTTGAAGAATTTTTCGGCAGTGATGGGGTGGGCAAAGGCCGTGTAGCCGTAGAAAAAGGTGATGAGGCACTGAATGACGAGAGCAATGTAGGCACCGTAGGGCTGGAAGCGACCATAGTAGGGTAGACTACGACGATCGAGGCCCTGTGCCTGGCAAGCACGGTAGTAAAAGATAAAGGTAATGGACATGCCAATGTAGTCAATGATGCCACCGGCGGTGATGAGGTCGACGAACCAGGTGACGACGACGGCGGATCCGCTTCCGACTTGGAGGAAGGAGAGAAAGGGGAAGCACATGACGACGAGGAAGCAGTAGATGGGCACACCACGGCTGTTGCACTTGCGCAAAAAGGCGGGCGCACGTCCTTCAAGGGCGAGACCGTAGAGGGAGCGAGTTGCACAGTAGGTGTAGGTGTTGCCGGCGGAGAAGATGGAGGTGAGCAAGAGGGCGTTGACAATGTGAGGGAGGACCTTGATGCCCATGACTTCCATGGCAATGACATAGGGCGAGGCGCCGGCATCGGAGCTGCCACCGTCGCCGAGCTGGACATTGACGAGGACGGGGTTGTCACAGGCGAGGACAATGCCGACAGCGAGAGCACTGCCAAAGAAGAAGAGACCAAAGCGCCAGTAGATGGTCTTGAAGGCCGTCTTGATGTAGATTCGGGGGCGCTTGGCCTCGGCAGCGACCATGGATATGTACTCGGGACCGACAACGGCGAAACTGGCACTCCAGAGAGCGCCGAGGAAGCCTTCGAAGCGACCTTTGGCGCCTGTGGAGATGTATTGCTGGAAAGCAATGTGCTTCCAGTGGGTGAAGCCGTAGGCGTCGTGTTGGGGGTTGCCGCCAACCATTGTGACGAAGGTGAAAAAGAAGAGAATGAAGAGCAGAATGACCTTGCCGCCAGAGAGCCAAAATTCAGCTTCACCATAGCCGCGAACAGCAAGAATATTGAGGGCACTATATTTTGGGTTGATTAGTTCTTCTTGTTCAAGAATACTGCCTGCTCTCTTGCGGGTGTAGCTTACGCATAGCAGACGATGACGGCGGCGCAAATTCCAGCGGTAGGGCCTGGTTCCTTGATGCGGCTATCCCAGAAGCCAATAACGAGATTGAGGGCGGTAATCTCAAAGGGAATCAGCAGAGCTTCGTAGATGAAGAAATTCCAGCCAATCATGAAGCCGAGGGCATCGTCGACAAAGTGGCCGGCGAGACGGATGAAGCCACCCGAGACGGGGTAGAGGACCGTCATCTCGGCAATAGAATTGTTGACGAGACCGAGCACCATGGGATAGAGGGTGAAGGCGATGAGGAGACTGGCGGGACCGCCCTTGGCGAGGCCGGCGCCGATGCTGACGAAGAGGGCGGTACCGATAGAGCCGCCAATGGCGATGAGCTGGATCTGGCGGTTATTCAGACGACGCTGCAGGCCGTCGGCATTGTCGCCCATGTGGATCTCGCCGTCGAGGCTCGGAGGCGAGCCAGGCATCTCCATCTTGGAGTGCTTGTCCTCGTCGGTCGTAGCCATGATTGCGGTGGTGGTGGTGGGGGAGGGGGGGAGAAGCGCGCCTCGATTCGTCGTTGACAAAATGGGAGAGGGTGGGGAGGCGCAAAGCGAATTGCGCCAACAAGACTGATGATATTGATGAGATGAGAAAAAAAGTAGGCAATGTTACAAAGAAGGTAACAATTGTCTACGTGGGAGGGAAGGAGGGAAGAAGGAAGGACGAGGAGGAAGGAAGTTGGAGATGGAGGAAACAAAACGGGTAAGTGGGAAGAAGCGGAGAGTGGGAAAGGCTTTGGTAATTATAAGCAGCCAGTAATACGAGGAATAAGAAGAGGGAAAAAGGCAGCAAGAGAGAGAGAGAGAGAGAAGAGAGACAGAGAGTGAGCACTGAGAGCACTACGGATTAACAGCGGCAGAGCTGTAGACGGTCAAGCCGAGCTGTGGAGCAGGGGGACGGCGCGGGAATGTGCAAAGCCGGCCGTTGTTTATGCGTTGAGTGGTAGAATACCGTGGACGAGTTTCCAACCAGATTTGTCGCCGAGTGTTTCTGTCTGCCCAAAAAAAAAACAAGCCAGCACAAGACAGAAGCCAAAGAGATGGCGATGGGATTGTGGCGGCGGCGGCGGCGTCTTGGCGGGCTGGCTAAGAACGGCACTAGCCAGATTCCTTGAATCGGCTTAGCGCGCTTGGGGTGGGGGCGCAACTTGTTAACCCACTTTGTCTGCGGTTTGCTGCCGGTAGCTAGAGAAGAAGACAAGGAGAAAAGACAGGGAGTGAGGGATTCCACTATCTAGATTCAGGAGTTTATGCATTTCGTTAACGAGGCGATATAATTTCCAAAGCTACAGACCGAGCAGAAACTGGCTCGGTATAGAGGAACTTGAACAAGGCTGGCGGGCGGCGGTGGGCCGCTTGCGACCGGACATGGACTGCTCTCATTGGCCGAGACCTTTGGCTGGGGCTTGCGTGTGTGTGGGTTTTGTTTCTTTTGTTACTTCTAGTTGAATTTTTTTTATTTTTTTTGACAAGATTGCCGCTGCTTTTAATGACGCTCCTGCTAGCGGTAGCGCCGCAAGCAACACACACAGCGCTGTCCGCGGGAGCAAGTTACAATCGCTAATAACTAGTAGACAGAGGGCGCAGACAGACGCTTCTGAAACACCGTGCTGCTATCGGTCCACGAGCCTTTTACGATTGCTCATTTCATGATATGCAAGTCTTTGCACCGGAACCGTCTTGAGCCTGACTGTCGTGGTGCCATTCCATCCAGTTGCAGCAGCAAGTTCGTCATAAATAGCTAGGCTTTCTTTCATAGGCATTGATACTCAACACACCCCTATATCGTACTTGCTGACCATGACTCCCTCAGACAAGTCATCCTTTCAGCTCCGACGTCATTCCCCGCGACAGAGCCTCTGCCTCCCGCCGTCAGCCTCGTAGGCTGATGCGAATGATACTACCTGAAGCACACTACCATGCAATCAATACTCACTACATCCAACATGAATGAGACCAGCATCCATCGAGATTCCTGGAGACGGACGCCGCCTTGTTCCAGGGCTTTTACAACTACAACACCGCCACCCGGCTATAACAGCCCGGTAGTTGCAGCGCCGCGCCGTCATGAAGCGCGGGAGCATGGCGAACCACTGCAGCGATCTGGATTGGCAGTTTATCAACTAACTATCAATCTGAATGTTGCTTTCACGTTACCTCTTATTTATAATATTATCTTTACAAATTTATTTCAGAGTATATTGATCGGTAGGCAAGATGCTCTGGCACGCTGCTTACAGCCTCAGTCGCTAGCGCCAAAGCTTAACAGCACCGCCGACGGCTCCAGTCGGGACATCCAAAAGACAATAGCGCGTCCTCTTTTTCGCCTTGACGAACTAGTTAGCTCTCATTGGTTACTTGGTTACTTGGTCGTTGGTTGTTGCCAGCAGGACTCTGTAAAGGGCCGTTCTCGCTTCTACGGATCTGGTCGTCCACAGACTATATAGCCCAGATTGTGTTGCAGGATGTTTCTCGGCCAGTGGCCATAACCACATCGAAGAACGGGTGAACGTTTATTCTCGGCACAATGCTTGTCTTGTCCCGGCGCGGCAGGACAATTGGCTACTAATAGCAGCTTGCCCACCGCTGGCATGTCACTACCGTGCCACACGGACACGAGCTTATAAGTATCCCGCAGTGGCGCGCCTTGTTGCCTTGTACTAAAAACCATCAAGAACCAATATCTGTTCCAGTGATACCCATCACTGAGTCTGTACCAGACTGAAAATCACGAGTCCAGATTTTCCAGAATAATATGCCCACGTCTTCTCCATGATATAAATCTACGAAGTGTTATAACGTGGAGATGAATAGTAGACGAAGAAACGATATGGTTCGTTCTATTCCCTGGCTTGGTGTCCATTTCCCATATAACGTTATACCAGGTGCCATCTTGTGCCCCCACGTTCCCTTCTTCCGCGGCCCGTTGCCGAAATAACCCATCTCTCTAATTGATGAAGCAGGAAAAGATGCGATGCCGTCCCAGCCCTTCCAAAACGCTCTTTGCGAAATTCCCCAATTGTCCCAACTGCGCTGTCGCGTGCTCCTTTCCCATCCGGACACGGCCTCCAAAAGCGGCGATCCGTTTTATGAGTGTCCTCCACACATGGGGGGGCCTCTTTTCTTTAGCGTGACGTCACCAACTTCCCCATGTCACCTCCATAGTTGGTGTTGTAGCGTGGTTTGCCTTGCGGGCTTTTATTGCAACATTCTGGTTCGAGGTTTTTTTTTTTTGCCCATATTATTAACTCGTTGAAACTTTAGACCTTCCTTTGTCCCTGAAGCCGCAAAAAGGAGAGAGGGTCCCTCGACAAGTTGTTCACATGCAATGTTTGAATGGGTACACTGCGTCATCATGCCTCGACTTCCTTGCAATACAATTGGCAGCTAGTGGTTCTTGGCGTTCCTCAACAGGGAAAAATCAAGCTGGCAAGTTCTTGAGTGATTAGAAAAACACCATGAGGCTCAACCCCTTCAACCTGTAATACATGCCATGGTCAGATCATGTTGGCCCTGGGTCAATGCCTCTAGTTCACTCCTGCGCGGATCGTAGCCTTACCATCCTATTCAAAACAGCTACACGCACCCCAGCCCCGGGGCGCAGGGACAATTTGATATGCATGTCATCATGCCTTACCTCGCTGCACCTTCTCATAAATCCAACCCTGCTTTTAGTTGGACATCATGGCAGGGAAGGGCGGGAGAGGGGTCTCTTTCATCCGATCAAGGGTCGTATTTGGCCTAAAACTAGATCTGGGCCAATTGCTGCTCGTCACGACATCTCAGATCATCGCGCCCTTATCTTGACATGCGGCCCTCAGATCGAGTCTCGGCTGGCGGTCCCAGCTGGCTGTCGGCTTTGGCGTCGTCGAGTGCCGATATAATGGCTGCGGGACGATAAGCAGAGTAATCCGTCGACGAATTTATCAAATTCTGCACAATCGACGACATGTCAACTGCAGCCCGCAAGAGCGAGTGGGAGGGCCATATCCCACATCACCTACACAATCTCGCCCCAACACAGGCGTACATAGGCTTATATGCACAGGTACAGATATCAACCAGGGGCAATGCAATTATGCTCAAGGCAGCTTCGACGTTCCCCTCACGCGACCAATCTTGGGATGCAGAAGGTAAGCCTGTTCACACATGAGTGTCAGTTGTGTTTCTCGCAATCTAAAAAAAATGAGCTTTTCCCAATGGGACCAGGCCGCCGGCTAACTTTGTTGGCAAAAGCCACCATTCTCAGAGCTAGCGCAGCCAAGTTTGTCGACAATGCTCCTAGGGCTGCGACAGGCCGATAGCAGCGAGGAACCTTGATCTGACCATCTTCACCTGAGTCAGCCACATCAGCGGGCGTTTCTGTCTCGGTTCCTGACGGCGTACGGAGTACTCGAGGCATTAAATATTTCTGGCGATAGGCCCAGCCACTAGAGTCCCACACACGCAGATGTAACAACCAACCTATCCTATTGACCAAGCCTCGTTTCGTTTCTTTGTGTGCTGCAGCCAAGGATAGTCGGTTCCGTAATTCAACTACTAGCACTGGTTAGCTGAATTGAGCGTATTTGCCGTCCCACGACCAAGAGGACAAAGACTGGGTCCTTCAAAATCTTGTAGTTAGGGTTTCTGAGCCTCGTGGCGAGGCAAGCCGCACAGTAAGAAATTGAACCAGGGTGTCCATTGAAATCCCAGATTCCATCCAACCACGGTCCGTTTTTGCTGTGGACTTGAGGGCATCCGTCTCCGTCTTCTCCGTCCTGAACTGGGCCGCCCGTCAGCAGGTCCTGTGGCGCTAACTAGAATATTAAACAGAAAATCCGCTCTTCAGAGGAGTCAGGCCAGCGACCCGTTTTTCATTCATCATTTTGGCAGACACCGTATTCACAATGGCGTGGTTTTTGTGTGGGAACGAGGGAGGGCAAAAATGGCTGGTCGGGTTGGCTGGGTCAGTTGCAGGACGGAAAGTGGCCGTCCACAACTTGCAGAAAACGTTTGCGACGGAGGTGCGCCTTAATAATAGTTAGGGTTGGTTATGCCTGAAACGCTCACACGCCTTGAGCCCCCGGATACAAGGTCTCGAATATAACCCAAGGGCGGCGCTGTGCCTAGTTGTTGTCCGCATATCTATGCCGGTTGAAACCTTGCAAGAGATGCTCGCGACTTCCACAAAACATTAGCGATGTTGTCAATACGCAACGCATTAACTCAACTAGGTATAGTTGTCAAAGCTGAAATCCGTCGCGTCAATCTGTCATTAGCTATAGTCACTGCGGCCGAAGGTAGATGGACTTGATCCGCAGATAACAGCTGGTCTTGATCATCACGGCGCCAGATTGCCTCTCGCATGCGCCCAAGCCTTCTCGATGGCTCGAAGATGTTGGCGATGTGCTATGCAAATCCCGAAATACCGAGTCAGCCCCGACATTGGCACATATATTAGCGGTAGCGTATCGTAATAAGCGTCTTGGAGATCCGGAGAGCGCTTGTGGTAGTCCGATCACGAGGTCGGGGACGCCATTGCCGTGTGCTAGATGCCAATGTACGAAGTTCAGCTCGAGCATGGCGCATCGCGTGTTGCATCGTGACAGGTCAGCGGAATGTGGTGTCGCGAACGTGCAGCAACCTCAACCTACCCTAGACTTTATCCTTAGCGGAAAGCCTGCGCTCGCCTGGGAGCTTTTCTTGCTTTGAAAAGTGACCAATGCATAGACAAGACATGTATTTATGCTTTGAGGAGTCGATTGTCGTCCCTCGTGTTTCTCTGTTGTGGGAGTACTGTAATGTAGATGCATATTCGCAGTGTTTCGTTTGCAGAACCCCTCTAGAGAATCTACAAGGGGAGCCCCACCATGTCGAGTCACATCCCACCAGACTTCATCCACGACGTGCATCATCGTTGAACGCGCGGGACAAGGCCTTGACTCGGCTTGATCGTTAATTCAGTCGCGTCTTTTGAACAACACACTGGCTAGATATACTGTGCTAAATTTTGAGGGCGAAAAACACACCGCACTTGCTGTTTCGGCCCAGTGATTTTGGCCTAGCGGCTGACCTTGAAGATTTTGATTGCCTTGATATTGGGCTGTCGTGATCATTTAAGCGGTTGCGCTACCGAACGGTCTCGTGAGAAGGATAGAGGAGCGCACAAAATATCGGAAATCACGCATGACTTCGCCATCATGGCCTCGACACCGCAGGACGCAGCGACGCGGCTTGCCGCCAATCCCGCCGCCGAGGCTCTCATTCTAGAGCTTTTTCAGTCGGCATCCGACGCCCAAAAAATACCGAATGTGGCGCAAACAACCCAAGAAACTCAGAACGCATTCGAGGTCGGCATCGCAGCCCTAAACATCTTCCTCCAAATCAATGTCACAGGTCCTGTGCCCTCACGCCAGCCAATGGCCCATATCGAGTCTCAGTTTCTCAAGGCTTGGGAATCAACGTCTCAAACGACCCTCCCCTCTTCTTCAGCAGTCACTCCGATTATAAGAATGAGAAGAGAGTGTGTTCGGCAGCTGGAAATTGACGGGGTCTCGCCATACTCGCACATTCCTTCACTGGAACTCTTCTACCTCGCCAGACACATTTTTACCAAGACTCTTTCAACACCGGTTGATGACATTGTGCAGCTTCCCGAACTAGAGGCTCAAAAGCACAGCATATCTTGGACAAGACTACGTGTCCATGTATGGCACTACAAGCTTATTGCGCAACCCAACCTGGGCGGTTCTACTTTCACCAAGAGCTCGAACTGGATCGAGCTTCCCTCGCTGGCAACGCAAATCACAGATTCTATGGGCGCTGTCCGAAGTCGCGTTCTAAGTGATGATGTGTGGGCAGACAAATCTCCGTGGAACACCCAGGACAAAGTGCAATTTCTCATCGAAGCTGCCAACAACAACATCTTGCTTGGCCGCGCAGAGAAGGCAAAGGAGCTTGTCGCGGAGGCAACCAAGATGAATAACTTCCTGTACGCCTTGTCGGGCGCTCTAGGAAAGAGAACCAAGTTCCAAGAAAAGAACATAAGTCAACTAGTCGTTTTGGCTCTCAGCCAGACCCAAGAAACAGCCCCCCAAACGGGAGATGACGAGGAAGACGACACCAAACCTGAGGCTCTACAACTCAACGATGACACACTGCTCGAAGAGATTAAATTCACAAAAGAAAGCGGCGACAGGAATACAAAGTCTTCTGAGCTGCCCGAAAAACTGGCAAATCTGACACCCGATGAGCAACCACAGCTCAGTCCTCTTGACCAGATCACACTCCTCACTGAAGCGACAATCAAAGACACCTTCTCGCCTGCAGACACCCTCACCGCTGAAGAAATTCTGCCATTCGCTACTCGCGTGATTGCCGACAAGTCCACAAACTGGCAAACGTATACCCAAGCTCTTCTTGTGCGTTCGCGCATCGAAGTCCATCGAAGCCGCACCTTGGAGCGCGGCGTCCTTCAAATGCAGGCCGTAGCGGATCAAGTCCTCACGGATACCACATATTCTGCCGAAGAAAACGTAGAGTCTGGGAAGAAACAAGGGAGTTGCTCTACAGCAGCAACCGACGTCCCATCTATACAAGTCTCAGCACCGGGGCACCACACTGGAGACGAAGCGGCTCCTGCCACGGGGGCGCCGACAACCTTCCTCCCCGCCGTCAAGGCCTCGGAGTCTGCGCCGGCCAATGTGCGTCTCCGATACATCCATGCCCTCTCCACCCCGCCACGCTGGCACTTGGAGGCCGAGCTGGCCTATGCTTGGGCTGGTGCCGGCTCCATGGTCTCGGCGCTCGAGATCTTCAAGCGTCTGCGTCTCTGGGCCGAGGTCGCTCTTTGCCTCGCGAGCGCCGATGCCATGGACGATGAGGACGGTCGCGGCAGCGGCGGCGAGGCCAAAGCAAAGGGGATCATGCGCTGGCTGCTGTTCAACAGGACGGGTGCCGACGCCGCCGCCGCATCGGACCCCGACGACGAGGTGGCGGTCCAAGACGTCACGTCTCTCAAGGCAGACGACTTCCAGGGCCCGGAACGCTCGCCAGCGCCATCCAACGCCCCGCGTCTGTGGTGCATCCTCGGCGAGCTGGAGAACGATGCCTCCTTTTACGAGCGTGCATGGGAGGTGTCGGGCCACCGCTTTGCTCGAGCGCAGCGCTCTCTCGCCGAGCATTACGTCCGGGAAAAAGACCTCGTGCGCGCCCACGAAGCATACAAGAAAGCCACGGCGGTAAACCGGCTCGATCCCGACATGTGGAGTCGTCTTGGTGATATTAGTTTACGCCTCGGACACTTCGAGGACGCCGCCCAGGCCTTCAATCGGGCTATCGGCAGCGCCACCGGCGAACTCGGCGGCGAAGACGCCAAAACCTGGAGCAACCTGGGAACGGCGCTCTGGAGTCTGTACAGCGAGGTCACCGCTGCTCAGGAAAAGGACAAAACACCGCCCGCAACCTCGGCTGAAGCGGCACCTGCTCCCGCTGTGCCCGAAGACGATGAAGACGAAACCGTGGCGGCCGCCGCCAATACCGCGCAGAACCCCTCCGAAATGTCCAGGGACCCCGAGAAGCTCCTCGCGCAGGCCCTCCACGCATACAAGATGGGCGCCACCGCGGCCCACGACAACTGGCGCATCTGGGAAAACGTCGTCACGCTGGCGTGCCGGATGCGCCCGCCCGCCGTGACGGAGATCCTGGCCGCCACGCGCCAGATTCTGCGCATCCGCCCGACCGAAGACGCCGTCAACGCGCCCGTGCTCGGCGCGCTGCTGCACGAGCACGTCCTGCACAGGCCCAGGCCCGACGGACCCGACATCTACGAGCCCCCGCGCGGCACCCCCGAGCGCCTCGTCGCCCGCGTCCTCGAAGAGGACATTGTCCCGCTCATCACCCGCCGCGGCGAGCTCTGGACCCTCGTCGGCAAGCTGCGCGCCTGGCGCCGCGACTACGCCGGCGCCATCGACGCCGCTGAAAAGGCCTGGCGCGCCGCCGTCGGCGCCTCGGGCAGCGGTCTGCTGCCTGGCGGTGACTCGTCCGCCGCCGCCGCTGCCGCCGACTGGACAGAGGACGAGGCGGCGTGGCTCGTCGTCGTGGCGCGCACGGATGAGCTCGTCACCGCGCTCGAGACGTGGGGTGAGGACGTCGACGAGGTCGGCGCCAAGTGGCGCGGTAAGGCGCGCAGCGCCGTCCGCAGTGTCATGGGCCGTGGTAAGACGAACTGGGAGGGCACTGAGGGATGGACCATGCTGGAGGCCCTCATGAATGGGCTCAAGGTGGCCAAGTGAAGAGACGAATGATTTAAGGGTTTGGGGGGGTTTCTGCAACGTCCAAAAGAAAAAGAGGAATAGATAAAAGCAATACGATTCACATTTTGATTTATAGCTGCGTGGTTCGCCATTCTGTGACATTGATGATTATGGACATTGCTAATGCCTACACGCTGTTTTGTTTCTCAAGAGTAAGTAGTACACCTCGTCGGACATGATTGTCGTCGCCGGCAACACGCAGCAGCCGCCTGTTTTCTTACTCATGGCCATAAAACACAAATAGTCGCTTCATCAATCCCCATCACTCGTAACCTGCTTCGTGCTACATCATAATCCCGCATTCGTCAAGCCCTAGTTACACATTCAACAACAACTCCCATCAGTATTTCTTTTTGACGCGCTGAGCGTGCGAAAAAAAAACTTCTCAAAAGCTACCTCTCGCATTAGGGTCGACGTCCCTTCAATTCGGTCAAGGGGACTGGCTCCTATTTTTTGCCCTTTTTTCTACTCGGGACAACCTTGAAGCCCGTTCCCTGCATTGCGGACGGGGGTCCTTCTGGCTCGCGGGGAGGCTGAGTACTGCTGCTACTGCCGCTGCTCTTCTTGGCCACTTCGTTCCAACCGCCCGAGGAGCTTCGGTTGTCCGAAGCTTGCTTCTCGAAAATACCCTTCTCAGCGAGCTTCTTGCGGCGAACATACTCTTCTGCAAAGTGTCTACCATCCATAGTCGTGGAACTGGCATAAACGGCGTCGGCAATCAGACCGGTGTCAAGAGGAAGCGCCTCCAAGGTCGACTGAAAGCTCGCAACTGTCGTGGGTGTTAGCATCATCTTCAGCCAGTCATACCGCGGGGTTACTCACCATCAGTTGTGATGCCACGGGAAAGCTCTCGGAATGTCCATGCGCTGAACTCGTCAATGGCAGTGTTGCCGCTGTTCGCAGCTCCAGCGCGTTGCGTGACCAGACCAGGGCTGGGCTTCGGGCTCGGTCGAGCTACGACAGGCGCGGACTTCGCGTTGGCGGTGCTGGAAGATCTGACTGGTAAAGCAGGACCAGTTGGAGCTTTAACCTTGCCGCCAGCCCCGACTGTCGCCCAACCAACGCCAGGGGGGGCAGCGGGAGATGGCACACCGGGGATACCAGCCGGGTTTGTCTTGCTCGCCAGGTTGGCGTAGCTCTTGGTAGCGCTGGCGGGAGCACCGATTTGAATGGCTGTCTGCATGGCCTTTTGCTTGCGTACTTCCTCCTCTCGCTGAATCTCAGCCAGAGTCTTCTTACTCAAAGATGAAACCGAGACGGAGGTGGGAATGCCAACTCCTTTTTGAGGTCCGGGCTTAGCCCACGGGGTTGACCCCGCCGCTGGTGAGCCATGGCCCCAGGTACTAGATGCTGGCAGGGCCGCGGCGGTGGCTGCCGCAGCCGCAGTTCTTTCCCGCTCGCGCAGCAGAGCACCCTCTTGCTCCATAGCGGCCTTTCTCTGGGCCGTGGCAAGCTCCTCAGCCCTGGCAGCCTTGCGTGCCTCGGCTTCCTGGATTTCCTTTAGGCTGGGACCGCGCTGTCCTTCCTGACCAGGCTCCTTGGCCCATGGTGCTAGTGGCGGTGGCTGAACAACTTCGGGTGTGGCTGTCTGAGATCTGCTATACTGCTCAGGCAGATTGGACCGTGCACGCTGCGCAGTGGGAGCAGGTAGAGGCGTGCCTGAGGATGGTGGAGGGAATGGCATGGGCATACCCGGCTGCGCAGGAACTTCAGGCAGGAAATATTCCGCAGCAGCAGCTTGAGCGATCTGAACCTGCTCAGTGAGAGACAAAGACTCATCCTCTGAATGCCTCTTCTTCCTTGCAGCTTTACCAGACTGTCGGCTGGTAGCAGCAGGAGGCTCGGAGCCCCGGGCAGCAGCAGCAGCAGCAGCCTGCGCTTCCTCTTCGGCCTTGGCGGCCTGCTCAGCCTCATGTTGGGCACGGAGACCTTCAAACTCTTGAAGACGGCCTCGAAATCCTTCAGAGTCTTCAGAAAGCTGGCCGGTATGTGGGAGACCGGCACGCAGACCTTCACTGCTGGCTTGGTCTCCCAAAGTAGCTGCTTCGTTTCCACCCATGGCAGCAGCCAGCATCTGGCGCTCATGACCGCTCAAATTTAGGATATCCTCCTGGCGAAACTGTTCGTTTCCCGCTCTCGAATGGAGCATCGGCCCGCCTCCAAGATCCAAAAAAGAACCCAAGCCTCCGAGGGCAGGTGGCTGCTGGTTTGGGTTGCTCATGTTTCCAAAGCTTGGCTGGCTCTGCAGGCTTTGGGCACTAGAGTGGTGTTGCAGCCCCGGGTTGTGAATTGGAAATTTTGGCATTGCCTGTTGGCGCATAACGTAGTCTCTCTGCTGGGCCATGATGTACTGCTCCTCCTGTTTGCGGCGCTCCAAGTTGTTTTGCTCCTCAGCTGTGAGAGTTCTCCCAAAACTTGGAAAAACGCCACTTAGAGGCGGAATGACCCCGGCGTTGCCGTTATATCCACCGGCCTGTACAGGAGGCCCATGAGCAACCCCGATTTGAGGAACAAGGAATGGCTCACGCGAATTACCTATGCGACGGATGAGCTGACCGAGGGGTTCAAATTCGGGATCCTCTACTTTCTTCACACGAAGGTCTGGAGTGAAGAAATTGGCCTTGTACCAATCATTCATCTCTAGGCCGGTAAATGGTCCTTGAACAAGGCCCTGGGGGTCCAAGTATACCCATCGCATGCGGTCCGGCATCACCATTTGGCGATTCTGGGCTGAGGATAGGTCACTTGGGGCAGGCCCACCAAATGGTAGACCGCCAGGAAGAGGAGTATAGGACTGGCCGGCAGGCCCCTGACTACCGTCAGAGCCAATCATGTGAGCAAGTCTCTGGTTTGCATCACTGGACGGGAAAAGTTCCTCGAAAACACCACGATTCGAGCGCATCGGGCTGTCCGTATCCCTGGGAGGTCCCGGAAAGTTGCCGCGGCCGATCGCACCGAGAGGGTTTCCCTGGCGGAGATCAGAGCCATCGCCACCAGACTCATGATCATTGTTTTGCATCTGGGCCTGCATAGTGGCGGGGAACAAAGAGCCAAGCTTGCTACCACGCCCAATGCTGGCAGCACCGAGGCCGCCAGAAGCTGAAGGACCAAACACGTTGCCTAGGTTACCGAGACCGGGCGATTGCAGCTCACCCATGTTTCCAAAGAGAGAGTTTCCGAAGGCGGCCCCATAGGTAGAACGATCGCGATCCGGGGTTCCAGTTGAAGGACCAGAAGCAGGAGCAGGCCACCCAGACAAGTGACCGAGTGGATAGCCTTTTCCTCCGACGCTTGATGTCTGGCTGCGGTCGCTTCCATCAAAAGCACCGGGGCCAAAGTTTCTGGGCAAAGCGCCAAAGATTGCGCTATGCTCTTGGGGAGCGCCGCCGTAGTGCTTGTTTTCATTGCTGGACTCTCCATCGTCACGGTTCGCGGGACTGCGATATGGGTTTGTCTCCGATGGGCTGTTGGGATCGTCATCAGCATCAAGATTCAGGCCCGCCATACCGAAGTCACCAGCAGAGCTCTTGACAGGTGTCCCTAGAGCGGCACGGTTGCCACCCGGGTTGGTGTCCTGGGACCCCCCAAGCATCGCGCTGCCTGATAGCTCATCCTCCCCAAAGGGATCGGTATCAGTCCGTGGCCGTGTTCTCCATACCGGCGGCTGCTGCTGCTGTTGCTGCTGCTGCTGTCCGGTAGAGGCGTTGGTCTCAGAAGCTCTGCCGCTCATATTCTCAGAGCTTTCTTTCGGCATAAGATGAGCAAGTCTACTCCCCCCCGCGGCGCCAACACGCTTGTCGCCAACAGCCGAGGATCCGATGGAGAAATTTCCAAAGCCCCCGGCACCGGGCGTGCTCGGGTTGGAAGGAGGCCAAATAGAGCTCATTGCTGCGGCGCCTGCAGTGTTAGCCCGCAGGAGACTAGGCAGGGTCGATTTCGCCTGATCACGAGTCTGGTCCGCAGATTGATCCTCAGCCTCCGAATCTTTAGAGTCACCTGCTTTTCGGTTGAACCAATAGGTCTGATCGTCTCTCGAGAATCTGCCTGGGGCAGTCGGAGAACCCAGCCCAGAGCTGCTGAAGGGATTTGAATCGACAGTTTCGCGCCGGCGGGTAGACGGTCTAGTCGCGGATGACGGTGACGTGACACCGTATGCGTTACCTGCTCCGTGCGAGATGGACGGTTTGCGACCGCTACCGTTCGGTTGGTGAGATTCCTTGTTCTGCGTCGGAGGCTTGAGCGGGGAGTTGATGTCGTTCGAAAAGGCCTTGTCGTTCGTTAGTACATGGATGCAGGGGACATGAGCAAGGCGGCTAGGCTATCTACCTCTTTCTCATCCGGAGAGTACTCCTGCAAACCCATCGGGACCGTCTCGCCATTCTGGTCCCAGCAGGCACCGGGTTCTTGAGGAATGTGGTTCTCGTTGCTCTTGCCCCAACCCCTGCCGCTGTTTCCATTGATGTGGCTAGGGTCCCAGCCGGAAATGAACAGGCGAGAGGGATCTTCAGTCATCTTCTGAGCGCGGAACACGTCCAAGAGATTATCTTTGGTGTAGCGGCTCGGCTCGGACTCGAAATTGCCAACCCCGCCAGCAAGCTCCCCGGATGTAGGCTGGGCAGCAAGTTCTGTTGGAGGGGCGGTCTGCATGGCATGCCCAAGGGGGGTTGTCGAGGAGCGGCGAAATGTCATGGTTCCGTTCGCGGGGCGGCCATCTCGACGTGCCCTGATGAGATGGTCAGTACGTGTTGTCATCAATGAAGTTGCGCGGGATGGAATGGGAAAAGGTTTTCGCGACGCAGTTTGGTCGCCGACGCGGTGGGCATATGCAGCAAAGATCAAGGCGTGATGCAGCTACACGAGGAGCTTTATCACGCACAATCTGCAATGGTATAGACACGATGGCCACGCGGCGCAAAGTGAAGCAGTAGCCGGGCAAGGGATTTTCTTTTGAGAGGGGGGGGGGGCAAACTTACCAGTCGCCGCCTACAGCGCTGCGACCATCAGGTCGGCCGGTCCTGGAATCGCGGTTCGCGTTCTGGCCGGCAGCAGCCGAAGCGAAACTCGAGGGTAGATTGGTTGGCATTTTGAATGTGGCGTTGGTTGGACCAGAAGGGAGCTCGAAACGCGGTATTGCCAAGTCTTGCTCAGTACCTAGGTTGGTGGCTTCACAGTAAATACGACACCGGTGAGGGTGGCGACAATGGTGATGTTTGATAAAAATGCAAAGATAACGCTTGCTAAGGCAACGTAGATTGCGAGATTGCGAGATTGCGCGTACAAGAATGGGAATTGTAAGGTATTACAGATGTTGTGGGGGTTCGTGTTATCGCGAAAACGTGAAGGGAATCAGCAAGCGCTTGGGAAGAAAAGCTAGGTTTTGGCAAAGGCAAAATTAGAGGTGTCGAATTCACCCCATAGGCGAGCCCCAGAATCCACTATCCCTGAAGCGGTATGTGGCCGGCTTTTAGCCGGCGAGTAGGCACGAGGGCTACTCGTGTCAGTCACACCGACTGTGCACCTGTACTGTATGCACAGTAGGGGTGTGACGGTGTGACACAAGAGTACGGGCGTTGCTTCATCTATAAAAAAAATTCATTTTTCATTTTTCATTTTTCATTTCTCATTTTTCATTTCTCATTTCTCATCGAAGTTCATGCATAGTTACAATTTATTGTGCCTTTCAAAGACCTGCACAATCCAATACAATGACTTCATCCCCCCCCATGGATCAATTTCAGGCGGCGGATGCTCTACTCAAATACGTCTATTCGGGCGTGATTGGCGCTACGAAGGGATTGGCTATTTCTTATACCGTAATGCGCACCACGGACAGTGCCTTTATATTTTCAGCGACGCTTAAGCCTCTCGACCATTCATCAGAATTTCTCAACAGGTACCAGATCGATATTGACCGACAAAATGGACAGCCATCAACTCCAAAAAAGATCGAGATTATAGACGAGGAGCTCTAAAAAGCCATTTTGGCTACAACAGGCCAAGAAATTGCATCCTCAAGCAGATTCACAGACAGAGGGTTCAGTACTTCATATAAAGTAACTACAATGCATAACCCTAAGATTATCTATATTATCTAGCTACGCTTTCACAGCAACGTCGCTTCTATAGATGCCTTAATAAAGTTTATTCATAATAACAGTACTCCTAGCATCATACCCATACCTACTGTCTATTCTATACCAGGCAAGGCAGAGTATCAATAGTCTATAGGTTTCGGAAGGTAGATAACACAATTTATGCCTAGAGTTTTAGCAGAGCGAGTCTATCCTAACATAACTTATACCGACAGGCTTAAACTTATCTGCAAGATAGCCTTAGCTTAGCAAGCTTGCTAGGACCTACCCCTTCCATCGCCTTGCTAGATTGGCAAGCTGATTACTATTAATAAGAATACCAGTATTAGCCTTACTATTGGACCTAACCGACATTTTTCACTAGGAGGGCCATTCACATCTATACGCGAATAGCTTAAAGGTCGGCTTTAGTATACTATTTCCAGCTTAGGAAGAACAAATAGCATTAATAACTTTAAGGATGAATATATAGCCGGTATCTAAGCATTTATCGACAAAAGACTGGATCAAATCCCCCAAACCGTGGAGGAATGCCCTATCACTGCTCTCCACGTTGATATAGGTCTTCATAATGTGCTTGTAGCAGAGGACAACCACAAGGAGATCAAAGCCATTATCAACTAGGAGCTCTACGCGAGCGCTCCTTTTTTAGCGGCTCTTCCATGCATTGAAATGCTCTTTCGTGGGGGAGCTCCGAATGGCTTTAGAGTCGAGTATCTACACGCGGACAAGCTTCACAGCGCATTCTAGGATGCTATTCCTAAATGGAAGGCTTGTTAGGAGAGCCAGGGAGTAAGGGACTTTCTAGAATGGTACAGATTTGCTCTCTTTCTGCAACCCCACCACTGCCCTAAGGAAAAATCGATGGCAGAAAAACGGGAATTTTGGGCAGAGAACATACGTGTTGTGGAGGGCATGCTAAAGAAATACGATGTGGAGAGCTAAAGAGCGCGCAAGTATATACAAAGCAAAGTCATGTTCTTCAAGTACCTCAGATCACTATGGCCACAGTGTCGTGATCATTATGACTCAACAATGTATTGAAGCGTGTGCACGACCGATTCGGCGCCGACAAGCCACAAGTAGCCAGAATGTATCGTATTTGCTGTACAGTTTGTTAAGTCTTACTGGTACCAAATGCACTAGCATCAAAATCTCAATTGTATATTCGTATCAAGATTGCAGAAACTTGCAGGATAAAGTTTTTGCAAGCAGAGTGTCGGGCGCCAATACGGGCACCTGCTACCATTCTGGCCAGTGAAGCAACCCCAAGCCCAACCCTTCTTTCGGAACAGATCTACACCACCTAGGCCCAGGTGGGACAGAGGCGAGTGACAAGCTACAGTCCCGGCGAGAATTCGTACTCCTAGCCGTGACACGGAACAGGGTGTGATGAAGGAGACGGAGACGGGGTTGTTCCGTGAAGCAATCTAACCTATCACAGTAACCTCTGGTATCGCGCAATGCAGCCATGTCCGTCTGGACCAACTCGCTCTTGGGTATAAATTCTTGGGTATAAATTCGTTGCAGTCGTTCAGTTGTCAAATACATATTATAGGTTTTTGAGGAAATGTTGCTTGAATTTCCGGTTCGCGCGGTCTGCGGAGCGTAGCATGAGCTGGTCGCCGTGGACCTCGAACGCAAAAATTTGCGAGGCGCCCTGCGCATTCTGCTCCGGCGTAGCATCCTGCGGCGGCGCCGGTACTTCAATCCTAAACGTGGTCCCGTCCTTGGGCACCACCTTGAGCCCTCGCTTCTGCGTAATAATCTCCATGACAAACTTGCGATCGCGGACAATGATGCCCCTGATGCCGACGCGGCCAGCGCAGCGACTGCGCACAACCTGGGCCGTCGCCCCGTGCAGTTCGGCGCTGGCCAGCTTCGCCGCGGCACCGGTACCGCCCGTGTAGATTTCGCGGCCGAGCAGCTCGCGCGCGTAGCCCACCCACAGCGTATTCAGGCCGGCGTAGATCTCGTACGACTGGCCGGCGGCCGGGATGTCGTCGAGGCCCAGGGCGCGTCGCTGGCGGCACGACAGCGGCTTTGGTTTCTGCTTCTGCCGCTCCTTCCTGTCGAGGCGTGCTTTGCGGCGTGCGTTGCGCGCGTTGACCGCAGAGGGCGGCGGGGAGGATCGTCGGAGATGGAGGGTGCGGTGCTGGATTTTTTCGCCAAAGATGCGGTTGACGGCCTCGGGCGGATGGGCGCGGGCAAGCAGCTCCTGGGTGAGGGCCTGTGGTGTCGCCATGGTTGACCAGCACGAGGAGAATAATTCGACAGCCGCGGCTCGGGGGAACAAAGATGGCCGTCGAGAGTAAATGTGTTGAATTGTTGAGGAGGGGACGGGAAGGCGGTTATTATGCAGACTAAACGATTGGTTCGGCGGCGGGAGCCCGTAAAAAAATCTCGTCAGCCTTGTTGATAATTTGGGTACATACTTTTAGGTAGGTAGTTAGTAGCCGGTTCTGGCCTCACATGGCTGGATGGCCTCGGCAGAATCGCCCTCTTGCCCCACCCCCGGACGCTTGGTCGCCAGCTTCCCCAGCTCCTAGCCAGCGTTCTCCAGACTGTCATCCCGTTCGGCCATCCAATCCCATGAATTGAGTTCTTGCTGCCTCGTTGCTCTCGTTGCCGCCACTTGACCATCTTTCCCGGTCTCCTCCTTCTGCGACGCCTCTCGGTCTCCCCATACACAACCCGCAAGCGTCACAATGGCTGGCAGCGGCGAGCCTCTCGATCCCACCAACACTTCGGCCCCCGATTTGCAGATTCTAGGCGATGAAATCACTCTACAGCCTGGTGGCTACCTAGAGCCGGAAAAGGGTGCGGCTGTGGAGAAGGAGGAGGCGCTGATGAATCAATTCGCGTCGTTTCGATCCGAGCCATTGCAGTAAGTCGCTGGGCTGTTTATTCCGCTACCCGTACCAGGCATACCAACCTCTGCAGATTCCTACGTGAGGTGTCTCTCTACGTTTCCGGCCAGGGGTGGCGCGCATACGACAATGTCATCGGACAGCCCGTCTTCTACCCTGGATTTACCCAGAACATGACGTCCATGGTCATGTCTGCACCGCTTCTCCAGGATCGTATTTCACAACTGGCAGAGAGCCGCGTTGTCGTCGAGGAAAAAGAAGGATTGCTCAACAAGGATGACAAGGACTACGTGACGAAGCGGGCACAGCGCCGTGTCGCTCTTGAAAATTCCCTGCAAGAGGTCGCTGAAAAGTTGACTGACCAAATGATTTGCAAAATGGAGAGCAAGACATTCATCCGTGGTGCCTACTATATGTGCACGCAGCTCCTGACAAGAGCCTACCACCAGGGCATTCACGTCTCCAGCGAGGAGGTCCTGCGTCTCCGCAAGGTGGCTGACATGGCCGCCAAGAAAAAGCAAAGTATTGTCTTTCTTCCCAGTCACCGATCGCACGTCGACTACGTCAGTCTCCAGCTCATTTGCTACCGCCTTGGTCTGACGCTACCCGTCGTGGTGGCTGGTGATAACCTCAACTTTCCTCTTGTTGGAAGCTTTCTCCAACATGCGGGCGCCATGTGGATCCGTCGCTCCTTTGGTGACGACGCTCTCTACTCGACACTGGTTCAGTCCTACATCGACACATTGCTTCAGCAGGGATTCAATTTCGAATGCTTCATTGAAGGAGGCCGATCGCGTACTGGAAAGCTGCTGCCGCCCAAATTCGGCATCTTGAGCTTCGTCCTCGACTCCATCTTGTCAGGTCGTGTCGAGGACACCATCATCTGCCCCGTCAGCACCCAATACGACAAGGTCATTGAGACGGAGGGGTACGTCACCGAGCTACTCGGTGTCCCCAAGAAGAAGGAAAACCTGGCCGACTTTCTGTCAGGGGGCTCCTCTGTGCTGTCCCTAAAGCTCGGCCGTGTGGATGTGCGATTCCACGAGCCCTGGAGCCTCCGGACGTTTATTGATGAGCAGCTCACCAGGATCCCCAATGTTCCTCGTGGGTTGCACACTGATCATCGCAACCCAGCTGTTCGGGCGGTCCGTGAGAAGATTCTGCGAACTCTTGGCTACAAGGTTCTTGGAGATATCAACGCCGTCTCTGTCGTTATGCCCACAGCTCTTATCGGAACAGTCTTGCTCACTCTCCGCGGCCGCGGTGTTGGCAAGCAAGAACTCATCCGTCGCGTCGAGTGGCTCACGGCGCGCGTTCGAGCCAAGGGCGGCCGTGTCGCACACTTTGGCAACGCGCCGCTTTCGGAAATTATAGATCGTGGTCTTGAGGTTCTTGGCAAAGACCTGGTCGGCGTTGTCGAAGGACTTCCCGAACCCACCTACTATGCTGTCGATCGCTTTCAACTTTCCTTTTACCGCAACATGACGATTCATCTGTTCATTTACGAAGCTCTTGTCAGCGCCGCCATGTACACCCGCGTCAAGCGAGGTGGAGGGCCATCCATGCAGGTCATTGAGTTTGGAGAGCTCAAGTCGACAGTCTTCTTCCTGTCCTCTCTCTTCCGTGGCGAGTTCATCTTTGGCAGCGCGGGCCTCGATGCCAATTTGGAGAAGACGCTCAAGGGACTGGAGGCTGACCGCGTCGTGCAACTGACAAGGGACGAAAAGGGCAATGTTGTCCAGGTTGGTCTTTCCGACGAAGAACGCAAAGCAGGACGCGAGAACTATGACTTCTACTGCTTCCTGATTTGGCCATTCATTGAAGCCAGCTGGTTGGCCGCCGTGTCCCTGATGGGACTCAGCCCGGCCGGCGACGCCAGCGACGTCTGGGTCGAGCAGTCCAAAGCGCAAAATAGCGCTCAGCTTGTAAGTTGAAAACAAGGCCGACTCTTTTTTTTCCAAGCATGACCACTAAACAGCCCATCTAGCTCGGCAAGACCCTCTACCACCAAGGTGATCTCTCCTATTTCGAGGCCGTGAACAAGGAGACGCTCAAGAACTCGTATACCCGCTTCGAAGAGGACCAAATGGTGCACGTGGTCAAGACCAAGGACTCCAAGATCCCCCCGCGCATGCAGCTCGACCCGTCCTGGCGCCCACCCCGCGACCCCGCCACGGGCGCCCTGCTCGCCGAGGGCAAGCTCTGGGACTTTACCGAAAAGATTGCCAGCTGCCGCCGCGAGGGCAAGAACCGCCGCGACGGCGCGACCGTCAGCAGTCGCGTGCTGCGCCTCACCGACGAGCTCGGCCGCGCCCTGTTTGAGCAGGCGGCCGAGGCGGCCAAGGCCGGCGGCAAGCAAAAAATTCCCAGTCGGCTCAGCCAGGAGGAGGAGGAGACGCTGCACAAGTCTGTCGGCGACGCGCGGCGCCGCAGAAAGTTGCGCGGCAGGCCGAACCTGTAACATGGCATAATGCGCATACTTGGTGAATGGCAACGATGGCAACTGTAGGTGTATACTAGATTAATGCTTTGTTTGAATGCCCGTGTTGGCCGGTTCTTTGATTCATTGTTCAATAAATTTTTTATATATACGACGGCAGTCTAGATGCCGAATGCAAAATAAATGCTCCTTCACCCTCCCCAGACCTTTATGCTATTGTAGGCTCCAAGATGATGTTATCTATCAAGCGCACCGCCGGCCCTCCAGCATGCCCGACGTCCTCGCCAGGAACAACCTCCTCCAGCGGCAGCATGCGAATGGCGCCGCTGAGCACCGCGCCGCGCGCCGGGTCAATCACGTCGACCTCTTGCAGCGTATCCGGGTCCGCGAGCGAGATGTAGTCGACCTCGAACAGCACGCGCTGTGTCGGGGGCAGCCTGGCCTGGGCGGCGACAACGGCGGCCAGCACCTCGCGTGCGGCAGCGAGCACGGCGGTGCGGGCCAAGTTGCCGCCAGCATGGGCGTACTGGGCGGCGAGCAGGGCGCGGCGCAGGACGACGCCGACGCGGCGCCTGCGGTGGCCGAGGTAGACGTTGCGGGAGCTGAGGGCGAGGCCGTCATGGGCGCGCTCTGTCGGGCCGACGACGACCTCTGTGGGGACGCAAAAGTCGCGAACCATGCGGCGGACGACGACGGTCTGCTGCACGTCCTTTTGGCCAAAGTAGACGCGCTCCGGCTGGACAATATTGAGCAGCTTCATGCAGACGGTGGCGACGCCGCGGAAAAAGGTCGGGCGGCTGGCGCCCTCGAGCACCTCGGCGACGGGCGTAATGGTGACGAAGCTGCCCTTGCTGTCGACGTCCTGGCCGGGGAAGCCGGACGGGTACATGTCGGCGGTCGCGGGGGCAAAGACGGCCGAGACGCGGCCGAGGTTGGCGGCGTCGTCGGCGAGCGCCCGGTCGAGCTGGGCGAGCTGCGCGGCGTCCGCGTCCCACGTCGACGGGTACGACGCCAGGTCCTCGCTCGCCCCAAACTGCGCCGGGTTCACGTACACGCTGACGACGACGTGGTGGTTGGCCAGCGCCGCCGCGCGGATGAGCGCCAGGTGGCCCGCGTGCAGCGCGCCCATGGTCGGCACGAGGCCCACGCTCTGCTGGTTGAGCAGGTGCGGCCGGCGCCACCGGCGGAGGGCGTCGACGCTGCGCAGCACGCGGATCGACGAGCACGGGAGCTTTTCAACGGCAGAGGAGGACGAGGCGGAGGATGTTGAGCAGACTGTTTGGGCAAATATTCGAGTGGCCGAGGACCGAGGGACGCGGGCCGCCAGCAGAGGCCGGCCGAGGACGGCAAACATGGTTGTAGCGGCGGGTTCGTGAGGGGGGAGGCGCGGGAGAAGAGGTTGTGACGGAGGAAGGCTTGTTGAAATTCGGCCGGTGGGGGCGTGGAGGTATTTGTAGGTCAGTGGTTAGACCGCATGATCCATTGCTCTCTTTTTGGGGGAACAATGCGACGGTTGAGAGGTGATCGTGACAATATCTGCTGCGGAGTTTTGGGGATAGCTCTGGGGAGCTTGTTGGATGACTCAGCGTTGATAACTATGAACAAGAACACGACTTGATGAACTTCCATTGTAACAACTTGGATGCTTGTTTTTTTTTAATGAAATGAATCCTTAAAGAAATAAGTGTCCTCTTATTAATACTTGGATCCTGCAAGCAGATTCTCATCACGAGATAGGCACGTTGACGTGACAGAATGTGAACACTTCCAGGCCTGCAGCGAATTACTGCTCCCATTACCGGACAACAAATATCGGCGGATTGCAACTTGAATTATATTTCAATTTTTATATTCAGAGGCACCTTAAGCAATGTAGATAAAAGACCACACAGAAGTGCAAAACCTCCTATTAAATGCTTTGGCTGGCATCATCCCATCGCAAAACTGACCATGCTCTTACAGAGAGTCCTTGGTAGCATTGTTCTGAGGCGCCGCGGCCGCGGGGCCCTCCGCCGTAACATACGCCTTGGTCATGCCACCATCAACAGCAAAGTCGTGGCCATTGACAAAGCTCGCCTCATCACTCGCCAGAAAGACGACGGCATGTGCCTGCTCAATTGCCTCGCCAAAGCGGCCACCCGGGAAGTGCACCTCGCGGCGGGCACGCTTGGCCTTGTCGTCGCCGAGCCAGTCCTGCAGCAGCGGGGTGTTGAGCGGCGCGGGGCAGAGCGAGTTGAAGCGGAAGCCCTCGCGGGCGTGCACCATGGCGAGCTCGCGCGTGAGGGCGAGCACGGCGCCCTTGGAGGCCGTGTAGGCGAGCTGCGGCGTGGCGGCGCCGACGAGGGCGACGACCGAGGCCGTGTTGATGATGGACGCGCGCGTCTTCTTGTGGCGCCGCAGCGACAGCACCGCGTGCTTGCAGCCAAACCACACGCCCTTGACGTTAATGCCCTGCGTCAGGTCCCAGATGGCCTCGGGCGTGTCGACGGCGTCGGCGTCGTCGGCGTGCATGATGCCGGCATTGTTAAAGAGCACGTCCAGGCCGCCCCAGGCATCGACGGCCTCAATCATGGCCTTGACCTCGCTCTCCTTGGAGACGTCGCATTTCTGGGGGAGCGCGCGCGCGTTAGCTGGGGAGGCGAGTAGGGGCAGTCGGAGAAGGGGCGCGGGCGTACCAAGACTTCAACGCGACCGGCGTTGGGCACAAGCTGCTTGACCTTGGCAAGGGCCTTTTCAAGCGCCGCGGGGGAAATGTCAGACATGAGGACATTGGCGCCCTCTTTGGCGAAGAGGATCGACGTCTCGAGACCAATGCCTCTGAAGAAGTGGGAAAAGTGTCAGCCTGACCCCCCGTATGCCGAACCCAATCTTTGTAGTGGTGCATGCTTACCCGGCGGCGCCGGTGATGACAGCGTTCTTGCCTGCAAGACGTCCTGTAGCCATGGTGTATGTATGTATGTCAAGGTTCGATCGGATCGAGGGGTATCTGGTAGAGGGCGAGATGATGGAAGAAACAAAAATGGAAGAGGGGAGGTGGAACACAAACGGGGGGTGCAGACGCTGATATGTCTTTCGGAATCATGGAGGGGCAACCCCAAGCTTTGGTGGGGTAATAGTTTCCCATGTTGGTGCTCCGCGACGGGGCCGGCGGCTAACAGTATACGGCCGTCACTTGGTACCTATTTACTAGACTTTATTTTATTCTATTTTACTTTGATCTATGACATATCTTCTTGGTAATGGTTCTCTCCTTCGGAGTCTCACAAGACAGATATGCGCGGCTGCAGACCGCCCTCAGGGTCCAGTCCGAGAGCGGCGGGCTGGCGGCCGGCAGCCATCGTGGTGGGGGGCCCCTCGGTGCGCGCCGCCGCCAGCGCGGTCTTATCTGCGTGACCACGAGCGCTCATGAGAAAAAGATTCACAACGAGCGCTGAGGCAACAAGTACCTAACTATACATCACTGCGCCCAGATAATCCGGGGAAATCCGTCGAACTGAGTGGAAAGGGAATCGGGAAAACGTATTCACATTATGTACCCTTGCGTCTGCCCCTCACAAGGTCACACACTATTTCCCAAGTCGTCTAGCACTTCAAACTCCAATATGACATTCAACCCTTTTCGCTTCACATCTCAATGCACATATCACGTTACAGAATCCGATATTCTCACTTCATAGTCGCCACAAATTACTTCTTTCCAGCATCCTCCTTCAAACTCACAATGCGGTTGAGGACAATCTTGTCGTCAGTGCTATCAGAATCCACGGCCTATATGTCGTTAGTAAATCGCATCGCATAGTAAATGAGTCCCCATGATATCTTACAAAATAGGCAACGCGGAGGGCCTGGAAGCGCACACTTTCCGGTCCGCCCTTGCCGAGTTCGCTCTCGCCCGCCGCCTCAGGCCACGGGGCGCGACGCTTGACCTCGTCAAAGCCCGACTCGATGAGGGCATCGGGATAAATGACTTCGCTCTCCGGGTTCAGGTCGTTGAGGAACCCTCCCTCGGCGTCTTCCGGCTTCTCAGACTTGAACAGAGCATTGTGGATGCGAGCCTCTACTTTCCTCGACCCAGCCGTGCCAACCCACTGGATATAGGTTTTCGCCTTTTTCAACTCCTTGTCAAAGACGGCGCGAACCTCTGTGACCTTACCCGTGGCCTCATCCTTGGTGAAAGAGGTGGCCTTGATGGGGTACGGCGCCTGGAGCAAGCCAACCGACTTGCCGGGCGCAAGACGGAAGTAGTCCTTGCTGTCTTCTTCACGGAAATCGGAGCGATCAATGTAAACTGTCGGTGTGAACTTGACCTTGTGCGATCCCATCTTAGGATCCTTGGGAGAAAAGGGGACGTCAATCTCAATTTCCTCGGCGTCCTCAATGACGACAGGTATAGGGTCGAGAATCATCATCAGACGCGGCACCGTTTTCTCAAGGTACTTGCGAATGCTCTGCTCGAAACGGTGGATCTGGATAGTGGTAATGTTGGTGGTGACGCCAAGCTCATTGACAAATTCAAGGATGGCTCCAGGAGGGACACCGCGACGACGGATGGCAATTAGTGTATACAGTCTCGGGTCGTCCCAGTCGCGAACAATCTTTTCCTCCACCAGCTTAAGAATCTTGCGCTTCGAAAGCACTGTGCCGGTCAGGTTCAAACGTCCATACTCTCTCTGCATCGGCTCGTATACTTCAAGTGACTTGTTCAGCCACTCGTACGAAACACGGCTGAGAATGAACTCGGTAGTGCACAGCGAGTGTGTGATATCCTCGAAGCTATCGCACAGGCAGTGTGTAAAATCATAGGTCGGGTAAATTTTCCAGTCCCATCCTGTACGATGATGAGGGGTGTCGGTCTTTATGCGGTACGCCGCCAAATCCCACATCTGAGGGTTACCATCCGTAATGTCCTGCTTCATGCGCAAGAAGGCTTCGCGAGGTTTGTACTTGCCATCGCGCATGTCACGGAACTTGGCCAGGTTGTCCTCGGGGGTCTGATCAGCATGCTTGCAGCGGTATCTTGGGCTGGACCCCTTTTCACCACCACGCTGGAGCTTTATATCAGTATCTATATTGGGGTTCAATTAGCATTTGCGCAAGTCGCAGAGAAATTGCACCACGAACCCTCGCAGTAGCAAACGTAGGCCTTGCCAATATTGATCAGCTTCTCTGCCAAATCATAGAGCTTTTGAAAGTTATCACTCGAGTAGGTGACCTTGTAGGGCTCGAATCCAAGCCATTTGACAACTTCCTGAATAGCGTTGAAATATTTTTCCTCCTCTTTCTCTGGGTTCGTGTCGTCAAATCGGAGGTAGGTGACGCCGCCGTGGAATTTGGCAAAACCAAAGTTGACCGCAATGGCCTTGGCGTGTCCAATGTGGAGGTATCCGTTGGGCTCAGGCGGGAAACGTGTAATGACATTCTTGACCGGGCGCTCCTTGTAGACGTCGTCGAGGAAGCCCTGCTTGAACATGGCCTCGGGGTCGATGGGGGCCTCTTCCACCTTGGGTGTGGGTGCCTTTTGTTCGACAGGGCCGGCGGCTGCTTTCTCTTGGCGAGCCTTTTCCTGAGCCGCCTTTTTTGCCCGCTTCTGCTGGCGCTTCTTCAGCTCTGCTTTGGAGACCATCTCACCAGTCTCCTCGTCGAGCTGGAGCTTCGCCATCGGTTTTGTGAGTTCGTCGGCCATGGTGGCTGGGATCGGCCGCTGGATCGTCCGTTTATTGGTCTGCGAATACGTTCAGATAGAGAAGGAATTCGGACAGTGCTCTCTGGGCAGGGTTTTGGGGTCTTGTTGTGTTTGCAGTTGTGACGAGGAAAGTAGAAACAGTGGCGGGGCAAGACTCACGATGGCGGGGCTAACGTTTTGTGATGGGCACGACTGAACCGTCTGCCCCTCCTTCGTTCGGGTTGCGCAGGCAGTGCCGGTGAGTCACCTCGCAAAGGCTGTTGTTTGGCTTTCTGGAAAGTTTGAGATAATACTTGGTCATATTCCGCTATAGAGTAATATATGTTTCGATTTCTTCCACGTAGTCCTTCAATTTTCCCAAACGTGCTAATAAATGAGAGCTGTTCTACTCGACACCTTCAACCATCGTTCGCTAGTGTGCGTGTAGCTTGAGCAGCTCGTCAGAGAACGACGAGTCTCTTTGTAAAATTTCCCTCTGAATGAATATCCGAGTCATTATTTCTACCCCAAAACAGACTGCGATGGCGGAGCCTTATCTTGAAATGTAACAGTACTATCAGTGCGTTTCCAATGCCTTATCTCATCCTGCTGGAGCAGACCAAGTCCGTCTCTGCGCCTGGTCACGAGTGGTACAGAGCCAAGGAACGGCCCGGGGCGTTGGCATCGAGGCGCAATTTTATTCCCTTGTCTTTCTTATACTTTAGAAGCACTCCGGGGTTTTCGATAATATTCTAATAAGAAGATGCAATACAGGTGAGAGTTGCGCAAAAGCGCATGAACTCTGACCAGTCACAGTCGCTGCACCGTGACATCACATGGCATCGTGAAACACTATAACAATCACAATTGTAAAGTCTCAACTACTCTCACGATCAATCAACTTTTGCTACCAATAATAAGGCATCGTCGCGCGTCGCCTCAGGGTGGAGCTTTGGCGATGTCAGCGGGCCTGGGTGTCAAACGGTTGCAGTGCGCGTGAGGCAAACAGCAACCACCTTTATAATATTATTAGGCACATCTGGCCTTGTCTATACTTGCATCATCCACAGCATAACCCGCTCATTCGCAGGGCGAGTAATCTACTATCACAACCGAGGTATTGACGATTATATTCTGAAAGGTCACTCATCAAGCAAGCTCGCGTCACCGAACAACGCCCTGCACCTCGTTCCTCGTCGTTGACTTGTCCACGAACCGCCAGCAAGCACCCGACCCAACACCATCAACACAACTCACCAAATCGGCCAGAGTTTCAAACAAACACGGTCATTTCATACATTACATAGGCAAATACTGCTACCAAAACTCTCAAGATGTCCTCCTCTACCGTCCCTCTCCGTCAGATCCCCTCGCTCGCCTCCCTCTACAAAGCCGCCAAGCTCCATCCCAGCTCCATCGGGTCCGCCACCGGCGCGTCCGCCTCGGCCAACCGGCGCGCAGCCCTCATCCGCGGCGACATCACCAAGCTGGAGGTCGACGCCATTGTCAACGCCGCCAACACGGCGCTGCTCGGCGGCGGCGGCGTCGACGGCGCCATCCACCGCGCGGCCGGCCCCGGCCTCCTCGACGAGTGCCGCGCCCTCGGCGGCTGCCCGACCGGCGAGGCCCGCATCACCAAGGGCTACCTCCTGCCCGCCCAGTACGTCATCCACGCCGTCGGCCCCGTCTACAGCAGCGACGAGGCGAGCGCGACGCTCCTGCGCAGCTGCTACCGCGCCGGCCTCGAGCTCGCCGCCGCCAAGGGCCTCAAGTCGGTGGCGTTTAGCGGCATCAGCACGGGCATCTACGGCTACCCCAGCATGGACGCCGCCGTGGTCGCGTGCAGGACGGTGAGGGAGTATCTGGACGAGCACGATGGCCCGCTTGAAAAGGTCGTGTTTGTCACGTTTCTGCAAAAGGACGTGGATGCCTACAACAGGATCATCCCGTGAGTTGAATTGATAGTCCTCACACTGACAAACTGCTAATTGTTCTCTCACTGCAGGAAATTCTTTCCACCGGTTGACAGCACAGAGTGAGGGCATTGCGCTGTCCATGACTTAACGGGTAATTGAAGAAAGTGGCTCGTAGTCGAGACAATATATAGATACCAAAGTCGAGTATACAAAAAGCCGTGATTTCTTGGTTTCCAAATCCCGGCCTACGCCTTTTTCTCCTCTATCAGCTTGGTAATCATCGTCTTGAGCTCTGTTACTTCAGATCGAAGCTTCCGCACTTCTAGCACGGCCGCATCGTCCTCCACATTGGGGCGCACAGAATCACAAGTCTTGGTCCACCCCTCGGCTTCGAAATCCATTTCGTGCGCCATCTGCTCCCATTCGTGGACCACATCGTCGTCTTCCTCGCCCTTAGCACGGTTCTGGCGGATTCTGTGTGCCGTCTTCGTCTCGAAATAGGCAGCCACCACAAGTAGAGGCGAATACAGGAATGCCATGATCCAGTCATTAATGGTTTCATAAATGTGCTTTGGTAGCCACCACTCGGTTAGAGCCGACACGACAATCTCGATGAGATTGAGGGGAGCAATGTACACATTCTCGTCGGGGGCGCGAACGAACTGCATCGTCTTTTGGGCAAAAAGCGCCAGATACTCGTCGTCGGCGTTTTCGTAAATGTCTTCGTAGGCCGAATTGTACAGCGCAATGAGAATATTGAGGAGAATAATCTGCGGGGGTCAGCACGGGGGCGACAATGGTCGACAGACGGGAACATACCATGACAACAAAAGTAAAGCAGTAGTAGAGAATAATACCCCACGGGTGAGCAAATGATTCCCAGTCGTCGAATTGCGGGCTTTGCAAGATGGCTTTGAGCATCGAGTCGACAATGAATGGCACGTCGTCAAGGACATTATTTTCCGTAATGTCAAGGCCGATGAACGCTTGAAGGAAGCCAATGATGATGATGATGAGTAAGGCGAAGAAGATCATGGACTCCTTCATCATGACCTTGAGGACGACGAGCATGGCGCCAAAGAAGCGGAAGCTGTCGAGATAGAGCAAGAGTCGGGACCAAACCATGGGCGCAATAAAGGCCAGCAGGTTGTAGCTCAGCCGACTATAGGATTCTCTGGCCACGGAATCAATGTCGTGCATGAGTCCAATGATTTTAAAGACGAGAGACACGGTCAAGAAGGAGTAGAGCAAGCCATTGAAGGCATTCCAGAAGCCCAGAATCTGGTAGCCGGCCTTGTAGAACTTGAGCAGCTCGTCGCATGTGAAGCCAAGGGTGAAGATGTAAAGCGCAACCTCTGCGCCGTCGAACACGCCGCCTTTATTGACAGAATTGATGGCTGCCGTGTACAAGCCGAGGTAGATGAGAGAGAAGAGGAGCTGGGCGGCATTCTGGTACCGCGGCGCGCGCATACGATCCGGGTCCATGTGCGCAAAAAAGTTGGGATTGTCCTTGCCCTTGTAGTCGACAAAGACGGCGGCGTCGTTTTCGTCCTGGATCAGCCAGCCACTCCAGAGGTAGTTGATGCATTTTTGGTAGCCAGAAGAACCAATGACGCGCACCGAGTGCAAGTCGACGGCCTTTTCAATGACGTTGACGGGGGTTGTCGGCGTGCCGTCGACGAGGAACGAATAGCGGCGGAGCAAGATGACGTGCATGAGGTATTCAGTGTCGTCCTCGGTTTCGATGCTAGGACATGAATTTGTTAGTAGCGCACGAGATGTGTCTGGAGGGGGGGATCGTACAGTGCTTTGGCAATGACGCCACAGGCCTCGGCGCGCAGGTTATGCAGCCCAGCGTCCCATAACTCGGCAAGCGCCTCGCGGCGAAACCATCTCTGGTTGACGAGGAGTGAATAGACCTGGAAATCAATCGGATCAGCCAACGCGATAGATAAGAATAGAGTGCGGTGGAATACGTACAACGCACGACTTGTGAGCCTCGCCGCCGGCTTCCTTGGCAGCATGAATCACCTGTTTGGTAATGACTTTGCTATGTGGTGTCGTGATGCGCGACTCGTCCATTTCGCAGGGGACGCATTCTTGGACGAGGTGGCGGAGGCGCAGGCAAACTTTTGTAACGTCCGAGGCCGGAATGGCGGAGGTGAGTCGTTCTCTGACATTCGGAGGCACCACTGCAAAAAGGGATATGGTGTTAGCATCTTTGCTGGCTATGCTGGGCCGTCGAAAGGGCGGGAAACATACGGGCGCGCTCCTCTTCGTGTAGCAGATCGCGGCGGGACGCCATGGCGCGAGCTTGGACGGGTGTTGCACGAGGGACACGAATTGAACGGACACTCGTAGCGACAATGGGGGAGGGAGACTTGGCGTCGCAGAGGGAAACAAAATTCAATTATGTAGTGGTGAAGACGGGGAGGGGGACACCAGCCGCGGGAGGCCGTAAAGGACGAACAGTGGTGTATGACGAAAGCAGTACTCTGTACAATATCTGCAGCTAGCTTTTTTTGCTGGCACAAGCTTGGAATTTAGGTAGTACGGACATTAGCTGAGCTTCAGTAAAATAAGCTTTTCAGGTGGCGGGGTTTAGCGGATCATCGGGCAGCACTAACTTGGTACTAAACGGAGCGCTCAGATGGATGGTAAAGACGTTTCTTGTCCTTGCGGTCACAGATAGAAATAGTGAGGTATGTTGTACATGGGAGGGTTATATTGGCAAGAGAATTCATTAGGATATATAGGTAGGGAGGCAGGTACTAGGTAATACCTACTAACTAGTAGGTAGTACATAGGTCTATTGTATTGACCCCTGCCATGTAGTACTTACTCCATCGGGCCTTGCGTAACAAATAACCAAATATCCCAACTATTTGATTGACTCACCTGGAGCGTCGAGGTTGACTGATGGACCGTTATCCAGTTCAATTCCGGGGACCTTGACAGAGCTCAATCCCATCCACCTCTCGCCAACTTTGCGCCACCATGCAACAGTCGTCATGGCTGCCTGGCCAGCGGTCACACACCGACCCATGTTAGCGTTGTGCCATCTCCCCAAGGCTAACTAGGTACCTCTAGGTAACTGCAAGTCGTCTGCACCAGACCCTGTTGCCTGCTTGTTCATCTGCACGGTGACTTGTCTATGAGTTTTGCCAGCGAATGCGTGATTGTGGAAGAGGCGCCCTCGTTCTCATGCTGCACTGCACCAGTCGGTCTGCCATCAAAACGCCTTACGGGACGCCTTTCTTCCTGGCCACCTTTTTCACGGCCCTTGGTGCGGGACTGAGCGCTCGTTCGCGCAACTCAACCCGTAGGTGATGGATGAACTGTAACTATTTTTCCGCTTCTTCTTTTGGCTAGTATTATGCGTGCATCTAGGGCGCAGCATCGTTTAACTATTGCCCCTCAACACACCAAACACTGAACTGGTGGGAAGATATGTGCCACACCGGGACACCCACGAGCCGGGGTTGCGCGCCGCTGGTCCCTGTGATACACGGCATCTTGCAGCCAATGATTTCGCCTGGCCCCGTGGAGGAACTGGCTACCTACCTACGGATGGTCAAGATATGTATGCGTCTAGCAGCCTCCAGATGGACCTCTCAGCCTCTTGCAATCCTCTGAGTCACTCCGCATTGCGCTGGCCTGCGTTCTCTCGTCGTGGGCGATCCCGTTGGGGGCCTAGCTGTCAGCCACAACACACAGCTTTGAGACGCCGCTGCCTGGGCTTGTCTGCCTGATGCCGCCTTGCTCCGATAGATGTTGTGACCCTGCTTCCGACGATAAATATGGCTGTATGCAGCCGCACATGCAGCTCCCGTCTTTTTTCTTCTCTTCCCATTCCCTTCCTTCGCTCTTCCTCTGCATCTCACCTCCATGAGCTGCCGTTTGTCAGAGTGCCATACAAACATCCAACCTTCACTGCTGTAGATTTACTCAGCGCCAAGTCCCTCCATTCGTTACCCCTCAACAGAGGACCAAGACCACCACGCACTTTCGTCCCTTTTATAGATCCCTTGGAATTCAAATCCACACACCACGATGGAGCAACAGGGCAACTCGGCGCGGTCTGTAGAGGATACCAAGGCCGCCGAAACGACCCCCCTCCCGCCTCAGACAAATACGTCGCCGCCGCCGCCGCCAGAGACAGAGCCCGTCAACCAGGTAAACGAGACGCCTGTCGACAAGGTCGAGAAAAAGGCCAAGAATTCCGATCAGCGCAAGCAAAAGGAAGCCAAGACTCGTCGAAAAGACACCAAGTCCCGAAGACGGGCTTCTCATCAAGAGTCCGATACCAGCGACGACGACGATACGAGCAGCGATGAATCGGATCTGTCGGACAACTCCGCCGCGGAGAGAAAGTCCAAAAGAAACCCGCGTCGCCGGCGCCTCCGCAAAGTCAGTTCGGGAAAGCTGGCCAAGTCCTCGAGGGCCACGTCCAGGCGCTACAAGCGGCGATCGAGAGGCGACAGCGACTCGGCCCTGAGCTCCGACTCGTCTTCAGACTCGGAGCGCGACTGCGAGGTTCGAGTGGTGCGCGATGACAGACACAGCGGAAGTGAGACCGACAAGGAAGTGCAGAACCTTCGTCGGCAGCTTCAGCAGCTGCAACAGCAAGTTGCGCTGCAGCCAGCCATGGTCAGCCCGTTTGCCCCCAACCCCGCCTTGTATCCGATGCAGAGTTTCAATCCTTTTGGATTCCACCCTTTCATGCCTGCTCCTGCTGCGCAACCTCACAACCCTGGTCCTGGACCGTCGACGACATCCCCCCCACCACCCCCTCCCCCTCAGCAAAGCACGCCTCCTCCACCTCGCATACGCCGTGCATACCAACGCGGAATACCCGTTGAGATTGAAGAGGAGAAAAAGGACAGGTCGCGTGCCAGAAAGGACGGGAAACCGTCGTTTCGCCGGGTCGATTTTGTATGGGATTCGGCTGCGCTTTGCTTCAAGATTCGAGATACGACCGACGCACAGTCACAGGACGACGACGATGACGACAACATTTTTCTGGTTCGGAGAACATTTGATACGCAGGGAAGGTATCGCCAAACTTTTGTTGACATTCGAAGCAAGCTTTTGAGGGAGTGCCTCAAGGAGACGATTGGAGAAGTCAAGGGTGTGACGTTTGTTGAGGAGATTCCCAAGCTTGACCCCGATTTTCTGTTTCTCTACCTGGACGACTTGCGTGCACACTACAAGCACCTGAAAACTGTCAAACCGACGGGAGACTCCAAGCGAGAGAGGGCCAAAAATGCCAAGAAGATTGATCTAAAGACCATGCATCTCAAGATACTCCTCAAATACCTACGCAAGGACTACGCCGACATCAAGCGCCAAGTCGACTCGCTCCTCCGCAACGGTCTCATCACCTTTGAACTCCTCTGGGCCCTCTGGAAGCCCAAGTCCCTCGTCTACACCACCTCCTTTGGCGACGACGACGAGCCGCGCGTGTTCCGCGTCGAGAGTGTCGAGCGCCACGTCAACATGCAAAAGGGCGAATTCTACCACATTGACGGCAAGTATTTCGAGTATGACGGCAAGCACTTTGGCTACGGCAGCATGTCCGAGGAGATTGGGTCGTTTCGGGGCGCTCGAAAAATCACGAGCCTGCCGTGCTACCCGCTGCGCTTCCACCGCGACGAGGCCGGCTTGCGGGCGCGGCTGGTGGCGCGCGGGAAACGGTTTGTCGAGCTGCGCGGGGTGCACTTCAAGAGCTACTCAGGCATGGCGTATCTTAAGAGCAAGAAGCACGGGGTGATTCGTTTCAACGTGCAGCAGAGCCGCATGATGGTGGACACCAAGACGTTTCGCCGCATCAACCCAAACTACTCCGTGTCACCGCTCGGGCACACGGCGCACGGTTCGATGCCACCGGGCAGCATGTCGGACGATGATGATGACTCTGATTACAACTCGGGCGGGTCGGATGCCTACAACAGCGACAACGGTCAGCTCGAGGTCCTGACGACGGTATACAAGGACGGCGGCAACGAACAGACCGCCGTCGCCGCCAAGGGCTCGTCGTCCGACTCGTGCGGCAAAGCCACACCCTCATCGTCATCAGTCGACGGCAAGGGCAAGCCATCTGACAGCGCCGTTGACGACCTTCCGCGCGCACTCACCGACGAAGACTACATCCTGGCGTCACCAGTGGTGCTCGGTTTCGCCTTTGCAGAGAAGCAGTGGCTCGAGTTCAAAGTGTCCAACGTGCGCGAGATCAAGTGGAACGACCAGGCGTGGGACTCGCTGGTGCTCCCCCCGGAAACTAAAGACCTGATCAAGGCGCTCGTCACCTCGCGGCGCACCAACGCCTCGCGCACCATCGACGACGTCATCCAGGGCAAGGGCAAAGGGTTGGTGACGGTGCTCCACGGCGCGCCGGGCACCGGCAAGACGCTGACGGCCGAGGGCATCAGCGAGCTGCTACAGTGCCCGCTCTACATGGTGTCGGCCGGCGAGCTAGGCACCGATTCGCGCTACCTCGAGGCGGAGCTACAGCGCATCCTCGACATCTGCCACGCCTGGGGCGCGGTCCTCCTGCTGGACGAGGCCGACGTCTTCCTGGAGAAGCGTAACATGTCCGACGTGCACCGCAACGCACTCGTGAGCATCTTTTTGCGCCAGCTCGAGTACTTCCAGGGCATCCTGTTCCTGACGACGAACCGCGTCGAGACGTTTGACGAGGCCTTCCAGTCGCGCATCCATATTGCGCTGCGCTACGACAACCTCGACGCCAAGGCGAAGCGCAAGATTTTCGGCATGTTCCTGGACAGGGTGCGCGCGCTGGGCACCCTCTCCGTCGATGCGCTCTCCGAGGAGGACCTGGCACGGCTGGTGCGGCAGGACCTCAACGGGCGCGAGATCAAGAATGTGGTGTCGAGCGCGCAGGACCTCGCAATGAGCAAGGGCGAGACGCTAGGTATGAAACATTTGCTGCAGGTGCTCGATGTGCATGCGCGGTTCAGCAGGGACCTCAAGGGCGGGACGGGCTATGAGGATGCGATGAGGAGCTACTTTTAAAGGGATTTTTTGTATGTGTGTGTGTTGGTACGTGGATCATGTATGCTATAACAACTCTCTCATGTCAATCTTACGAAATTATACGAATTGGTTTTGCAGACGCGGCATGGCATTGGGAATAATTTGCAAATGGGATACTCTGCGAGGTGCAAATGGGATACTCTGCGAGGTGCAAATGGGATACTCTGCGAGGTGCAAATGGGATACTCTGCGAGGTGCAAATGGGATACTCTGCGAGGTGCAAATGGGATACTCTGCGAGGTGCAAATGGGATACTCTGCGAGGTGCAAATGGGATACTCTGCGAGGTGCAAATGGGATACTCTGCGAGGTGCAAATGGGATACTCTGCGAGGTGCAAATGGGTTCCAACAATCCGCTTGCATAGCTGGAGTTGCTTGGTGAAGAGGCTGGGGGGCAGGCAGCTACGAATCAAAACGCTCTCACCGAAGGGGTTTGCCCCTTTATTGCAGTCCTGTGCCTTGTGTACGGAGTATTCTCCGTGGCTTAGATCGTTAGATGTGGCTCCAGCTAACTGATAGACAGGGGCAGGTATCTAAGAACACGAGTCCAAGGTATTATCCATGTTCCTCTCCATCTTGGCGGCCTGAGAGCTATAATCACTCCATATGTCAAATAGCCGCACTAGAGAATGCTAATGATCCTCGCGGGTGGTTGGAGCCCCCGCCCATTGAAGAATCGACATGGTCACAATCGACATTTTGTGCGGGCTTACGCGTCCATCCAGCATGCAAGCGCCCGACCGAGCGGGAGGAATCCTGGCGGCGGCTGGTGGGCGGGCCCGTATTGTGAAACGGCCGCACCGGCATGTCGGCGCCGGGGGGCCGGGGAAGCGGCCGCCACAGAGTGGCATGGGGTTACACAGCCATCGGCGGAGGCATTACGTGGTGCACAGAGGCGTTACCAGGTGGTTCTTCATCCTATTATTGTCCTGATATTATGGAGTCTGGCTGCTTTACGGATGGAAAGGGGGTCCTTGGTTCCAGGCCGTGCCAGGGCAAGAAGGATTCTCAACGACAGATTACGCATGCAAGCATGGAGGAGTACGAAGTCGTATAAGATCTGGCCAGGGCCTGGGCCGCGTGGCAACGTGGCAACGTATTGAATGGTGGCAAATGGCTGGGAAACGATGGCCTCCACTTGTCATCTCTTCATAGACAGGGGGCAATCGGACAACGGTTGCTAAGAGACAGGCGTTTGGCGGCTGGAGCCGCGTGTAAGAAGCTGAGATATTGCTTCATCGATTCGTGCCATCTTTATGAGACATGATAGAATAATTGGAAGTGGTTGTCTCGGGTGATATTGCCAGGATGTTACCAAGGTCGATATCAATGGCTATCTTTTACAAGGGAGGAAACCAGTTTCTCGGATGGTTCGATGAGCAGTCCGTTTTCGGGAACAAGGATGACCGCAACGGACATGAGCTGATAACTCGTGTTTGACCGTTCTCTCTTTCTTTTTTCTGGAACCAAGCAAGGACAGAAAGGCGTGTGGCAATACGCGCAATTCCTTTTGCCGTGTTCCTTTAGCTATAGTGTCACTAGTGCCAATGCTGTGGGATGACACGAGGGAGACAGACGAGTCACGGCACAAAGAACAATACTTGATGGACCAAGACTCAAAAGCTGCTTGTTCCTTGTAGTCTTAGTTGGTTGGCCTTGACACATGAGAACAGTAGTTACCTAGGAGGTAGGTAGGCGGCCCAATTGTATTCCCACAAGGGGAGCCACGACTGGCATGCGAGAATATTCAGTAAAATACTGGGGTCGAAATTCTGTTCTTTTGAGGATCACAACGACAACTCTAGATTTATTCAAAAGAAATTTACATAAAAATACCGCAAGCATCGTTGGATGAGTCAAGTCGACTCGGATCAGACGTCTTGTCGTGGTGGAGAGGGAAGGGGACTCCGTCTTGTACGTTGGGGCAACATGTGACGGGCCGGACGATTGCAAGTTATTAGTTTTTTGGTTTTCTGCCACAACGGAGACTGCCACAACGGAGACTGCCACAACGGAGACTCTTCCAGTGCAACATGCATGGCAATTTTTTCCCTCACAATCCTCCTTTGGCGAAGGAGCAAAACGGAGGGGTAGGTAGCAGGGGAGGTGGGCCAGGGTGGATGCCAGAGCGCCGTGATAGACGTGGTCTAGAACGGTCTGTGAATCACGTGCCAGGCCCGTAAGCAACTCCTGGCAAACGGAAACAATGGGGAGAATTATCATTTGCACTATTCGGACGGAAACAAAATGCCAAGAATGGAAGACTAGGAGCGGGGGCGTTACTTTTGCTTGGCCGTTTCCGTTGTCGCTGACTTCCAGAATGGCTACCGGAGCACTGATTGATAGGATGTATGTACACAGATGAGGCACGAGTGTTTGAAGAGAACACTGGGCGGTTACTGAGACATTTGTCTCTGTATACTGGTCGTGTGTTGCATGTTGCTCATCAGCGCTTAAAACGAGAAAAATGGTAGGTTGAGGCTCAACGGTTGTTGCGGTGCGAAGTCGGATGTGCCAGGCCCAACACCGAGGCCTCCCGGAGCAAGACGACGACGAATCAAGATCTGCCGCGATGCGACGGGACAAGAGATAATTGAGGCGAGTGACAAAAAAAACGAGTCAAAAAAATTCCCTCGGTCGATGCTCCGTTCTCGAGCGACGAACGTTCTAGACGCCGCGTCCAAAACTGCACTGGTGCCTGGAGACCCAAAAGTTCGCTACAGAAATACAGTGGCACCGAAGCACAAGGTACAGCGCATGTACGGCGTCGGCCAGCGTATCGTCCTGCTGTTCGCTTGTTCCTGCCGTGTCGCTCAAGGCACCCGATATCTGCATGCGCCACCAGTTCGCAGTGGAACCGGATAACCTCTGTACTGGGCCACTGGAGGCGCCATTGTCTTGTCCCAGTGCGCCGTCTTCTATCCGTAGCGTAGGCAACATCGTGCGAGTTGTTTTCTGTGTTGCGATGCGTCACAGGGCCACTGCACTAACTAAAAACTCGCTGTGCTCTTTGGCGCCGCTCAACCACAAAGCCCAGGCACCCCAGGCACCAAAAGAGTTGGTTCCAACGTTGGGTGGGCCCCCAAAATGGTCTGGTCAGATCCACCATGGCGCGTTGTTGCCCGCCGCTCCGCCGACCCCAGCCAATAGCAGCGCTCTTGTGCCTGGCGGGTCCCCTTGGCCAGTGCGCACATAGCTCGGCTTGTTTGTTCGTCCCCCCCTGTTTTTAGGACGGTTCGACCGCAGGCATGTACCACGGGTACCCGAGGCAGGTTTCTCCAGAGGTACTGGCAGGAATTTACAGGTGAACAATGTATGGCGAATACAGTGGTGGCCTTGCTCTGGAGGACCTGCTGACCACTCGCTGTGTCGCCCGACCGGTACCTGGCTGCTGGCCTCGGGCGCCAACGTGCAGGTTCTGTGTACCCTGCCACCGCCAACGCATTACCTCACCCCAGGTACCGACGCGGCTGCCCAGGTACAAACGGTACAAACTCTGACAGCGGTCGCTGCTGTGTGTGCGTTGGCTGCCAAAAAAAAGTTTCATTGCGACCGTCGACGTGTGGCCCCCCTTCTCCCCTTGGCCAGGCATTTGCGGTCCTCCTTACCCCTGCCCTTCACCTTAATAACGCCCAATCTCCCTCCACACTCCTTTTTATTCCCTCCTCCCTTCCTTCTTCTTCACGACATCTCAGGCCACGCCATATTCATTCCTTAAGAACCCCCTCTCTCTCTATATCAGCTCGTTGACGCGCTTGTCGCTCACGCATCACACTCCTTCGAATCCCTTCGATTTGGTCGCCCCGTATTCTGTGAATATCGCCCAGCGCCAAACAAACAACCAACCCTCCTTTGACACCCGAACCAAAAGTTGTCCAACATCTTCCTACCAAACAACGACACGATGAAGTTCTCCGCCGCCGTTGTCCTGGCCGCCGCCATGGGCGCCTCTGCTCACCCTAGCCACCACGCTCACCGCAACGCTCACCGTTCCGTTGTTGGCCGCGAGTTCGTCATGGCCAAGAAGCCTGCTCCTCCTGCGCCCACCACCGTTGCGCCTTCTGCACCCGCGCCCACCACCGTCACCCCGGCCACCATCTCGGTCGCCTCCGTGGCTCCCGCCAGCCCCTCGGCCGACGCCGGCTCCGGCTACAAGCCCTTCTGCAACGGCAACAAGAAGCGCGCTACCCTCGCTCAGATTGCCTACTCCGGCAACACTGGCGCTCCCGGCAATTACGGCTGCAACATCATGGAGGTTTCTGCCAGCGCTGCGTCCTCTTACGACTACACCATGAAGTTTGTCAACGCAGGCAGCTCCGCGCAGGCCTGTGTCTGCTGGAACAAAATTGGTCCCGATGGTGGCATCAACGGCTTCTTTAAGAACAACCAGGCCATTGACTTCAACCTCCCCGTTGGTGGCGAGACCTACGTTGCCGTCGAGGGCAACTCCCAGATTGGCTGCTCCTGCGGCAGTGGCGCCGTTGACCTGACGTCGTTTGGCCAGTTCGCCGGTACCTGGGTCGAGGCCGACTTTGCTAACGAGTCCAACAACAAGTGGTCCGGCTTCGACGCCTCGGCTCTTGTCCCTGCCAAGTTCGGTCTGAAGATTCCCGGCATGAGCGTCTGCGGCCAGGGTGTTTGCTCTGACATCTACCCCGGCGGAGCGGGAAAGAATGCCTATCTCGGCGGCATGGAGGCCGCGGACGGTATCGGCGGCAACATCAAGCCCGGTCCCCTGGCCCTTACCGTCAAGGTCAACACCAACTAAGCGATCTTTTGCAGACAAAGTTTTTTGTTGGCTGGCAATTTGTTCTATTTTCAGATACCTCGAGGCTGGATCTTGACCTGATACGGCCCTTCTTTCTTTTTTGAGACGGTGGCTCTTGGCAAAGACGTCCTAGTGGCGTTTGGTGCGTTGGCAGCTTTTTTTTTTTTTTTGCAGGCTTTTTTGGGACTATTTTTAACGCAATTCTTTCACGGTTCGTGATTGGTGTGCAGAGGCAGCCGGGTTCTTGCACACGGATACCTAGTCAGCCATTGTGTAGATGACACACCTAGTTCTTGGATACATACTTTTTTTTTCTACATTTACAAAATTATCTTTACATGAATTTGGCACCATGCATCTGTGAGACTCTGCTTGAATCGTGATACGAGTGGTTATTAGCTCTGTAAAATCGGTTGCCTTGTTTTGATGTTGTGCTTATGCTGTGGACTGGAATGTGTTGCCAACGAGCATGGTGAGACATGCCGTTGATTCCCACGTCGGCAACAAACAAACAAACAGAGAGGGGCTGACGAAAACAAAGGAATTGAAACAGGCAGAAGGGCGGTTTTCCCGAATGTACGGAATCTTGTGTGGTTTGTTGGCCGCGGTTATTTGTGACCCGGCCGGGTTCCGTCATTGGATAGCGCACCCTGTTGATGTGAAATTGTGAAATTGTGTATTTTTGTTTTGTTTCTTCAGCCCATTCACACAAATGTGGGCTACTCAACTGACTCCCGTGAAATAAATACAGTTGTACTCTGTGTGAAAATTGCTGCATGGTGGGTGAGAGGGCTTGACTCACACGATGCCGAGCAGAGGGGGGGGGGGCGGTCTGCTGTCCGGACGCAGTACACGTTGGCTGCATTAAAGTGCCGCAGCCGGGGTCTTCAGATGCATGATGCATGGTACCAGAACCATGCATTGTGTACCAAGCCGCTTCGGTTAATACAAGGCCTTTCAATGGGTAATGCGATCTGTAGATTCAGCACGTTTTAGCCAAGGGAACCTGAGTCAAAAAGACAGGGTCTCGGTAAGCGCACCATCGTGCGATGCCCAAGAACCATTTTTAGAGGGGGGGGGGGCTTCCTATCAACGCTGGAGACCGCTGCCCAAAAGAAAAAAGGCTTGCCAAGGCGATGGCCACGAGGCCAGCCCGTTTGTCCAATAGTCGGTCTGGTGAATTGCAAAGGTTTTCTGCATCCGGTCCGGCGGCCGGAGCTTGCGTCAAGAGGTTGGGTCGGCACGCGGTTTGGTAGCATTGCCAGCGTACAAACCGTACAAACCCGATGGTACCTTGCAGTGTGGTGTGTGTATTGGGCAGCTTCCACTTCCACGTGCCAAGTTTCCTTTCTTTTTGATTGAGTTTTCTTTTCCTATGAAATCTCTAGTCAAAGTTGTGCGATGCATTGCTGTCACTATTCGCGCACACATGACAGCCACCGGCAGGTAAAGGCCTAGAACATGTAGGTATCGTGGCTGCAGCACAATGTATATGTCTTATTTCTGCCTGATATGAATCTCTCGTTTCAATAGCACCGACAATTTATGCCAGCCCTGCTTTCCTTGCGACTTATATCAGAAGGCATTAACTAATGCCTGACACCGATCAGTCAGTGGACAGTATCAGAAAGCCAGTCTGCTCAAGCGGTCATTATCCGACTGGATACAGACTTGGTCTATGGATGACAAAATTCGCCTTCTTCCTGAAGAAAATCCTACTTCTCCATCAGGTCTTTCTGAAGGGGTGAGATACTTACTGGGTGCGTCTCGTCTCCTTGGCCGCCAATTTGTGCATGGCTAGGTGATGAACGCCAGCCTCCCACCACATCGGTGTGGTTGTATAATTCTTCGCACATGCCATTTTCCCCTCTGCAACGACACTGTATTTACTAGACCATGTCTTGATACAGCTTCGACACCAAGATGATATCCAGGAGAGACATGGCGTGATGAAATAAGCTTCAAACTTGTGTAGCTACTACAGGGTAGCAATCGCTAGGCAAATTTTCAGGGCTCCATGCTTGCTCAAAACTTCAACGGGCGTTCCTGCCAGATACCCTCCGAAACCTGCAGGACGGCTCTCGTAAAGAAAAAGGGTTCGGTGGGATCCTTCATCACGACAGTAGTCCAAACGTGTCATATTTTGCGGTCCGTGATTCTGTGCCCAAGCTGGGCATGACCAACGACAAAAGCACATGCGACAGCGGTTACCTGGACAATGGACGACAGTAGCAGCCAGGACGACCGCGGCGACGAGGACATGGCGTTGCGTCGAGAGAAACTTATTGAGACCGCAACGACCCATCTGAACGCGGCTCGAGCCTGCATCCCCGAGCTCGAGGCGCTGCTCGCCGCCCTCACACCCAAAGTCAAGTCGGTCCATGCCACGGGCCTCATCCCCTTTGTGCGGGACCTCAAGCACGACGTGCAGGGGATCGAGGCCATTCTCCAGGAACTGCGGCAACTGCGGTCCAAGAAGAACGGCGACGCAGCTGGCCCTGAACCGGACGACGATGCCGCCAGAGCCGACCTGGACGCCATCTGGAAACGGCTCGAGCCGCGCACGACCGACGCCTACCACAGCAGCACACGCTGGCAGGCGCTGCGGCGGTGCGCCGACCTGGTCGCCGTCAAGCGTACCTTTCAGGGCTCGGCGCCCGACCTGCGGCGCGCGGCCGTCCTTGAGCGCGGCCTGCAGACGGACCACGAAAAGGTGCAACTGCACCGCACCATCAAGGAGCAGGCCAAGACGGAGGTGGCCGTCGTGGACCGCGGCGCGTGCTGGATCGACATTCGCTGGATCAGCGCCGACCGCCTCGCGCGGCAGATGACGGACTCGGGCTGGTCCTGGGGCGAATACGAGTGCGGCGACGTCGTCAGCCGCGACGAGTGGGAGGACATGCCTTTTGTGCGGCAGGTGCGCCGCGTCGTCGCCGCCGCGCGACTCAACCGCCACGAGTACCGCATCCCGGCCGTCCGCCTCGTGCTGCCCAACCTGGCCCGCGGCGCGCACCCGGACATTGACGTGCTCCTCGACCAGCTCCCGCGGCTCGACCCGGGCGTCGACCTCGTCCTCGAGGACGCTTCCAGCGACTTTTGCACGCGGCCGCCCCCGCCCCTCGCCGATACTATCCGCGACCTCGTCGGCACTGGAAGCCTGCAGGTGCCGCTCACCGACACGCTCAACCTGGAGCATACAGTCCTCGTCGACCTCATCTCGGACCTCACCCACCTGCGCCTGACGCCACTGCCGTGGCAGTCGCGCACCACCCGCGCGCAGATTGAGGAGGAGAATGCCCACCCGGACGGCGTCATGGCCCCGATCCTCTACCCGCTCCTGCGCGGGCGCCGCCTCGTCTGCACGCACGAGGCTGCCGAGCATTTCCATGAGATGCTTACCACAGTGGGAACAGCGACGGAGCGCGCCCGCGGCCGCCTGCTCGTGCCGTATTACGCCGAGGAGCTCCGCGCAGCATACTCACCCGCCATTCTCCGCGAGCGCTTCGATGCCCTTTCCGAGCGGCCCCTGCCCGCCGACTTGCAGTTCCCTGTTGAGGTGCTCGCCGACGATGGGCGCTGGGACGTTGACCGGGTGCGTAGCCTAGTCGAGGATGATGGTAGCGGCGCACTGCCGCCCGTGGCGCTCGAGATTGCGCGTCGCGACCTCCTCAAGAGCTCCAAACTCAGCACCTACATGTACGGCTGGCGCGCGGGCGTAGTCACGGTCACTTCCAACAAGGAGGTCCGCGCACACATGCGCACCTGGGTCGAGGCTGGTCGCTGTAGTGATGATGAGCGCGGGCCCATGCTCTACTGCGTCGATGTTACGCGTAACTTGCTGGCCAAGAGCGCCGTGCCGCCGCCGGGCTGGCCGGGCTTGGGCGAGGAAAGAAATAGCCAGACACCTGTACAGAATAACGAGCATAAGGAATAGAGCATGGATATAAACAAAAATAGTACATAGAGCGGATTAAAAAGACGAGATATAAATAAAGACAGCAATGATAGCTTGGGAAAGAGCTGCAGATTTCGAGTGAACTATACTAGGAGGGTGGCGTGTTGGTCACAGAAGAAGCAATGTGTTGGCTAAAGAGGAGCCGGTTTTGTATAACAGGCAATACTCATTTTGAATTCTGTGAGGCTGTAAGACATGATGCTCATACCATGTAACCAATACCACCCCTTGTCCTTCTGATAGCTTCTTTTCTTGTTTTCATCTTGGCATTCCTTCCGCAGCCACCTCTTTCAAGAGCCCATACGTCCTCGAACCATGCAAATCATGAAAAAAAAAAGACGGGCTTGACAAGGTGGTTGCTCCCGTCGCACACGCTTCACGACAAGGTCCTCATCACGAATCGATACTGCACACCAGCGTGATGACGGTCGTGGGCGTCGCCTCGGTGACGGTCGTGGTGCGGAAGACGACGGGCCCGTGGCCATCCATGTACTGAAACTGGGCGGCGGTGCAGTGGCCGCACTCGACGGCACTGGTGACGGTGTCGGTCGTGGTCCAGACGCGCTGCGTAGGGCTCACGTCAAAGGGCGCAAAGGTGGGAACCATCATGGTGCACTGCGGCGGTCCCTTGGCGGTGTCGTCGGCGATGGGCTTGGCGAGGACGGTGCTGCCGGCGGCGGTGAGGAGGGCGAGGGCGCGGGTGGTGAAACGCATCTTGTTGGTTGGGTCGAAGGTGCAAGTATAACGGTATGTATGCGGGTAGGAGGGGAGAGAAGGGCAGGTGGTCTCGGTAGCTGTTGGGGTTGGCTTGGAGATCTGAGTCAATATGCAGCCTTGGAGAAAGTCTGTCGAGGTCTCACTGTGAAGGATGGGTGGTTGCTTCACTTGCGGTAGCCTGTTATATAAGAAAACGAGTCGTAGAGGAAGAGTAGGTTGCTTTGCTGACCATGCTCTTTGGAACTTTGTCTGCATCATTGATATCGAGTTTGCAGGTATGAATACCGGCCGGCTTCGCGCGGCATAACAAAACGAGGCAAAAAAAAAAAAACCAAAAATCTCGCGAGTAGTAATAACCTATGCAGGAAAGAACAGTAAAGTCCCTTTGTGGTTCCTTTTCATCCCATAGTGGCACTATCGCGATGCATAACAGAGGAAGGAGCCAAACGAGGCTCTGCCAAATGAAGTGGAGAGGTGGCGTGAGGGAGCAAAGTATGACTTATTATAGGACAAGAGTAGAATGCGGTATGGGACCTTGCATTGCATTGCATACATGTAGTGAGATGTCGGACCTTTTGCCCGGAACTCGCTTCCTGATTGTGGTGGCGCTGACTCGGCTTGTCGGGTTACTACGATCGGCCACAGGTTCTGGTCTTGATGAAGGGTAAGCTATTATTATTATTATCAATTCAATTCGTAGACGAACTAGACTTGCTAGCCGATCTAGTGCCTTTATGCAAATGGTAAGCTATGGTGGACCATACGTGCATTGTGACCGCATTCCGGTATTTGATGCAGAGTAATCCTACTTTACAAAGATCATTTGATACTGCCGCAGCACTTCATTCCAGCACCCACGCTCAGCTATTCGCCCCCCCCCCCCCCCCATTCACAGCGGCGTCGGCAAGCAGACAGTCTCATGCACGGCGCGCGGCGTCGTCTCGGTCGTCTCGGCCGTCGCGTGCATAAACGGGCAGTAGACGACGGGCACGGTGCGGACGCGGAGATGGGCGCACCCGCCGCAGTCGACGGCCGTCGTCGCCGTCTCCGTCGCCGGGTACCAGCGCATCGTCGGGTCGAACACGCACTGCGGCCAGTACGGCGGCGTGGCGAACATGGTCTGCGTGATGCGCAGTGTCGAGGTGCAGTCGTCGTCGGCGGCGGCGCGCACAGCAACGGCCAGGACGGTCAGGATGGAGAGTGCAAGATGGGCAGTCATGATGGTAAGAATGACACGACTGTGCGTTTATGGCTCGGATTAGAAAAGAAAAAGAGGACGGCTAGAGGGGCAAGTTTGCTGGTATATGTTTACAAGACGCGGGACAAACAGGTTGAGACAAACTCCACTGCGCCCGCATGCCGCAGCGATATTGAACGGGGACCGCTGTTTTTTTCTCTTTTTTTTCCTTTTCTTTTTGTACGCAAGATCGTACAGGGAAGCATCTCGCGACGGAAATCGGATAGACCGGCATCGATATTACTTTCTCGGCGGAGCGTATATCCCGCCCCCCTTCGCCGCCACATATATACCTACAATACATCTGTAATACCATAATACAAGCGCATCGAAAAAAAAGAAAAGAAAAGAAAGAAAAATCCTACTGCTGCCGCATGTAGCCGACCGGCGCCGCAAAGAACTGGTGCACATCATCCAACGGCATGGGCACATTGAGCTGCGACCAGGCGCCTCCCCACATCCAGTCGTCATTCTCATCCCACGCCCAGTTGCCTCCGTCCCATCCCGCCGCCGCCACCGGGTCCTCAGCACCCGGCGGCGGCGGCGGCTCCTCCTCGACCGGCCTCGGTCGCGCGGGCCACCAGCAGCGCCATCGTCGCCGTCTTGTCGAGCCCCTGGTCGAGCGCGTCCGTGTGGGCGATGCACGCCGACAGGAAGCAGTGGCCCTTGGCCGTGACCTCGCCGGCGCGCATGCGGTCGAGCGTCCAGTCGAGCGCGCGGCCCAGACACGCGCGCAGGTCCTCGCCGCCGGCGTGCCCGAGCCCGCCGGACCGCCCGCCGCCGCTCTTGTCGTGGATGAGCTCGAGCGCGATGATGCACGCCGCCTGCACGGGGATGTTCTTGAACATGCCCGTGCCGTGGATCGCCAGGTGCGCAAAGTCGGTCGTCGTCGCTGGTGGTGGCGGAGAGGAGGAAAAGTGCACGAGGTCGGCAATCTTGAGCGCCCCGTCGAGACACATCTTGCGCGAAAAGTAGAACCGCGGGTCGTCAAACGCCGTAAACAGCACCGGAAAGTGCAGCGCGTGGAAGCACCGGTAGAGCGTCACCTCGGCGAGCGAGATGTGAAAGGGCCGGATCCTCCGGCCCGCCGCCGTCGCGTCGCCGAGCGTGGCCACGGTCCGCGAGAAGGCACGGCAGGCCTTTGTCAGCTCGGCATTGAGCCGCAGCGTCTTGTCGTAGTCGATGCCGGCGCGGAAGTCGTTGATGTACTGCAGCAGCGCGAGGCGCACGGGGAACGAGCGAAAGACCTCGAGCGGCACCGACATGTGCGTCGCGACGTTGCTTGCCATGACACGGCGGCCGACGTCGTCGATGGCGACGTCGTCGAGCGCGTCGTCGTCGAGGTCCGCCGGCGGCAGCACGTCGTAGTCGTCGCAGGTCAGCAGCGGCATGCCGCCGGCCTCAAAGGCGTAGAGCAGGTTGAGCTCGAGGATGGTGGCCCACAGGCGGCGGCGCATCTCGGCGCGGAACACGGTCATGTCGGCGAGGCGGCTCGGGTCGCGGTGCAGGCCCATGTACATGGCGGTGCGCAGCAGGCCGCCGGCCATGACCCAGGTGAGGTCGGCCGAGACGCCGCACGTCATCTTGGCGAGTGTCAGCAGGCACTGGATCTGGATGCCCGTCAGCGTCATGCGGCCCTTTTCCGGCGGCAGGATGAGCCACGTGTGCGCCTCGTAGATCCAGCGGACCGCCGTCGCCTTGAGCGCCGCCGGCCGCTGCGCGCGCACCGTCGAGCCCAGCACGAGACACAGCTGCAGCAGCACCACAAAGGCCTCGTCCGCCGCCGCCGCTGCTGCCGGATCCGCCCAGTACGCGGCATACTCGCGCCGAAACGTCGGCACGTGCAGCACGCGGTACACGCCCTCGTACGTCGCGAGGTACGCCTCGACCAGGTCGTCGCAGACGTCGCGCGGGAGCATCGTCTTGCCAATGTTGAGCGACGACAGCGGCGCCACCCGGCTGTTCTTGATCTGCTGGCAGAGGACCTTGCACTGGTGCAGGAGCTGGAACAGCTCGCCCTGCGTGTGCTCTTGGTTCTTGAGCATGGACAGCTGGACGGGGAACTTGTGAGCGTTGGATGGCCTGGTTAGCATCCAGCTAGATACACGGGTGAAGAGGGGCCGAGGAAAAAACAAACCGACGCCGCAATATTCATCCAGTGACTCTGGCCAAAGTACCGTCCCTTGGATATGCTCCCCTTGGGCGGAGGCGTGAACTCGCTCCGGTGTCGCTCGCGCGACGCATCGTCGCCCTCTCGTCGAGCCTCGCCACGCGAAGCCGGCGGGGCCTCGGCTCGTTTGCCCACCAGGGCGGCTCGCTGCTGCTGCTGCTGCCGCGGCGGCGACTGCGGCTCTCTGCCCTGCTGCTCGCGTCCGCCGTCGACGGCCGCCGACCAGCCCACCTGCGGTGGCGCCGAGCGCCGAGCGGCCTCTGACGGGCGGAGGGGCTGCCAGGCACTGGCGCGATGAAACTCTTCCGAGTCGGGCGTCGAAATCTGCGTCGCGCGCGCCGTCGGCCGGATGCTGACCGCGCGCGCCGTCGGCGGCCGGAGCGACACCATCGACCCCCCGGTGTCGTCTGGCGATGACTGCGACTGTGACGACGACGAGGACGAGGACGACAACGGTGCTGCCGCTGCTGCTGCTGCTGCTTCCGGACGACGGGAAGCAGGCGCCGCCTTGCGTCGGGAAGGTTTCGGGGTGTGCGTCGGCGCGTACGTGCACGTCACGGCGCCGCCGGGGCCGGGGCCGGCTCTGACGCAGTGACCGCACGGAAACGCGCGGTCGCACTTGATCTTGCGCCGGCGGCACTGCTCGCAGGACAGGGGCGGGCGCCGGCGCTTCTTGGTGGCGCTGGCGGTGGCCACTGCTGCCGGCTCGGCGTGTTTGACTTGTTCGGCCATTCTTGCGGGGTAGGAACCGGCTTTTTGATGATTGGTGATTTTTCTTTTTTGGGCGACAAAACAGGGGAGAGAGAATACAATGTATATAACCGTCAACGCAAACAAAAAATCAAGGGGCAGGGTAAAAAAAAGGACGCCCTTCTATTCGTTGTCCTTTCCGGCGCGCCGGGAGTGAGACCCTGCAGAACGGGTACGAGTCGCAGAGTTCAAGTTCGGGTTGGCGTTTTTGAGCTTCTTTGCCCTACGATTGGGTGAGATGTTTTTTTTCTTTTGTGTTTGGATATTGCCGCGTCTCGGCCTTTTGCTCGGGGCGGCGGCGCAGAGCCGTTTAGGTTGCCGAGCCGGGCCAGTAAAAACAGGGAATAGCTGAGCTTTGGAATCAATCGGTCGATAAAAGAGGGCGAATGCGGTAACTACTGAACAGGGCTAGGTAAAAAAGTCAGAAATGGAAAATTCGAAAAAAGGAAAAAAACGTTAATATTAAGAATTTTAGACTTTGCGACCAAATGCAAAAAGACCTTGCTTGCTAGCCTGACTCGGTTCGCGACAAGGATGATGCCACATTATGCACCAACGAAACAGTCCGTTGTCCATTGCGTCAGTTCGCCTCAGCCAATCACTTTTCCGACTGCAGGGCCCTTTGCAAGGCACGGCGCATGGCGACATGGATAAACACTCTTGTAGAATCTAACGATAACGAGTAAGGAGATACTTCTGCATCGCATAGAGAAATGCCGAGCCGCGCCAATCACAAGCCGGGCCGTGCCTTGCCGTGCCTTGCCTTGCCTCATCTGAAATACAGCATTAATCAAAGTTGTCATTGTACACAGGCCCTTCAGCCCAGTGATCGATCATCCTACGAGGCCCAAGAGTCATCGAAAGATGCCATCCAGGCGTCTCGCGGTAGTCGCGCCAGCCTACTGCTGACCATTAATTCTTTAGTCTATAACGCTACCTCCCATGACACCACCCCCTGGCCTTCGGGTCGACGTGCTCTTCCAAACGTGGCCGCTCAGAGCAGGAGCGCAAGAGGGTTCTCAATCACCTTCTTCAGCTCGCGAATCCACTCGGCGCCAGTAGCACCGTCGACAACCTTGTGGTCGAAGCTGGCAGTTACGCTAATCTGGTCCTCCCACTCAACACCGGCGGAGCCGTCCTCGTTCTGGACTGGCACCGCGACCTTCTTGGTGGTGCCCACGGCAAGGATAGCAGCCTGAGGGGGGTTGATGACGGCCGTGAAGTGGTCCACGGCGTTGTTCATGCCCAGGTTGGAAATTGAAATGGTGCCGCCCTGGTACTCCTCGGGCTTGAGCTTGTTGTCGCGGGCCTTCTTGGCAAGCTCCTTGACCTTGCTGGAGATGGACTCGAGGCCGCGACCCTCGACGCCCGTCACGATGGGGGTGATGAGGCCCGTCGGCGTAGAGACAGCCACCGACACGTCAACAGAGTTGAACTGACGGATCGTCTCGCCACGCCAGCTCGAGTTGACGGCAGGGACCTTCTTGGAAGCAACGGCCATGGCCTTGATGAGGAAATCGTTGACAGACAGCTTGTACTTGCCCTCGGAGGAGCTGTTGAGAGCCTGGCGGAGCTTCAGCAGCTTGGACACGGACAGCGTGCTGGTCACAAAGTAGTGGGGGTTGCTCTGGACCGACTCCTGGAGGCGGCTGGCAATGACCTTGCGCATTCCGCTGACGGGGAGGTCCTCATAGGCGGCGCCAGAGGCAGCCGCAGCGGGGGCGCTGCCGGCCTTCTTGACATCGGCCTCGGTGATTTGGCCGCTCTTTCCGGTGCCCTTAAGAGTCTCGATGCTGACGCCGTTCTCCTTGGCCAGTCGGATGGCGGCAGGGCTGGCGTTGGCGGTGCGGTCAAGCGAAGTCTCCAGCTTCTGGCCCGAGGAAGCATACTGCTCAGGCTCGGGAGCCGGGGAGCTCGACTCGGTAGGGGCCGGCGTCTCCGACTTGCTCTCGGCGTTGCTCGCGGCGGGCTTGGCGTTGCCGCCAGCATCCTCGAGTGTGAAATTTTCGAAGGCGGCGATGTCGGTGCCGTCTTCGACAAGAACGGCAATGGGCTGGTACATATTGTTAGCAACAAGGGCGAAACCGGTCGCGTGAAATGGCGTCGACGGGGGGCGGGATGCTTACGGTGCCAACCGGGACATCCTTCTCGCCAGACTCCTTGAGAATCTTGGCAATGACACCGTCCTCTTGAAACTCAAAGTCCATCTGGGCCTTGTCCGTCTCAATCTCGACGAGGACCTCGCCGGGGCCGATGGAGTCGCCGGGCTTCTTCTGCCAGGCGCCCAGGTTACCAGCCGTCATGGTTGGGGACAGGGCGGGCATCTTGATGACCTGGTGGTCGGGGAACGAAGCATAGCAGCGGACGACGTGGGCGGCGAAGCCATTGCGCAGGGCACTGTGCGTAGGGGCGAGAACGCGCCTCCGGAGAGCGGCACTGAGCATGATGGGCTGTGTGTGAAAATGGCTCGCAACGAAAGCTAAGTAGGACGGAGAATAAATCCCAAGGGGGAGAGGGGGGGACGGAGACGACAGGCAGGTGCTCAGGAAGACGGCAGAGATACCAATTGGGCGGCCAGGTCAATGCAGGGACACGGGGCGATGAGCAAAAATACAGGCGGTCGCGCTCGCGGGAATTGTTGGCAAGGAGGCTCGAAAGAGAGAATCAGAATGATTGGGGTTGCAAGTCCATTTTTTGCGTTGAGTTGGTGTCTAGCGGGAGCTTGGAAGCTAGACCGCCTGTGGACTAGCGCGACGGACGGCTGCCGGTGTTCAGCGGTGCCTCAGTGGACGCTCAGTGGTGTTTCGTGCCACTGGAAGCCCCTGTTGGGCGAGAGCAGCGACTTCGGACAGTGCATAATCCCGTCTACAGGCATATCGGGAGGGACTTTGTGGGTCGCCTGGACCGCCCTGGCGCAGGAAATGTTGCACCTAACCCAGAGATTCTTAGGTAATCCTTGAAAGGCCCACTCTGAAGGCTGCTAGCTTGGCCAACAGCCCAGCAACAAATTTCTGTTATCAGGGGCGCAGGGGCGGCGCACCTTCAGCCACACTCATCAACACGAGAAGGCTGTCGTGTCATCAAGCGGCCTGTGCCACAGACATGCGCCACATCAACCCATGTAGATGCACCTCGCAGCACAATCCAAGTGAGCGCGGGATGGTGCTGATGCAATGTAATAAATTGAATAAAAAGTGAAACGCCGACTTTTCCATACGTATAAACTTCTATCTTATGTTCTTGTGTTACTTATGCACCAACATTGTAAATTGTAAACTACCCTCTCCCAGCTAGTGTCCCGTCGCGACCTAACGCCGCGTGTACGAACAGCCGCATGGGCCGGGGGTTTCTCCTGTCACTGCCACATGCTCTACCAGTCGCTGCCGCCTGGCACATCACCCCAACTTGTGTCGCAACGATATTTCACACGACACGACACGCAGTCCTCGGCAGCTGTGCAAGTTGTCATTGGCAGCGAATTACCGCAACCACATCCCTTCCCGGCCTTTGCTCGGCACAGCACAGCGCTCCTTCGACTCCTTGGCGAATGGCAGCTCGGTCTCCTGACGCTCCCTAATGAGCTCCATCAAGTTTGTCGTGTCCTCTCTGGACACCATTGCTGCTTCCAAGGATGCCCAACGCATCAAGCAGCTCGGTGAATCCGCCAAAAAAGCCCTCGAAGCCATCAAGGAGCAAGAGAAGCTTCCCGACCCGGAACTCGTCTTCGCACCACTTCAGCTCGCCACCCGAACCAACAACCCTCAGCTCACCACCACCGCTCTCGACTGCATTGGCAAGCTGATATCGTTCTCATACTTTTCCGCCGAAATCAGCCAAGAGCCTGCCGACGGCGATGCCCAACGCCGATCCCCGCTCATCGAGCGCGCCATCGACACAATATGCGACTGTTTCCAAGGAGAGGCCACCGAGGTGGAAATCCAATTGCAGATTGTCAAATCACTCCTAGCGGCCGTCCTCAATGACAAGATCGTCGTACATGGGGCTGGGCTGCTCAAGGCAGTTCGACAGGTGTACAATGTCTTCCTTCTCTCGCGCAGCACCCCAAACCAGCAAGTCGCGCAAGGCACCTTGACCCAGATGGTCGGCACAGTATTTGAGCGCGTCAAGGCACGGCTGCACATGAAGGAGACTCGCCTGAACTTGAGCAACCTCAAGCACAGCTCTAGTAATGTCACCTTTGATAACCCCGAAGACACCAACGGGGCGGATGACCACGATGACGGCGCCCACGACGCTGGAGACGAGTCCGCTGAGCAGGATCCTGGCGCAAAGCTCACCCTGAAGGACTTGGAGCATCGAAAGAGCTTTGATGACTCTGCATTGGGAGAGGGGACTACCATGGTCACCCATATTAAACCAGCCAAGAGCAACGGCGAATCGGAGGCCTCGGGCCACGGCACGGACGAAGACCAGCTGGATGCCGAAGACGAGGTCTACATCCGCGACGCATACCTTGTTTTCAGGTCATTCTGTAACCTCTCGACCAAGGTCCTTCCATCCGACCAGCTCTACGATATCCGCGGACAGCCTATGCGATCGAAGCTAATTTCGCTTCATCTCATCCACACTGTCCTCAACAACAACATCTCCGTCTTCACATCTCCCCTCTGCACCATCAAGAATTCCAAGAGCAACGAGCCGACAAGTTTTCTCCAAGCGATCAAGTTCTACCTGTGCCTCAGCATCACGAGGAACGGCGCAAGCTCCGTCGACAAGGTCTTTGAGGTCTGCAGCGAGATTTTCTGGCTAATGCTGAAATTCATGCGACCTCCCTTCAAGAAGGAAATCGAGGTTATACTCAACGAGATTTACCTGGCTCTCCTGTCTCAAAAGAATGCCCCGATTTCACAAAAGCTGTACTTTATCAATATTCTGAATCGCCTCTGCGCTGACCCGAGGGCCCTGGTGGAGATATATCTCAACTACGACTGCGACCAGACTGTTGACAATATTTACCAAACTATCATCGAGGATCTCTCCAAATTCTCCACGGCTTCTGTCGCTGTCACTGCGGTCAACGAACAAGTTTACGAGGAGGCAAGGGCCAAGACACAAGCGGCTAACGAGTGGCAGCTCAAGACCATCTTGCCCCCTCCGCTGACCGTGGCACACATCCTCCCTCAGCCGGAACCGGAACCCGATTACCCAAAAGAATATGCCTTGAAGCGTATCGCTTTGGAAGGGCTTGTCGAAGCTTTGAAATCACTGGTCAACTGGTCGGCGTCGGTGCGGCCTGAAGCAGATATTTCACGTGCTGAAAAAGACAGGAAATTCTCGACTGATGACCTCCGCGCATCTATTGATCCTAGCATGAGTGACACCCAATCGCGCATGGATACGCCATTGCCACCTTCAACGCCTGTGCTTGATGATGACCCGGCTCAGTTGGAGAGAGAAAAGGCTCGGAAAACAGCGCTGACCAATGCAATTCGGAGATTCAACTTCAAGCCGAAGCATGGCATCAAGGCTCTCATTGCTGAGGGCTTTATCCCAAGCGATAGCCCGGACGACATTGCCAAGTTTCTTCTCAAGGAAGAAAAGCTCGACAAGGCGCAGATTGGTGAATATCTGGGTGAAGGAGACCAGAAGAATATCGACATCATGCATGCCTTTGTGGATTCAATGGAGTTTACCAAACGGCGCTTTGTCGATTCTCTTCGAGTCTTTCTACAATCGTTTCGCTTGCCTGGCGAGGCACAAAAGATTGATCGATTCATGTTGAAGTTTGCTGAACGTTATGTTCTGGGTAATCCCAATGCATTTGCCAACGCTGACACGGCATATGTGCTGGCTTATTCCGTCATCCTCCTCAACACCGATCGTCACAGCACCAAAATTGCAAAGCGTATGACAAAGGAGGAATTCATCAAAAACAACAGAGGCATCAACGACAACGCCGATCTTCCTGATGAGTACCTGATCACGATTTTCGAGGAGATTGATAGCAACGAAATTGTCCTGACGAGCGAACGCGCGGCTGCTGCGGCTGCCGGCACCGCACCCACGCAGTCGACTGGCCTCGCTGCAGGCTTTGGCCAAGCTTTCTCTAGCGTTGGACGTGATCTGCAAAGAGAAGCATATATGCAACAATCTGAAGAAATCTCCGTGCGCTCGGAACAGTTATTCAAGAACCTTTTCAAGAGCCAGCGCCGAAGCACTGCTAAGACGGGTCCGAAATTCATCCCAGCGACGTCTTTCAAGCACGTTGGCTCCATGTTTGATGTGACTTGGATGTCTTTCTTCTCAGCGCTGTCTTCGCAACTCCAAAAGGCCCACAGCATTGAAGTAAGCAAGCTTTGCCTCGAGGGCATGAAACTCGCGACCAAGATCGCTTGCACTTTTGAGCTGTCAACGCCAAGAGAGGCCTTCATATCCGCGCTGAAGAATACCACCAATCTGAACAACCCTCAGGAGATGATGGCCAAGAACATTGAGGCTGTGAAGATTATTCTCGACCTCGGACAGACAGAGGGCAATGTGCTGCGAGAGTCATGGAAGGACATTTTGATGTGCATCAGTCAACTGGATCGACTGCAGCTCATCTCTGGGGGCGTCGATGAGAGTGTCATCCCGGATGTCTCAAAAGCTCGTTTCATGCCGCCTCCGAGATCCGAGACCTCTGATTCCAGGGCATCAACGTCTTCGCGACCGCGCAATCGCGGACGTTCAGGAACGGGCTCACGAGGTTTCTCAAACGAGATTGCGCTGGAGAGCCGCTCTGACGAAGTAGTACGCAGCGTCGATCGCATCTTCACTAACACGGCTAATTTGTCGGGCGACGCTATGGTCTACTTCGCCAAGGCGCTCACAGAGGTCAGCTGGGATGAGATCAGAGTCTCCGGATCCAACGATTCCCCTCGTACATACAGTTTACAGAAAATTGTGGAAATCAGTTACTACAACATGAACCGTGTGAGGTTTGAATGGAGCAACATCTGGGTAGTACTTGGGGAGCATTTCAACCAAGTTGGTTGCCACAACAACATGAATATTGTCTTTTTTGCATTGGATTCTCTACGACAGTTATCAATGCGCTTCCTGGAGATTGAGGAGCTGGCAGGTTTCAAGTTTCAAAAGGATTTCCTCAAACCATTCCAACACATTCTGGCCAATTCGGACAACGTTACGGTCAAGGATTTGGTTCTCCGGTGCTTGATCCAGATGATTCAAGCACGAGGCGGCAACATTCGCTCAGGTTGGCGAACCATGTTTGGCGTGTTTACTGTCGCCGCGCGTGGAACGTCTGAAAGCATTGTAAACTTGGCCTATGAGAATGTCAGCCAAGTTTACAAGGACAAATTCGGCGTTGTTGTTGCCCAAGGCGCATTTACTGATCTCATTGTCTGTCTCACTGAATTTTCCAAGAACCTCAAGTTTCAAAAGAAGAGTCTGGCCGCGCTTGAGCTCTTGAAATCAATCATTCCAAAGATGTTGAAGACGCCAGAGTGCCCACTGTCACAGCAGCCCGAGAATCAACAGGATGCAAAGTCAGCACCGAAATCGAGCACGTCTGTTGAGGAGGGATACTGGTTCCCCGTTCTTTTCGCATTCCACGACGTTTTAATGACGGGCGAGGATCTAGAAGTACGGTCTAATGCGTTGGAGTACTTTTTCGCAACCCTGATCAGATACGGCGGCGACTTTACTCCTGATTTTTGGGACATACTCTGGAGACAACAACTGTACCCCATTTTCATGGTACTAAGGTCACGCCCAGAGATGGCAAATGTCCTGCATCACGAGGAGCTATCCGTGTGGCTCTCAACGACAATGATACAGGCGCTCAGGAATATGATTACCCTCTTCACGCATTACTTTGACTCCCTGGAGTACATGCTGGACAGATTCCTGGAGCTACTAGAGCTTTGCATCTGCCAAGAAAACGACACCATCTCTCGGATTGGCAGCAACTGCTTGCAGCAACTTATCCTCAAGAATGTAACAAAGTTTGCGCCAGAGCACTGGGCGAAGATTGTTGGAGCATTCTGCGAGCTGTTTGAGCGGACGACAGCATATCAGCTCTTCACGGCAGCAAATGCCGCGTCCCCGGCTGCATTGTCCCTGCCGTCCAATGGTATCGACTTTTCAACTGGTCTCAGTCCGGGCGGGGAGCCGATTGTGGATGAAAAGTCTCTCAAAATCAACGGCGGAGACGATAATGGAAGCATCTCAGACAATGACTCCATAAACCGACCAATCTCGCCACGCCCACTGGATGATGATACACGACGACCCTCTATTGGTGCGGCAGGCCAAGCTCCGCTGGAAGAGTTCAAGCCAGCATCCTCGCTGCAGCAGCAGCCCGTCGTTGTTACCGCGGCGAGGAGACGATTCTTTAACCGCATCATTTCGCGCTGTGTTTTGCAGCTCCTCATGATTGAGACGGTCAATGAACTCTTCAGCAACGACACGGTGTATACCCACATTCCTTCGACCGAGTTGCTGCGCCTCATGGCCCTTCTCAAGCGCTCGTTTCAGTTTGCCAGACGCTTCAACGAAGACAAGGAGCTGCGCATGAAGCTGTGGCGAGAGGGCTTCATGAAGCAACCGCCCAATCTTCTCAAGCAGGAAAGCGGCGCGGCCGCCACCTACGTGTCCATCCTATTCCGCATGTTTGCCGACAATGCCCCGGAGCGTCTGGACAGCCGCGCCGACATTGAGTCTGCTCTCGTGCCGCTGTGCAAGGACATCATCACCGGCTATTCCACGCTGGTGGAGGAGAGCCAGCAGCGCAACCTGGCCGCCTGGCGTCCCGTGGTGGTCGATGTGCTCGAGGGCTACGCGACGTTCCCAGACGATGCGTTCAAGACGCACTTGGCCGACTTTTACCCGCTCGCGGTGGAACTGCTGCAAAAGGACTTGACGTCGGAGCTCCGCGGCGCGCTGCTCACGGTGCTGCGGCGCGTCGGCGAGGTGTCGCTGGGCATTGCCGGCATGAGGAGCGCGGCGAGCATGGCGGAGAGGAGACGGGGGAGCGTCATCAGCACCCTATCTGACGGAAAGGCGGGGGATCATGAGCAAGCTGCACGCAAAATGCTGTGATGATGGCCAGAAATGGAGGGAAGCAAAAAAAGTATGTTTGGTATTATTTCAGGTGATGGAGATGGAAGCTTCCCAGGGAAAAAATCGTGGTAGAATTGTAATGAGAGTATCGATGCACACATTCCTGACATGCCTTTCAAAGTCATTGCGTATCGAAGCTATGTACACACCCAACCGTAGTCCTTTTACGCTCCGTTGAGCAGCTGTCCTATGTATATCCGCAGCGGCTCCGCCTCCTCCTCGACGGTCCGATCCGGCAGTCCGAGGAGGGCCTCCTTGAGCAAGCTATCATTGGCCGTGGCCGCCCTGACGAGCGCGCCGGTGACGCTCGTCGACGGCGACGGGGCGTCCTCGACGGCAGCCGTGCGCATGACGCTGACGAGCGTCTCGAAAAAGTCGACGAGGCTGAGATGCATCAGCACATCGGCCTTGTCGACCATGGCGAGCGCGGCCCACTGCAGCAGCCCGCAGCCCGTGTGGCGCGCCACGCTCTGCGGCAGCGGCAGGAGCTGCGGGAACGCCGATTCCGCGACAGCGCGCAGGTTGAGCGTAGCGAGGCGCGGCAGCAGCCTGAGCAGGCGGCCCTGGGCGAGGGAGACTTGGCGCTCTGTGCGCGGCGGCACCGCGTCGTTGCCGTCGTTGTTCTCGGTGGAAGACGACGGGCTGCAGAGCTGCGGGATCAGGGCAAAGATGGATTCGCTGTTGAGCACCAGGTCCCAAAGGCGGCCGTGGCCGGGCGGCTCTTGCCGCCTGTAGACGACCTCGATGCCGTTGATCGCGGGAGGAGGTGCGTCGCGCACCACGTGGTGGCAGCAGTCGGTGGCGAGCACGTCGCCGAGGACGCGGCCGGCGCGCTCCCCGACACCCACGTCCTCGACGTCCAGCCAGCG